TTCTTACATTGCTGCGACTTCTATCGTATTATCTACACGTATTTCGAGTAAATAAGTTCAGGTTGCAATTGTCCTATTTGTATTGTATTGTATTGTATTTTATTATTTTACTTGGGTATTCCCAACAGACCCTAAGGTCTTCTTACAGGGTGCCCAAGATGAATGAAATTGTGAAGTTCCTGGCGAAATGAATTGGGGATATGATTTGTGCGAAGGGATTCGGGAAGCGCATTAAAGCGGTCTGCACCAAGGAATGAAATAGATCTGTATCCAGCTTGAGCTTGCACAATTGGTAAGGACCAATTGCACTTCTTTCCTTAGACTCTGACCGTTTTCTACCCACCTTTTCCTTCTCCTGGCAGTACTTGGGCTACAATACCTATTCTCTCAGTTGAAGTGTAACGCCGAACCGTCTGACGCTTCTCTCTCTCTCTCTCTCTCTCTCTCTCTCTCTCTTTCCCTCTCTCTCTCTCTCTCCCTCTCTCTCCCTCCCTCTCTCTCTCTCTCTCTCTCTCTCTCTCTCTCTCTCTCTCTCTCTCTCTCTCTCTCTCTCTCTCTCTCTCTCTCTTCTCTCTCTCTCTCTCTCTCTCTCTCTCTCTCTCTCTCTCTCTCGTGTTTGCAGTCTGATAATTATAGTAATGCAGGCATGTTAATAGTATCACGTACCTGCTAGCTGCACATACCGGTACATGTACCTCAATGCTAACATTCGACGCGACATGTAATGTACATGTACGTGTCCAATAGCCAAGTTTCACTGCACGTTGGAAATTTTGTTTTGACACTGCAAAAGTACAGTACTTGTCGCCATACTGTATCTACTGCTTATTCTGAGAAAAACGAGGTGCTACTAGGTCATATACGTGTCAGTAGAAATGGACTTAAGAGCAAAAAAAAGCAAAAAATCGCCACACCCGCCAGTCCTGGTGAGTCTGGCGTTTTTTTTCTCTTTTCAGGCAGTTCACTTCCCCAACTGATCCTTTGTATATGAAGTTGTCCCAATCCTTTCAAAGATATAAAATTATTGGAGAATAATTAAATATCTCTTTTTCTTTTAGTGATTGGTGTAGCTCACAAAATCCAAACGGGAATTTCTTCCCAATAACAAGGTAGCGAAGAGAGAAGAATGAAATAGAGAAAAAGTGCGTATGCACTGGAAATGATAGTCGGCTGAAGATCAATGGTACGGATCCATTTGTCAAACATGGCATTCGGTACTGTTGCAGGTATTTAGCAAGGAGTACAACAGGCACAGTCAATGACCAATTGCGTAAGGTAGTGCTGCAGCTTTGAAGGTCTCCTGCGTTGTGCTGGAACGGACGTCTCCAGTTGCTTTGACGGTTCTACCCTCTGGCCTGGGCTTGTGCTGTGGGCACAGTGCAATCGGCACTTGTGCTGTTCTCTAGCCTGAGCTCATGCATTGATACTACCTGGCACGTCTGATTGCCATTTCGCGCATTTCGCCGGATGCAGGTAGAGTTCGCGAGTTTGCTTCATTCTTTTATATCTTTTGTGGTCAAGTCTGTAGCATTGTCTTGCCTCGCGCGTCTTGAATTATTACCTTGATGGTACACACATCAAAAGCCAATCAATGATGCAGGGTGTGATGCAGTAACGTGATTTGATTGAGGATTGACTAATGCCTGTGGAACAGGAGTCCATCTACGACGAGGGCGAATATCGTGTCATGACTACCGCATTCTTCCTGGAAGCATGCGAGAGTCTCTCCATCATTTCAACCACGTTGTATTACTTTTTACTTCCGGGAATTTTCTCACGTAAAACTAGGTGTATTCTTTACACAGGAGAGAACACCTGAGCTGAGACCTCCATCTTTCTCAGCGTCTTTGAGGGACACGTTGGTACTATCGGCGAGCAGCGCACTAGTCTTGCTTGTCCGCGTGAGAAGCAACGAGCGGAAGCGAAGAGAGCTTGGCGAATGGAGTGACCCGCACATGATGCGAGCTTGGCGAACAGCCAGTGTTTGGTCAAAGCCTCAAAGCTGGTGTCTATTCTACTTGACACACATGTTGCATTGTATTTCTTGCACGTTGTACGTTGGTGAGACCGAGCGGCCGGTGAGCCGATTCACTGAAGATGTACTACCGGGACTTAAGAGCGAGGGTAGCCAAGGCCTTTTGGAAGTTTTGGTGTGTCTACTACTGTCTACCATTGTACAAAATACTGTATTTCAATACAGCTATAAAAACAATTTCCTCTTCCAAAGATTCTGGGCAAGGATTCAAGGAAGCTTTGTTACCGCAAAGGAAGCTACTTGAAGCCACATTCTGCTTGATTTCTCAACGTACTTCATGACACATCCATTCGCTTCCTTGCTATTCGCTTCCCTTGTGCGTTTTGTAACCGCTAATTGGAAAAATACAAGCAAGCGACAAAAACATCGTTAAGTACTAGTCCGGAAGTGTCAGCTACCAGTCAGCTACCAGTCAACTGCGATGACCAGTCAGCTACCAGTCAACTGCGATGACCAGTCAGCTACCAGTCAACTGCGATGACCAGTCAGCTACCAGTCAACTGCGATGACCAGTCTGCCCCCTTAATTGATTGGATCTCACGGATGGTAGCTGCATATCGACATCTCTATCACTTGGAATATTCCACTAGAGGTTACCACCTGACCCAGCACATGCATACACTTTGTGCACGTGCACGTGCATGTATGGCATACATTCATCACCTTTAGACATGTAGGTGATGGATGCTTTAAAAAGCATATTCTCCTAAAGAGTTCAATTAGACGTGAGATTCCTCCCTAATGTGCTGCGGTGGGCCCTAGGGGTGTGCGGATAATGATCGAAAATGTGACAGATTCTGCTCGAAAAGCAGTGAAATTGGCAGAACCATACAACTCCTCGAATTCTGCTCCATTTCTTTATCCACATACCAAACATGCATGAAACGTACCAGAAAAAGTACCGAATTTTGCCAATTCTTCTGCCGGCATTATCCGCATATGCCTAGCGGCGGCTCAAGTTTACCACTGCTTCTGTGTTTTTAGTTCACCCTACAAGTGAGGAATGTTATGGGCTTGCCGTCAAATGTGCCCGTAGGATGTGTGCGAAGGATGTGTGCATTCACCGTCAGTATTGTTTTGTATTTATACTTGGTGACCGTTTCCTGGTCCTCAACAATGTGGCATCTATCATCAATACCCTGATGATGCCGAAAGGGCATAGTTTGTCAGTCTTTCAATTCAGTGGAGATGGGAGCCAATGACCTGCGTAAGATTTAGTCTCCAGTATTTCTACTTTTCTTCAGAATTTCTTTCCGTCACAAACGAAGGCTGCATACATCACTGAGCGGAGGGCTGTTTACCAGCGTAGACACACGTCCTTGCATAAAATGAGATGCGAACACATCTGGCGGCAACATGCCATCGGGGCCGTGGACCGACTCAAGTGGTAAGCTGTTCACGATTTACTGGTAGGTTTCGTAATTATTATGAAACCGGTGCCCAGTCGCTGACACTATCACCACTCAAGGTTTATGTGCTTCTATTGTGTTATCGGATGATTGCTGAACGTAAAGCTCGGAGTTGCAACCGACCACCCGAACTGCTGTGCTACAGAACTCTACCCCCACTAGCCCCCAGGCTGTTTTGAGCGGTGCAATCCAAGTACATGCACAGTAAAACCTCGTTTAAGCGACCACCCCACGGTGCAGGCAAATTAAAAAAAAGAGTAAATTATCGTATCCGTTCCCGAAGGGAACTCTTGGTGCAGGCAAAAGCGCTCGTTAAAGCCAGGTGGTCTTTAAAACCAGGTCGCGAAGTGTCTGTGTAGAACTGTCTGTGCATGGAATAACGGTCGTTAAGAGCAGGTGGTCGCTAAACGCAGAGGTCGCTTACACCAGGTTGTAGTGTACATGTACAGTCATGCTCAGTGCACTTACTGTGTAGAGATTTGCTCCGTGTCCCCGGGTGATCTACTACTTCTTGCTAAACACATGATGACGTTACATGCAATGTACTTGCTATATTGAACTCGGATACTGAACCAGCATAATTATAATAATCAAAATACATGAAGTTGGTTAGCAGCGTGAGTCAGAGTCGCTCATGGAGTTGTGCTAAACAGACGTTGAGAGCAAGTGTAGCTATTCACAACGCTGTCACCTCCAACAACTAGTCTAAGTTCGAATCATACATGTAGAAGAAATCACATGTAACCGAGTTATGATGCAACTATTCACGGCTGTAACAAGATCAGAGGGTGCGATAACAGGGCACAAAACTGACAGGCTACTGAGACATTCAACGACCTGAGACCTAGCTCTAACACATCTCCAGTGCTCAAACCCACAGCCTTCCAGCTTGGAAGGTTCACGGTTATTGTAGGACCGAAGAGGGGAAGGTGAGCGCAGCGAGAATGTGCACAAGCTAAGTCCCACAGCAACAAAGAATGCTGACCGTCACAGGACGATGATGAGACCAGCTAATAACATGACAATGCAATGCAGTTTAACTACAATTCGAAGCAGTAAAACAACACACCACCCCACTTGGGTGGGTCAGCAATATCAGAGATAAAGAAAGGGGAAGCTTTGGGAAAACGAATTGTACCAAAACGGACGCCAATATCTAACGGTACTCCTCATGCGTGACACTATTGTGGACCAGTTGACTACGATAACAAGTGGTTGCACACAAGTTTACTTCTTCGCAGTAGTATCGCATTCTTGTCTCCGAGGAAACTGTGGGCTGTGCTCAGCTGGCATTTCTAGCATCTGTGCGTTTCGTCAGACCCGACACCTGGTAAGAACCCCAGCAGGTGATCACACTCTGCTGTTCCCATAGGCACTCAGTGCGAACCACCCCCCCCCCCCCCACACACACACAGCTGTTACACTAAGCTTGGGCTCTGAAATGCACCTGCTCATCGTATGGCCGCTGCTATCAAGACGCCGAGTGACGGGGTGTTGCGGCTGCGTCTGCGAAGGATGCTACTGGGCTATGTTCCTGGTAAGAACTAATCGCTGGTTGTTAGTTCACAGGTTGATGCTTTGAAGATGAGCTATGATGTCCAACATGTAGGTGAATGTTGATGAAAATCGCAGGGACTAGACCTTTCGGAGTAACTCTGATTCTAGTTTTATATTGGCTGTCGTGGGAACTGCAGCATCTTTGAAAAGGGACGAATCTGTGCGACTATAGAAGGGTGGATTACGCAGATCGACTTTTGCCTTGTTTGATCCGGCACAAGGTACCCAAGTTCGTGTGCTGGGCACTCGAAAAAGACCTACACATGTCCTACTGAATACCAGAGCTGCCGAGGTAAGATGTTCTGGCTTGCCCCTAGACATCATTATTCCTTCTGTGTCTGTTGTGTGTGTGTGTGTGTGTGTGTGTGTGTGTGTGTGTGTGTGTGTGTGTGTGTGTGTGTGTGTGTGTGTGTGTGTGTGTGTGTGTGTGTGTGTGTGTGTGTGTGTGTGTGTGTGTGTGTGTGTGTGTGTGACCATTATGGTGCAGTGGTATGTGCAGTCGATTTCCAATCGAGAGGTTGCGGGTTCAATTCCCGACGATTATGGTCGCACACGTCTTTCTTCTCTTTCTCGGACTCTTCCTGAGTTTTCTTTCATTCTCCTGGGTGGTTACCAACAGCCAGTGTATGCCGGAGTATGTGGTGTGGTGTGTGTGTGTAGAAAAAATGGAAAAATGAAAAATCGGGATTCACTGGCCAGAAAAAGTCACTTCAAACAGCTGTGTGGGGGATACCAGGCTAAAAATAGTGGCGGTCAATACATCAGCCTTGCAAGCTGTTGAATGGTGTAATCCCAGCACAAGTTGCTATGTCTAACATAGCTGTTCGCTATCATCGCTTCCGCGATGTGCATGTCTGAGGTCTGAGGTCTGAGGTGTGTGCGCTTGGTTGTGTGTGCGTGTGTGTGCGCACTGGTGCGTGTGTGCGCTCGTGTGTGCGCGCGTGTGTGCGCGTGCTGGCGTGCTTGTTCGCATTTGCTTGCGTTCACTCGTGAATTGTAGCGTTGCACCAACTAGAGCGGGTGCACGTCACTATTTAGAGTGTATGCGTGAGGATGGACACAGTTGCCGTGAGTTAGCGTTGGGAATGTCGCACAAAGGACACTTTGATTATGTTGAGGCTAGGCGGAGGACTAACAATTAGTACTGAACTTGTAAGCTTGTGGTGCCAGAAGAATACACGAGCTTGCATTACCATGGATTCGGATAATTGTCACCAAACTGCTCCACTACAATATTGAAAGGCAAAGAATTTGTTCTTACTTGGTTGGACTCGGATGGAGAGCCAAGGATAATGGCTGGGCCTTTTTGTTTTCTTACTTGGTCATAATGATATTGGCAAGAACGGTATGCATTATAGTACCTACATGTGGCTCTCGGCTTAACTACCCTAGACATAATCAATTTTTAGTCGGTTCTGATACGGCTTTAACCCTTTGAGGTGCCACTGAACGCGTGAAAATACGCAATTGCAGTTCACTCCACCATTTCCACCATAACTTACGTTCTGTTTGCTTGATTTTGACAATCTTGGGCATTTTGAAACGCTTAATGTCCTATTGCTGGAGTCTGGGCGTAATACAATGTCATCTACAGCTCAGGAGTAGCCCTTTCCCAAAGATGCTCGCCACTTTTTTCGCAACTTTTGGTTGTTTTGGAAGGAATCGCAACTTTCGCAGCTTTCTTCATTTTCACGAACTACTTCGCAACTTTTCCGCAACCGTGAGCAGAGAAGCGCCTTGGAGGAGACGAAGTGTCCCTGATGCTCCCCTTCAACAAGAAGCGCTGAAACATTGCATTAAATCATCATGACACGTCCCCGTCTTGCAATCATTTGAACCGGCTCTGCCAACTGTGGATGGTTGTAGTGAGGTCACTGACAGTCTGTTTCCGAACACCGTGTCCTCCACCTTGTAACATGCTGCCGACCAACAACATGTACTTGACAAAACAAAGTTTATCCATGCACAAGTATATGTATGATGTGGCAGCACTGAGCAATGATGCTATGAAGTATTATGATAATATAATAATATGCACAAGAACTCGCTCATTTTGAGTTGCGATATCAGCAACTTTTGAGCATTTTCTGAAAAATATGGATGCGATTTCAGCAACTTTCACTTGTTTTGGCATGGTTGCGAAATATTTTGGCATCTTTGGGAAAGGGCTATTCAGGAGCACGTCCGATTTGCTCATGTGGATACGGACCGCGCCGTATTTCCGGTTCAAGATCGCGGGTGTGCAGTGCGGCGCGCTAGCGATATGCGAATGCATATCCCGTGCCCATCGAAAAGACTGAAATGTCAAATGACACGTGTTCAAAGGTGTCACCTCTGACCCAGCGCAAGCCGCATGCATGCAATTGTATTGTCAACTGCCAGACTGGTTTACTACTCTACGAGTCGAATCGGTACTGTCGAATCTGTACTCGTCAGCTGCTGAAGTACAAATTTTCGTTTGGAATTAACTTTCGCTATATTCGTTAGGGGGCACGAAATAACTAAAGTTTGTACCAAACTAAAGTTTTTTTTCTACGTTCGGGGTGACAGACCTCGACCAAAAACGAAACAAAACAAGCCTGCTCGTGGAGTGATGAAAGGAAAGATTTCGTGAACGAAAATTTGTACTTATACAGTAACGCTCACTGCTCTTGCCGTCTTGGAGCAGTTCGAGCACTCTTGGCGGGTTTTTTATTACTATTATTATTATTAAGCTTCCGTGGAGATAAAAATGTAATCAACGCAATAAATAGAGTAAGCTGCGCACTCAGTACAAACTTGTTTTCATGTAAATAAAGAAGCTTGTTCCTAAACGTTTTCGTCGCCATCTCATCAGAGGATTACTGGCAAATCAGCAATAGCTCTTAACTCAATATATATACGCACAATGCAAGTAATAATTTAGACCCTAACTAGCGCGATAAAATGAGAGCTGAAAGAAACATTACACCATTCAACGATATCAGGTGACAACAGATGCGATAAATTCACCACTAGAAAGTTACCATGCAACCACAAACGAGAACTACTGATCTAAATTCACAAATAATTTCAACGTAAACAAATTCTTTTTCTGCCTACACAAAATCGGCTTGGTGGAAAAATGTAGATAGACTCCAATACACGCAAATACCTTTGACTACGTGAACGAGACCAAACAGAAAAGCAATCATCAGCATAACTAGAACGACAATCACTATTCTGAACAAGATGGTTGGCAACAGAAGATTCATACACCCTAACAACGCTACTAGAACCAGTACATACTTTGGAACTACGTGACAATGAAACCGACCTGACATTCCTTGCCGCTACTGCCAATCCAGACGAGGCCGATGTAGATGTCAATACCAAAGGCACGTCCGTTACTGGCACTGCCTGCTGCGATGATGCTCCCTTTGACGTTCCAATGGCTGTTGATGTTGATGAGGAGGAGGAGGTCTTTATTTACATGAAAACAAGTTTTGCTTATGGTGTTTGTACTGAGTGCGCAGCTTACTCTATTTATTGCGTTGATTATTGTTTTCGTTGCGCTTGCCTTCCCCTCTTTGGTCTTTCCATAACCTTGAACCTTCCAAGTTGGAAGGCTGTCGGTTAGCGCTACGGAGATGTGTTAAAGTTAGGTGTCAGGACGTCGAATGTCTCAGTACTCTGTCAGTTTTGTGCCTAGTTATTGCACTTTCTGACTGTATATATAATCATGTTACAGTGATGGAGAGTTACTCTAAACTCGTATCCATATGTCCTTTTCTCTTTTACATTTATTTATGGCTCAACATCCGAGTTTCAAATTATTATTATTATTATTATTATTATTATTATTTTCAATTCATGAATGACATGGTGTCAACCAATATTATGAATGAGGGCTATCAGCCATGGAATAAAAGAACAAGAAGGCAAAAATGCACACGCAAAATATGGCAAGTTAAATGAAAAAGAAAATGAAATAAAAAGTAAATCAATCCAAAACCAAAATCAATTATAAAAATCAATCCAAATGCAGCTCTTTATAAAAATGCTTTGCTTCACGGAAACGTATTTCATTGCAAAGAGCTGCGCTTCGGTCCTCTGAGCTGTGCTGAGGAGCTCTAACAGAACGAAACAGTTGCTGTCCACAGATTTGAGTACTTATACGGTAACTAATTACTAAGTTTCGCACGTATCCGGAAGTCCGCAGCTGGCCACTAGTAGTAGCTGCAACGTCCACTAGGTCTAACTAGATTCTCTCGGCTGTGTATTCCTGCACTAGTAGCACGGCGGACGTTCGCACAAGATGAACCATGTGACCTGCGGAGCTCAAAGTTGTACCGTTTTCGCAGGAATTAAAAAATTATTTGGAACTCCAGGTGCTGCGTCCCCTTCTCTCGCGGGTTCCGCACGTTTGTGTTATAAATCAGAAACGCGGCGCTTGTGAACAGAGTGGCCGATGAACCACGAGCGCCTGCCTGGTTTGGGAGGCCCAGTCTCTTTTCTTTATTCAACCTAACTTTGTGATAGACAAAGGTTTCTTGCTTTGTACTGGGTTTCAGAAAGAAGTCAACGGAAGAGCCCAGATCTCTGTCAGTATGTCACTGAGTATTCGGGATGTAGTGTTGCGGCTTCTCTTGCTAGAATGCATAACAACGCTTCAGTCGGCTGGCCAACATGTGGGTGAGTATCCACTGGGAACATGCACTGGTGTATTGGATCAGAGAAAGGTGGGATTCATACTGTAGTGTACGGGGGAGGCTGTGCAATCAATCCGAAGCCTTGCCCGTACATACATGTAGGTATTAGAGAGGTTCCGCGCTACGTAAAGTTGAGCAACTTCACGTTAGTGGGCGGGAAAAACCCGTGAATTCGCGAGTTTGCACTCCACTTACGGAAAGTTGTCTACGGAGAGTACGTAGATAGGGCTCTGATAACGTAGCTGGTCCGTAAGTGGATTGGGGTACAAATTTATGTTTCTCTCCCCAGGTCGATCGGGTCGTACACTGCCGCGTTCGGAGTTGCCCAGGGTAGCTCAGTACGTGATTAGAAAACTTCGTATGGTCAAGAGTACATGAAAACTGTTTTCATGTTCTCTTGGTATGGTGGAACACACATGCGCATGCAGTTTAGTAAACACTAAGACTTTCCAAAGATTGACTCGTTTTTGCTAACTTAAAATTAGAATAATTACGTTATGTGGAACCTCTCTATTGATCAAAAAGAATCACGTACAAGTACCGTAAAGTCCGGAGCAAACGCCCACCCCATTTTTGCAAGATCTGCTGGCCTGTACACACTGACCCCATGCACTGTCACCCCTACTGTACGAAAGTGCATCTCACACCGTAGCGGGAAGAGCACTTTGCTACGGTAAACTATGTCCACTTTCCTGGTTTCAAAACCTCTTTGGGCACTAGCCACGAGCTAGCTCGTAGTGATTTTATAATGATGGTTGTTTTATTTCGCAAATCCGAACGGGTTTTCTTCCGAATAACAAGGTAGCGAAGAACAGAGTATTGAAGGAACCAAATACACTTCTGACGGTGTTTCAAGCCATCATTTAGAGATCACACAACGCCCAAAGGCAAGTGTTTTTCTTGGGCACTTCGGAGTTTTCAACAAGTTAGCAGCGACTTTGTAGGTGTAGCTTCTGTGACATACCCTGTTCGACTTGCAACTGCCATATTGGGACCAGTCAAGTCGTCGACTGACGCTTCATCAGAACAATTATTCCTGACAGCGCGACATCGTGGCACTGCACAAATTTCTACGGCATTACTGGTACCACATGGAGAACGAACTACCACAAAGAGGACACATTTATCGAATGAAAGGAAATCTCGACAGAAGTTATTTCTTTGCAGGAAGATGATGACAATCGCTTTTGCACAGAGTCCTGGTAGGACATAGGCAGTTTGTAGGCATTACAATCGTTCTCGTACGCATTCGACCTTCATGCCAGTTGTTTACAACTATATTGACCTGAAAAATACGAAAATAGTATGGACCCGCTGGGGTGGGCGTTTGCTGCGAAGTGGGCGTTTGCTCCGGACTTTACGGTACATGCACTACATGTTTTTTGGAAGGGTAATGATATTTTCAGCAAACCTGGAAGGGTCCTGGCGTTATATTTTTACTGTGGGCTTACAAGACACAGTATACATGCATGTAAAGGATTTCAAAAGAGTTAATGCAGCACGGACCAAAGCCAACACAGGGAAAGCCTCACTAACATACTAACAGGAGTGATGCCGATGAAGTTCAGACACGACGATTGAAATCGCACCATTTTTTGTATCACTGTCTTTGGTTATTTTCAGAACATTTCAACTGCAACTCCCCAACTGGTCTATACTACATCAGTGGTTTGGACTGGTCTACAAAGTACAACAGCACAACTGCAGCCGGACATAAGTGCAGGACAATATTGACAGACGTCAGCTTTGCCCTGATCAACTCCACCGACCTTAGCGGTACAAACAGGAATTGCTTGCTCGCTTTCCTTGCGCACATAGCCGCAGCGCATCCTGGAAACAGCGTATCAGCATGGTTGTATTCAAGTACTGGAAGAGACCGTCATTGCTATCCAGGACCAACATGCAGTAGCACCAACGTCACGATCTGCAAGTTCAACAAGCCTGAGGCCGCAGGTTGGTACTCTACTGGCACTAATACACAGTCATGTACATTGTTGTCGTATGAGTCGAATACAGTTCTAGTTTCTATGAGCCTGAAGATAAATTCCACGGTTCCGTGAGGCTCGGTTAGACCGAGTTTTCCGTAAAAATTCATAGTATCATAGTACCTATTCGCACTGCTGCATCCCTATTCCCATGGCACATTTCGACATGCATTACGTAAAAGTCTTGCGGACCCCGTAAGAAGGCCTCCTAGGCCTTGACGGATTATGCTAGCATAATTTTTCGCATAAAAAGTAAAAAAGTAAATTATCGTGTCCGTTCCCGAAGGGAACTCCCAACGGCCGCTAACACCTGGTAAACCCTAGAGGCAAATGCAGCGCCTAACGGTGGGGGTGAGTGGATAAGTTTCATAAACACTGGCACAAGTGCCGAGAACGACCCCATTAGCTGCATCCATGTACCCCTTGTGCCTGGCCACAAGTTCCCAGTTGACTGTGGGTAGCAGCACGGCTGGAAAAACCGCTCCCAGGCAGGACTAGAACCAGGTACCTTTCGTATCTCAATCATGGTCTTTGACCAACCCACTGTGCCTGCCTCGTTAATTCCTACCAAATCGAATAGTCGCATAATTCGAAGCAAATTGCATACGAATTGCATAAAATTGGAATAACCCGCCTGTTCGCATCAAATTCCATACCATGATAAGCCATGTTGCACGCCGCGTTGCCGCTAAGATTGGGCTACTAAATCGAAGTGCAGCAGTGCCTTTTTCTTGCCGTGTTCAGTTTTTCAGGTCCTTTGTATTGTCAGAATTTGACTATGCGTCTGCTGCCTATGCCCCTTTCTTATCGTCTTTTCAGGATAAGTGCCTAAATAGTTTGTTCAAACGTGCGGCTCGCCCGCAGCCCCTCGGACTCCCACTGCTCCCTTACTTGAATGCATGAACGCCCATACCCTCAGCATATACACCCACATGCCCATTCTTGTATTCATTTGGCACTGCCTGGACAAATTTTCAAGTACTCTGTTTGCAAACTTTTTCACCCATAGTCCCTCTTTCCGAACACGAGGAGGGAGCAGCAAGTTACTCATCAGTCCTGTGTCCCCCACTGCATCCTCAGCTAAGCGCATTAACCATGCTGGAGCTATCCAGTGGAACCAGCTCCCAGACACAGCACGCCTCGAAAGAAAGCGCTACACTCTCAAATCGCTAAGCCTGGCCTTTCTGTTAGATAGTACTGTCAACTAGGATGAGCTCATCTGCTTCAATGCCCCCCCCTCTCTCTCTCTCTCTCTATCTCTCTCTCTCTCTCTCTCTCTCTCTCTCTCTCTCTCTCTCTCTCTCTCTCTCTCTCTCTCTCTCTCTCTCTCTCTCTCTCTCTCTCTCTCTCTCTCACTCACTCACTCACTCCTTTCTTCCCGGTTGCCGTGCTTGTGACTATTTTTCCCCTGCTGCCGTGCTCATATTAGTTATCTAACTATCTTCTTCTCTGTTCTGTTCGTCCGCTCATTTTTTATATATTTTTCTTTTCTCTTATTATCAGTGGGACGATTGTCATTAGGCTTAGGCCCCGTTTTGGAACTCCACTCTAAATAAAGCCAAACAAACAAACAATACAGTTGTACATGACATGTTCTACAAGTACAAGTACAAGTAGATGGACCAGGAAGTCGTAGGTTTATGTCTCAGTGGATTGTTTCAGACATTATGCTCACTGCTGTTTAAGTTTTTTCTTCTACGCTTTGGCCTTGATCCAAGACGGCCTTCTTAAATCGACTTTTCTAACTTTCAAACTGGCATTATGGAGTAGTGTGAGCATTATAAGTGGCATTATATCCTCATATTATGAGCATTGCCTTTAGCATTATCGCAGCAAATAACAAGCATTACCCGCCCATGCCTAATGTCCAGTCCACTACAATCAGTGACGGTCGTAGCTAGGTCGGACGGTGCGTTGACCCCGTTGAACTTTTGCTACTACAGTACAATGCCCTCTACAAAAAAATTCCCCTGTTATTTTGCACAGAACCATCATATACATTAACAGCATATGTGAGCATAATGCGGCATATGCATAATATGATAACTTTTAGTATAAAAATAGCATAATTCTGCAATTTTTCAGCAACGCGAAAAGCATAATTTAACGAAAATATTAGCATAATCCGTCAACTCCTAAGGCCTCCAGTTTTTGGGGAATTCCCTATCGAAAAATAAAATAAAATTATGAGCACCCTCAAGGATCAAGGTGTAGATGTAGCTCCTGAATTGTGGGGCGGTGAGTACATGTATGTCAGACCCAGTGGGCTTTGAAGTAAGCTTCATAAAGATGAACTTTTACGACAAATATATTCTGGCACCCTATCCCTCGCTGATTCCTGGTATGTGGGCGTGTGTATGGTATGTTGATTCGGCAGTTATTTATTTATTTATTTCTGCACATCTGGAGCCAGTTTTCACCTGTTTCATCCTGATCTTTTCTGTGTTTTTTTGCACAACCAGTGCATTTGCAGATTTGAGTGCTTCTGTTGCAAATGGCTTCCATGGTATATTATGGTGCATGGTGTGTGTGTGTGTGTGTGTGTGTCAGCTAAATTGTTTGGCGGGTGCACTTGTGCAACATAGTGTCTGGGTTTGTTACCGTCAGGCTCGGCTGCTTGAAGGTATATTCCTTTAAATGTCACCTTTTGTTGGTTACATGGTTCCTCCTAGTAGTCTAAATATTTTCTTTTTTGCACACAGACGTTAGTATACATTCCTGTTTACCATTGGAAATTTGTCTGGCTAGATTAACTGTATGTTTTTGTGTTATTGCCTTCGAAATAGATAAGTGAACTGAGAACCAGTGATCACTGTCACATGCACAATCATACTACCATAGCCCGCCTGTTGTCTGTGTGACTGAATGAAAACATTGGTTCGAGATTGTTTTGTAACACTCTACCTTTAAAGACAAATTGTTTGCGCATTGTGCTACTAATTTCTAGATCTCACCAACAGCTGTCCAATTTTGCCTCCGATCACCAATGGCATTATCACGTATCCATCAGGACTTGTGTTCCCATCAGAGGCCTTCTACGCGTGCAACATCGGCTACCGACTTCACGGCCCTAGCCATCGTGCCAGTCGTTCACATTATGTGAAACAACCCGGCGACATACCCGTTCCAGCTACCTGGGATCCATCCTCAAGTCACACATGCAATGGTAAAGTATTTTCAAAGTTTGATATGTTCGCAGTGTAGCCAGATATAGTGGGATGGTCTCGGAGTATGATTAAGAAACAGAGGGTACCAGGCTCAAGTGCTGTTTGAATGCTGGTGCGTATTTCATCTTTGCCACGGGCCACAGTGAATTGAGAACTCGTCGCTTAGCAAGAGGGAAACACGGATGCAGTGAACGAGAATTTCAGCTTTTTATGGTCAAGATCTACTCATCTAGCTCAGTTCTGTATCTTCTCCCTGATGTCTGAGAGTGGTGGCGTTAACCACGGTTGAGGATACTGTGTCTGACTGGATCTCATGGGAACCGTGGAATGTCTTGGTCATCAGTCTTGGATTGATGGTCTTGTAACCTTTGACATTGAGGACTACACAAACACTGCGTTCATTAATGTGTGCCCTGTGATCATGTGAAGATGTGATGGATGTGTAACTGTGCATTTGAGAAGTATTGTGTATATGTTTCTTGTTTGTCGTCCCTCGAAATGCAGTAAACAATTGTCATGCTCCACGTTTGCCCGATGGACAGGTTCTCGGTACTTCCCCTTATTACATGGCCAAGTGCGATGTAGGTTTCAAGTTAGTTGGGAATGCACAGATCACCTGCATCTCGGATACGGAAACAACGCCGAAGCCAGCTTGTCAGCGTGAGTTTGTTTCGCCGAATCCCTTTAAAGCTATTCGGTCATGAGAAACCCCAGTCATTAGCGCTTTGATCAGCAAATTCCCTTCAATCTCTCAAGGTTATTGCATATCTGGCCCACTCGACTGCACCAAGGCGCCAAAGAGGCCTAATCGGGATGGAATTCTTTCTGAGATTCATTTGCAGATTGAGCAATGATGTCATTTTGTCTTAGTAGATAGTGCCTGCGAGAGACTTCACCAACAACAGTTGTGGCTTCTCCCTACGAGGCTCTGTAATTGGCATGGCATTATGCTACCTATTGGACGGGTATTGCGCCAAGAACCCTAATGACTAGAGTTGCATGCCTGCTGACATTAAAAGTGATGCCACGTACAAAGCAACTGACCGTTCGAATGGCATTGTGGCTATGCTTGTGATTTGCCCAAATTATTTAATTCATGTATTACCTCATGAACCTTCCCGAGGCGAAGTGCACAAATGTTCAATGTCTGCTGCAGAATATGGTCAAACGCACTGATGGTCGTGTTGCCTCTTTGTTTTCTCACACGTATTACCTGTATAGCACAGGAGTGTAGTCAAATTATCCTGACTTGGTTTTAAATCCACTTTGCAATTTTGCAGCCATTCGGTGTCCTGCTCCAAGCATCCCTCACAGCGCCGGCCTAATGGATAATTACTCTGATATTGGACAGCAAGTTGAAGTGAACTGCTCACGTGGCTACCGACTGGTGGGCAACAGTACGGTGGAGTGTACGCGTTTCGGCGGGTGGACAAGTCTACCGACGTGTGAAGGTGAGTGCAGGTGAACTTATCAGGAAATCTTCGGGGATTTCCCCGAGAGGGTGAGCCTTTTGCTCCACCATTATCCCCTGGTCATTGCGCCGTTTATTCAATGCCGCTCTGACACAATGAATCTATGCAATCTAGTGGATACAGTAAAAGGAAAAGTGAGGAGAAAGAATATGGCAAAAATGAATTATTGTTTGAATAGCACCTCCCCTCCCCCCCTTCTTCATTCGCCCAACCTGTATCTTTGGAAATGAATCAACGCCAATGCCAACCTGCCATTGTGAATTGGTTTGACGAATCCAAAGGTAAAGTTTTCTAATTTTCCGCAAACTCCAACGCAGCCACTTACACAATATAATTATACTGTCATTTAGGAAACTTCACTTTTCACAACTCCAAACTCCAAAAACAGTCTCTTCACTGCGATTCAAATTCAAAATTACATTCCACCAAATTTTCGGGCCTGTCCCATCATCAGGTTCAGTACCGGTACCCTGATGATGGGACAGGCCCGAAAATTTTGTGAAATGTAATTTTGGATTTTAATTGCAGTGAAGAGACCGTTTTGGAGTTTGGAGTTGTGAAGTGATGTTTCCTGAATCCAAAGGTCTTCAGTTTTGTGATACCCTAATCTTCTGTTTTTTTGCATTTTGAGGTCGAAGTTCCCATCCCTGACTTCTGAGTAGTCCACATTGGCCTTTTTCGATGCCAGCAAGATACAGGGCTAGAGACGTCCTCGGAGTAGGAGTCCTTCTCAGTTGCATTGCAAATTGAGTCATGAAGCCATTTTGTCTTATTTCGGAGTGCCCGCGAGAAACTTAAAAATTTCACGGTTCTATTTGGCACTTCTCTACTTAGCTATATATACAGTTGTCATAGCATTAGGGCTTTTGTGAACAGGTAACACATGGAAAATGGTAAGAATAGATTGACATGCGTGCTCAAACGTATCATCTGTTCAAAAAGCCCTAATGCTATGACAACTGTAGATAGCCAAACGCAACCGGATGGGGGAAACGCTCGGATTGTTTCTATTCGTGTACTTCAAAATAACGAAAGAGTTATGAAAGTAGCAGACCTTCTGAGGCGATGTGCGCAAATGCACAATATGGCCAAACGCACTGAAGGTCTTGTTGACAAATGCATTCGCACAGTAGATCACCTGGAAACCAGTAAAGAGAAAGTGTACCGGGATGAGCTTAATTTGCCAACATAGTATCTTAAAGGTAAGGCCCCTGCCTGGTTCGTGTCATGGTGGCAAGAGTCATTTTTTCTTCAGACTTTTCCCTTTTTCATTCCCTCAATTCGTGAATACCTTTAAAAGGTGTTGGGCAAATTCCGAAAACGAATCCTGACTTGGATTTAAATTCCCTTTGTCCTATTCTACAGCCATTAGGTGTCCAGCTCCAAGCATCCCTCACAGCGCAGGTCTAATTGATAAATACTCTGATATTGGACAGCGAGTTGACCTGAACTGCTCACATGGCTACCGACTGGTAGGCAACAGTACGGTGGAGTGCGAGGGTTCTGGCGGGTGGACAAGCCTCCCGACGTGCGAAAGTGAGTGCGGAAGGAATATTCCGGAGAGCTTTTCAAATTGCCTGAGAAGGCGAGCACTCGTGCCCCACCATTAACCTCTGGTCACGGCCTTTATTGAATTTCACTTCAACACATTGTTTCAATGCACCTTAATCTAGTGGATACAGAGAAAGGAAAACTGGCGAGATAGATTCAAGTGGCAAGCGATGAATTATTGTTTGATTAGTACCCCTCTACCCCCCCCCCCACCCATATTCCATATTCCTTTCGAGAGACTTCAAAATGCTTTATGTGGCACTTCTCCCCTTGACCAACTGCAATTGCCATAGCGTCATGGCTTTTTGAATAGGCAACGCGCCAAAAATTCTAATAAGTGAAATATTACTTCAGTATGCGTGCTCAAATCAGCTACAACGCAACCAATAATTCGCCTGGAACTCGACCTTGATGGCTTGTCTTACGATCGTAAGCGCACAGATTATTTTATTCGTGCACTATGAAGTATGAAAGAGTCATGCAATTTTCAGTCCTTCTGAAGCGATGTGGGGAAATGCTCAGTCTCTGATGCACAGTATGGCCAAAAGCACAGAAGGTCTTGTTGCCAAATGTGTTCGCATTATATATCACCTGCAAAGCGGTAAAGAGCAAGTGCACAGGAATAAGCTGAAATTTCCCAAAACCTTTTTAAGATCAAATGAGAATTTTTATTCGGCAGGCAAAGCGCGATCTCCCACGTAGGGAACGACACACAATCACCTTTAAAGGGGTTGACAGTTTTGAAAAAGAATCCTAACTTTGATTTAAATCCCCTTTGTCCTCTTCTACAGCCATTAGGTGTCCAGCTCCAAGCATCCCTCACAGCTCTGACCTAATTGATAAATACTCTGATATTGGACAGCGAGTTGATGTGAACTGCTCACATGGGTACCGACTGGTGGGCAACAGTACGGTGGAGTGTATGCGTTTCGGCTGGTGGACAAGACTACCGACGTGCGAAAGTGAGCGTATAATAATAATAATGATAATAATATGAAACTCGGATGTTGAGCCATAAATAAATGTAGAAGAGAAAAGGACATATGGATACGAGTTAAGAGTAACTCTCCATCACTGTAACATGATACTTTATACAGTCAGAAAGTGCAATAACTAGGCACAAAACTGACAGAGTACTGAAACATTCGACGTCCTGACACCTAGCTTCAACACATCTCCGTAGCGCTAACCGACAGCCTTCCAACTTGGAAGGTTCAAGGTTATGGAAAGACCAAAGAGGGGAAGGCAAGCGCAATTGTACAATTCGTTTTCGCAAAGCTTCCCTTTCTTTACTTATCTTTGATATTTATGACCCACCCAAGTTGGGTGGTGTGCTGCTTTGCTGCTTCGAATTGTAGTTAGACCGCTTTGTCAAATATCGTACTGGTCTCGTCATCGTCCAGTAACAATCGACATTCTTTGTTCCGTTGGGACTGTAGCTTTTGCTCGTTTTCGTTGCGCTTGCCTTCCCCTCTTTGGTCTTTCCATAACCTTGAACCTTCCAAGTTGGAAGGCTGTCGGTTAGCGCTACGGAGATGTGTTGAAGCTAGGTGTCAGGACGTCGAATGTTTCAGTACTCTGTCAGTTTTGTGCCTAGTTATTGCACTTTCTGACTGTATAAAGTATCATGTTACAGTGATGGAGAGTTACTCTTAACTCGTATCCATATGTCCTTTTCTCTTCTACAATGATAATAATAATAATAATAACAGGAGGCTATCCAAGGTTCGGTTAAAATTCTAAGAACTGTCCTTAACATGTAGATGCACATCTGCTGCGTTTTCATGTTCAATAGCCAAGATACTTGAATAACGACTGATACAGATAATCCTTTGTTACTCCCTTCATTGGTTGATGTCCTTTGCCTGTCGCTGCAAATTCTTTATTTTTGATTTGATGTTGGAGTTCGGATTGAGTTTCTTTCCTTTCTTCCTCTTCCTTCCCCTATTTCTTGTCCCTTTGGTTTTTAACTTTTTTTATTTTTCACTTTCTTTTTGCTGTCCCACCCATGGAAATATTTCCCGGTGGGTCTGGCTTATCGCCTTCGAAAGAAGTGAATATTAAAAGGAGACATAATACTAATAGTAATAACAATGATACGAAATAGTGCTTGCGACTTCGGCGATGATTTTTTAGGAATGGATTTGCTTCCGCACTGGAGCTCGCGCTATTTCCCCGACTTGACTTGACATTTGACTGACTCACGAGTGCCATCCTGAGCACACAATAAGTCCATCGAACCTTCGACTCGGCAAACCTGCAAGAAAGCACCACTCCCTGCTCAATACACAGTGTTGCGGGGAATTCACCCCTCATCAGTTGAGCTTGAGTAGGCTGAGGAAGATTGTGCCTGAAGAGCACCACTTATATAGTGCTCTCCAGGCACAAACATCACAAGGGATACAAACTTACAGAGACGCTCCGTTTACAGCGCGCCAAACACCTCGTGAACACCAGATAGCAGCGTGAGTCAGTGTATTGAGCAGGGAGTGGTGCTTTCTTGCAGGTTTGCCGAGTCGAAGGTTCGATGGACTTCTCCTGTGCTCCGGGTGGCAGTCGTGAGTCATTAAAATATCAAGTCAAGTCGGCGAAATAGCGCGAGCTCCAGTGTGGGAGCAAACCCATTCCTAATAATAATGATAATAATAATTATATACACAGCTCGCATCTTCCCTGAACCTATTAGACAGGAGCAGAGTCGACGCATCTGTCAACAGTGTCAAGCCAAGTTAGTCTATCTGCTGCAGCTTGGAGAGCGCTCTCCTCGGAGAGATCCGCTGCCTTCAGGTCGTGCCGAATCGTATCTATCCACCGCAATGGTGGACGGCCACGGGTTTTTTTATGAATGGTTTCTATTCTTACTTCGCATATTCAAACAGGATGACGACCCAATAAAATGATGGCGAAAGCTTAGCCTAGAAGTAGCAGTGGAAGAGGATAGTACAAGATTAGGATACTAACAATTGAGAGTAAACGGTGGGGGGGGGGGGGGGGAGAGTACGATGTGTCTGTAATACTACGTGAGGATTACTGAACTGTACGGAGAGGGAGAGCAGAGTGATCAGCAGTAGCTCGAACTACTCCCTACAGGCGTATGGCACACATGCATGCTTAAACTCAGGTAGCCGGGTAATTGTGCGCACCTCACCGTGTGCAGGTGGAATATTGCGGAAAGCTTAGGAAATTTCCTGAGAGGACGATCACTCTTGCTCCACAATTAAGTTGACCCCTGGTGATGGCGTTTATTGTATTTCCATTCTATCTAATCTTTCTTGTACGATATTCTGGTGGATAAGCGATGAGAAAGATTGAAACGGTGAATGATGATTTGCCTGTCGAGGGAGGCTTGTGGCAGTCCCAACACCACTGGAAAACCATCTGCTCCCAATTTCTAAGGAGAAAATTGACCTGGTGAATCCTCTGCTCACGCCATGATGAATTCCTAAACGGACCGTTCGTTGTCTGATGATTGGTTCAGCCATGAAACCCTGAGTCACAACGGAATTTGCACAACGTTTTCATTGTGTGCCTTTGTGTAAACGGACCGCGTTACCTTTCAAATAGATGTAGGCATGAAACTGGAGTCGGAGCAATAAACCATATTTGCACATACGAATATAGGTTTTTTGAACACTGAAATTCATAATAATAGTTATAAACTCGGATGTTGAGCTAATAATAAATGTAGAAAGGAAAAGGAAATATAGATACGAGCTGAGAGTAACTCTCCATCACTGTAACCAGATACTATATACAGTCAGAAAGTGCAACAACTAGGCACAAAACTGACAGAGTACTGAGACATTAGACGTCCTGACACCTAGCTTCAACACATCTCCGTAGCGATAACCGACAGCCTTCCAACTTGGAAGGTTCAAGGTTATGGAAAGACCAAAGAGGGGAAGGCAAGCGCAACGAAAATGAGCACAAGCTACAGTCCCAACGGAACAAAGAATGTCGATTGTAACTGGACTATGACGAGACCAGTAGGATATTTGACAAAGCGGTCTAACTACAATTCGAAGCAGCAAAGCAGCACACCACTCAACTTGGGTGGGTCATAAATATCGAAGATATCTCAGTACTCTGTCAGTTTTGTGCCTAGTTATTGCACTTTCTGACTGTATAATTATAGTATCTGGTTACAGTGATGGAGAGTTACTCTTAACTCGTATCCATTTTCCTTTTCCTTTCTACAATAATAATTATGTTATGTTAAATGTCCTACTGGCTGTCGACTTTTTCATTGCCGTCCCCGTACTATCCGTATGCATATGCTCAGAAATACATATACACTGTCAAGCACCTGCGCAACCAGAGAATGGATACCTCTTGCTGGACGGACTGGATGTTCACAGTGCATTCAACATCACGTGCAAAGAGGGATACCGAAGCACGCAGGCAGAGCCGTCGAAGTGCATGCCGAGTGGAAGCTGGTCCAACCCCCCGGGGAAGTGTGAAGGTAATATTCCTACCAAACCACGAGTGCGTGATTGACCACTGTAATTGCCAATTGTTGGGTATTGGGTATGGGGTATTTTCTGTACAGTTTCCTCTCTACTTTGGGCCTGTCTCTATGCAAAAAAGAGTACATCTTTGCGGAACTGTTGGCTCAGAAGGATCTTCAGAGGCTGCAGTAAGAGTTAAAAAAAATCATGCCACGTCCTCATGTTGTCAGGTAAACACTAAATGCAGTGGAAACAATAGACACACGCGGATTGGTTGGCCTTTGAACTTGCATGATGTATTCTATTACACATGGTATCGTACGCATTGCTCATGCGGGCGCATCGGCTGTAAACCGATTCTATATTTCACCACATAATAATTCAATCAACAGACCACATGTCATCCTTTTTTTGTATTTCGTGGATGTATGTTGTCCGCTATTCCATGTGACGTCACAGAGGCCAAGTGCAGGAAGCAGGAAGCACCTCCGAATGGCGAGATCATTGGCTACATTCCACTTGCCGGTCGGGAGGTTTTTTACTACTGCAATGATGACTACGAACTGGAGGGCTCGCGAACACAGAAGTGTAAGATGGACGGCAATTGGACTGGATTAGCACCGGCTTGTGTGAAGAAGGCGACTGGTGAGATGCTTACTGTTAAGAGGCTATAATTATACATGTATAAGTGCAATAAAGAGTATAATAGATGCAGACATGGCCAGATAACAACGAGTTAATGGAATTTTAAAGGATTTTTTATATTATTCAAAATCGATTTTCGTGTTCCGCTCTTCAGTGAATATAACTTTTTTATTTTTTTATTTTTTTCTGAAAGTGCACATGCCTACAACTGTGGTAATTATACTGGTTTTGCCTGTGTCGTGGGTTCCCAATAATCCCATCTCCACGTTGTCTTCTCTCCTCTTGCCATAAACTCGCATGGTGCGCAAGCTCATGGTACCGCAGAGACCAGTCCACAGGTCGGAATTGTTGGCCTGCCTCACCAGCACAGGTTCCTTCTTGGAGCCCCTACTCTTCCCATTGTTGTGTTGGCCTGCTACTTCTCTCCACTCTTCTTACGAGTAGCTTGTGTCTTCGGTAAAAACAACATGGGTGAGCAACCACCGAGTGTGAGTAACGCACTCTGTAGTTGCTCAGTTTGCCCACCTTAACCAAGAACAGCTGCCGTAGAAGGAGAACAAAGGACTAAAATTGAAAAAGGAAGACTCTCTGTCGTCGTTTTCATAAAATCCACGTTGGAAAGCTGTTGTCTTGTACATTCGGGCTGTGATGGAGCTCCACACGAGGTCGTTTATTTGCAGTACCACTCATCAGTATTGTGCTATCTGCTGTAAGTTCTGACTTGCGAATATCGTGGCTATGTTAGTGTTGGACTGTTCTATCAGCACTAAACTCTGAGTTGCATATAGTCCCGAGTGGGTTCCTGTCCTGTTGGATAGTGTCAATACCCGACAAATATCCGTGTGCAAAATCAGTATTTTTTTTTCGCTTTCCAAATGTTTCACAGAATGTATCCCTGATCGATGCGCGTAGATTTGTTTGAACTCTACTAAACGAGCACTCTTCTTTGTGTGTATTTTTTGCTTCACTCTACAGAGGAGCAGGTCAGTTGGGTATCCCAGCCCGCCAGTCTATCCGTCATAGTCGTGATGGTGGTCATGGTACTGGTCGCCTTGCTTCTACCGCTTTGCTTCATACTCTCTCGCAATAGGTCTCGTAGCCAAGACATGCTGGACTCTGGCCAAACAAACGCCAAGGAAGAGCCGGACGTGCCTGGAGAGCAATATGCGCAACCCACGGATATGATGTCCAATTTATCAAGCAAGCGTAAGGACCGCCCTATCGTATCATCGGACTCGGTACCTCGCAACAACTGCATTAGTGCCGGCGCGAGTAGCCTCTCAGACCAGAGTCGACCGAGCGGAATCGTGCCCAGCACACCCATTGGCAGGCACCTGGGCAGTATGGAGAATCTGGTCAGCGACGATGGCCAAGATGAGCATATGTACGCTGATCCGCATTTGAACGACGATCTCGATGACATCATGAAGACTCTGGCGGTATCCGATTGCATTATGCCACCCGTAGCCGCACCTCGCCAGCAGTCGGAAGCAACAGCCAAGAGCAATGCACCTCCTGAGGCAGAGAATTCACATGCTGATGATTACGAAAAGTATGATGTGGACCAGGAAACGATGACAACAATGCCAACAGGTGGACAAGCAGATGACGGCGTGCCTCACGCAGCCGTGCGGAAGAGAGACAGCGTCAGTGCTCCTAGCAAGCCGCAGCGCATCTCGTCGTACACACCTACCGTACTGCAACCCTGCCCGAACGTCAGCGCAGCTACTGCTGCTACGACAGCTGTGCGGGTGCAGTCCTACACTATGGTCGACTTGAAGAAGAAAACGCCACGCGACGAAACGAACAAGAAGAAGACAACCAATTCGCCGATGGCTCTTACACCGACTGTGAAGACCAACTCCGCCGATACTGGAATAAGTCACGGAGGCTCTGCAGCGAAAGATGGCGTTTATGTGAATATGAAGGTTTAATTAAGAGTCCTTGCGCAGGGAGACGGACCAAACTCCCTCTCTTCTTTCTTTACTGAATATCACACAACCATCAGATGCTGCACAGCCGGGGCCTCGATCGACTTTAGTGGCTTGTTTTGTTTTTGGAATATCAGAAGGTAAAGATGAAAGTGATTTCCTGGTTGGCTACGTGACAAGAAGCAGAACAAGAATAGCGATGAAGTTTACGCTCGTCGCTTCAATCTGCCGTCACTGATCCAGCTGGGGTGGAGCATGGCTTTGCACAACACTTCTCTTTGTCTGTTTGCAATTTCACAAAGCCTAAACGTATACTGACATGGGCATCTGCAGGCGCATTTTTCATTTACTTTACTTATGTGCAGGCGCACCCCATAATTTGTATTTTTTATCCCCCAAAGGCTTTCGCCTATCGAGCGGGTTCCCAAACTTTCCATGATACCAAATCTGAAAAAGAAGTGATGAGCAATAGGTGTTATAGCCGGCCTGATGGCAGCATGGAATTTCCCACCCAAGGCCCAGGCTCTTTGTATTTGAAGCATGCACTTTCTGATTGTTTTCTAATTCTATCCAGCTAGAATAACTGCCCCGTTTCTGTCACCAAGTTCGTATTGAATATGTCGGTCAGCCTCCTTTGACATAATTATACGATTGCAGTCCTATGGTGGTCTGTGTCTTCTGTCGTTTCTTTCTATCGAGTTTCGTAATTTGCTGTGCATTTCCTTCTCTCAATTTGCTGTGTCCTGCGGCTAGCAGCATGAGCCACCATTTTCTTCGCCTGCGCTAAGTGAATGCTTCAAGTATCACATCCATGCACATCAATCTTGTTTGCCTTCCTTGTTACGCCAAATATCTAGCAGTCATTCATGCATACATTATGCACATGTACATGTAGGTAAGCACATATCAATAATGCATAAGTACATTATCATTCATACATAAGTACATATCTCACATTCAATCATGAATAAGTCCGGACATACCATTCATTCATGCATAAGTCCGGACATACCATTCATTCATAAGTAAACATTCCTCATCCATCAGCATACATCATTGGTGCTGACCGCTTTAATGAGCTTCCCGAATCCCTTTGCACAAATCATATCCCCAATTCATTTCGCCAGGAACTTCACAAATTCATTCACCTTGGGCACCCTGTAAGAAGACCTTAGGGTCTGTTGGGAATGCCCAGGTAAAATAATAAAATAAAATACAATCATCCAATCATAAGTATACATGCTTTTTTTTAAACTACACATCCTCATTTATTCGTACACAGCCTTCATTCACAAGTATTAGAACGAGGTGTGTCTCGTTGTCCAGGAGACGGACAGTCAGCATGCAGTATGTACTAGTGATAGCTTAGTGCGTGGCACGGAGGATCTTATGGCTTGTTTGTGACCTTCAGGTTAGCCCTCGGCCCTACGGCCCTCAGGCTAACCTGCCGGGCGCTAACATATCGGTCCTACGGCCCTCATGCTAACCTGAAGGGCACAAACAAGCCATAAGGCCCTCCGTGCCATCATGGAATAAGGTATAACTAGTACATACGACTCGTATTCTTCATACATGTACATGTATGTAAACAGCTCGCGCTTCAAAGCTGATGCATGGTTCTTCGGACTAAATCGCTTTGTAAACATAATTATGCGCTGGAGATTACGACGAGACAGCAGACCTCGTTCCAAATACAGATAGCGTATGAGATGTTTGCAAAGGCCATGATCTGAACTGGTCATCCAATTCCAGAAGTGGGTATGAAGTCCAACATTCTATGTATGCAGGAAAAGGACTTGGTAAGTTGAAAGTGAAGATAATTTAAAGGTGGATGGAAGCTTTTCCCGATTTGAACATACATGTATTAATTAAGGCTGTATTAATTATGTGCGCGTTAAGGTTTCTGTATGAAACAGACGTACCAAATTACCGACATGATCACCAAAAAATTCAGTGATTGCATTAAAAGCGGAATGTGGAAGAGGACTTCCGCATGTTTCACTGCTAAACTTCCTGATAAATCATTTCTTCTTTCACATGCATTCCGTAGGCTGCATTCCCCTTCATGACTGCAAACGGCTCGTCTCCCTTCATTGACATGATGTCCATGCAGGGTGCCTTGCTGGGTACTGGGATAACATAATTGCGTCGAGTCTGTAACTTCTTCCTCATAACGGCGCAGGCGACGGCCGGGATCAGGAATCCTGCAACGAAACCTGCTACGCCCGTAATGATGGCAAGAGTAGATGAACTCGCTCCACCAGTTGCCACAGATCCTAAAAAGAGACATGGGAATTATTGACAGAGTTTAAATAATTTTTTTGTGGAAAGGAGATTGATATCAGGTGAAGACTAGAAATATCGAACTAACAACTGGCAACAATATGAGGGAAGGATCCCACAAACAAAGCTAACTGCGACGCCATGGGCTGTGATTTCTGAAATCATTCCATGTGTGACAAGTACATATACTTCGGAGTACATGGACATGTATTATGCTTCAGTTGCTGAATTTCAATCCACAGGAACGTTTCCAATTACAGGATTGTATATGTGTGTCATTTCTTACCTGTGTCTGATTTTCGGCTGCAAGTGGGAATTTCGGCAGACCAGTTGCCCGTTGGCAGACAGTCCAGTATACGTTTGGCAGATCCGCTGAGCACGTAGCCATCTTTACAAGCTACGACTGCAAGAGTGGTGGCGGCGTTGTCATTCATAAGTAGCACACCGTTCTCCGGGCTCTTCAGAGGAGAGCATGTTATACCTGCGCAGACGTGTAAGCATATACAGTAAAACCTGTGACTAACGACCACCCCTTGGGGCCATGGAAAGTGGTCGTTAGTGGCAGGTGGTCCTTAGTTACAGGTTTGCACCGCACAACCATAATAGGAATTGGAGACCGTCCTTGCCTGGCGAAGTGGTCTGTTGTACCAGGCTGGTCGCTAGTCTCGGTGGTCTTTAGTTACAGGTTTTCCTGCACATGTACCTGTAACGTTAAGCCCATGAAAATCGCGTTATGCCCTTCCTTTCCTAAGGAGCGTCTTTACAATTCTGCTGGCTTCAAAAGTAGCGCATCAGTAGCAATAAATCGTTAGGGAGCATTTTTTTATTAGTGGTATATATTTTTTTGTGACCAGACGAAACCAGACGAAGCTAGCAAACACTAGCACGAACAATTCACCAGTCATTCTTGTTCTCTCCCATTCTACATGACTTGTAGGCATGTGTACTTTCACAAAAAAGCACACACACACTCCACAACAGCTAGAAGTTGCTCCCGATAAGCCTTGTTTCGTTACAATTATGATGAACGCATCAGAGGAGACACAGATATTGAATGAAGTGGGTTGTACTAAATGATATTGTTTTACAGAAGATATGGGCGCAATGTGTGTACACTTAACACCAAATCAACACGAGTGGAATAGTGTAGAGCGGAAGAGTTGTCAACCCCACCGATACAACTATCACAGGTGCTACGTCAATCACAAGCAGAAAGAGAGGTACACAGGACAGGTAGCGCTAAAAACTAAAGATCACAAAGTATACCAAAACAAATAAATGTTCATCAGATGTGCAATATTGAACTCGGATGGTGAGCCAATTAAATTATTGTGAAAAGAAGAAGGATTTAATTGGCTCACCATCCGAGTTAAATATTGCGCACCTGATGAGCCATCATGACCTAAACGGCGAAATGTACGTCGTGTGGAACATCTTGTTATTGCAAATATATGTTGTACCTCTACAATGGGTCTCTGGGTCAGCAAGGGAAGGCGCAATGCGGGAAAGACTTGATACAGTATTTGCAGTTTTCCTGTTCCCACAGCCTGATCTTTCTCGTTCCCCTCTCCTGCCCTTCATTTGATGGGAGCATTAGCTTCGGAATACCTCTCTTCTGTTTCAGATTCTAGCATTTCTGAAATAATCCCTGGCGTGAGATCAAAAACATATGATTATTGTATTTATTCACCTGTATTTACTAAACGGGAACAAGGAAAAAGGTGGGGCACAAGCTATGCGTTAGATTCCACCAACTTAAAATATTCCTTTTGCTCTCTGCCCTTCATGGCACATGATGAAAATAGCCAATACAAGGAAGTGAGAGTGAATCCAGCCACGGAGCGTGAGCAAAGTTGCAATTAATAATGCACACTTGGTGAGATGTGTATGCACCTGTTGAAGATATTTTACAAAGTCAAGAATTGCCGTGTACTTACGCAAGCACGCGAAATGCGTCCAGGTGGCATTAGCTGTGCACGAGATGTATCCACCGCCTGTGTAACCAGCCACACAGTTCACGTAAAGGCTGGTGCCTGGAAGGTATGGACGATTCCCCTGCAGTACGAACGACTTGCTGACGTTGGGCTCGGAACAGGTTAACACTGTTGTCACAATAACATAAATATGAGAAATAAAGGGTTTACAGTAAGATGTTTCAACAAGGGCATTGAAACGCAAAATAATTATTTTTTGTATCTTGCCAAAAGTTGGACTACTTGTAGTTGTAAGTAACATACTTTCCCACGAGAAGATGGTAAATTGATGCAAGTGCGGTGTGGGATGAGGAAAAAGCACTTTTTGGACAATATTTCTATCATGGTGAAAAAGGTAAGTGACTTATGGGTATTTCTTTATAATTGGATTTCTACTGCAAGTAAAAAAATCGTGTCCGTTCCCGAAGGCAACTCACGACGGCCCCTAACACCCGGTAAACCCTTCTCCAAGTACACCGCTGCTATACAACTAAAGTCCCAAATTTTCACTTCGCAAATGAGGCCAACAATGCCGTAGTTTATGAATTAAGATAAACCTTACATTTGCAGGTGCCAAGTGGTGGTGCCCATGATCCATTGCTGATACAAGTCGTCATGGCCGAGCCGTCAGCACAGTACCCGGATTGGCACTTGAGGTGTGCTGTGCCGTTCGTGAGGTAGCTGTTTTCCATCACATTCCCATTGGATATGAGCTGAATTGAGTTGCATACATGTGCTGAACAGGACCCCAAAGCAAGGATACTCACGAAATATTGTTTGAGATGTTTTGGCAATACAATCATGTATTTGAAGTAGCTGGAAGTACGTTTGTCACAACGCTAATGTCAATGTGCATACGGCTTCGTGTTGGGTTGAGGCAGCGATTGTTTTGGACATTTTTGTTCATTTGGACTTGTGACCCGCAATGTGATACAAATAGCGACACGATGCCAACTGTGGACATGCTCAAACATACATTGATCTACACCTTAGCGTTAATGTTTTTCCTTTTTACTTCAGGCTGCTTTCCTATTAGGCTATTTTCGAAAAATAATTATATTGTTTCAATTCGCTTCCATGTAATTGGGCGACACCGCTCATTTGGTTCTGCAAATTAAAGTAAAACACGTACGTACCTACCTACCTACATGGTACTATCGTGAAATAGTTTGTTGGGAAATCCCTATCAAAAATAAGAATTTTTTGAAAGGATTGGGAGAACTTCAAATTCAAAGGATCAGTCGGAGAAGTGAACTGCCTGAAAAGAAAAGAAAAAAAACGCCCGACCCACCAGGACTCGAACCCGGTGGGTCCTGGTGGGTCTGGCGTTTTTTCACTTTTCAGGCAGTTCGCTTCATCTAATGACACAATTTGCGCCAGGCACCGTGCAGCCGTATACCTTCCACCACTGGTGCAGTGTACTGACTCATTAGAGCGGTCTTGGTTTCAATGTGAGAAGCCAAGAATATTCTGCTTTGTGGTGACTTTAATGTTGATCTGGTCAGTCAATCTCCCACATCCCAGCATGCTTCCTTGCATGACATCACAACCAGCTTAGGCCTGCATCAACTTGTAAAATCTCCAACACGCATAACGCTGCAAGGGAGCTGCACTCTATTAGATCATGTCTATAGTACAGCTCAAATCATATCCCCGCCTGATGTGTGTCCAGTTCCGTTCAGCGACCACTGTGCTATTGCAACCAAGATTTGTGTTAAACCAGTGCCGACAGCATTGCCTTCTCAGCGACTTTATCGAAACTTCAAGAGAATGGACTTGGCATCACTTCGTATGGATATATCTTGCGCCAACCTCTGTGAACTTCGTGGGTCCTGCGATGACATGTGGCAACAGTGGCTGACTAAGGTTGTGCCCATTCTTGATGCACATGCTCCATTGCGCCACGCGTCTTCCCGACCAAGACAGCATTCACCATGGGTCAATGAACATTTGTTCCTGTTGATACGACGACGTAACCACGCTCATCGGAAATGGCTGCAATCTAAGTGCCAGACTGATTACGATGCGTTTAAAGAAGCCAGGCGTATCGTGACTCGTATGAACCGTGAATTGAAGACGAATTTTTTTCAGTCTAAGTTCACCAGTGTTCAAGGTAATCCCAGGAAAACGTGGAAGGTTTTGAACGAGTTATCCGGAAGACAACGTGTTCAATCCGTTCCACAATGCTCTGCAAGCAACATTGGGTGTGTATTTGCTGATGTTGTCAGTGATCAACAACGAGCACCTGAACTGTGTCTTCCACAGGGCCCAGTGGGACCTAAAGGTTTTACATCCTTCAGTTCGGTGTCAATAGGTTGTGTGCGTAAACTGTTGGGTTCCTTGGACACCAGCAAAGCGACAGGCAGTGATGGAATACCCGCATTTCTTCTGAAGTCCTGCGCTGATTTGCTAGCTCCCTCCTTAACATTGATATTTAATGCATCTCTTGCTGTTGGTTCTGTGCCGGACGGCATGAAGTTGGCACATGTCACGCCGGTATTCAAGGCTGGAAATCCTCAAGATCCGGGAAATTATCGCCCTGTGTATCTCCTGCCAATTGTGTCGAAGCTGTTAGAACGAATTGTCCATAGACAACTATCCTCATTTCTGGACAAGGAGAATTTGTACCCTCCCTGTCAGTTTGGCTTTATACGTCAACATTCAACGGAAGACGCTCTAGTTTTCGTCACGGACACGTTTGTTCGCGCTCGCGATGCCGGACAAATTACTGGTGCTGTGCTCGTGGATATGTCCAAAGCATTTGACAAGGTCAGGCACCAAGTGCTCATTAATGATTTGTTTGAGCTTGGCATATCTGGTTCAGCATTAGTTTGGTTTGCCGACTATTTGTCCAATCGTCGCCAAATAGTGCACATTGCTGAGAACTATAGCCCTCCTTTCCCCTGCATGTGTGGCGTTCCCCAGGGCTCTGTTCTTGGTCCGCTGCTTTTTGTACTCTATGTTCATTCGATCCAGTCCATTGTCTCCGAGTTTTGTGTGAAAGTTATTCAATTTGCTGACGATATTCTATTGTATGTTTGCGGTACGCAGAAGAATGCGCTTAGCAACTCCCTGTCTGCAGCTGTCTCAGCCATTAGTACCTGGCTGTCAAACCGCAATTTAATTCTAAATGCTCGGAAGACAGAAGTGCTCTTCCTGTCTACGCCACATATTACTGACCACCAATTTGCAGTCTACTGCCATGGAGTGCAGCTCAAGCAAGTGACATGTGCAAAGTACCTTGGAATACATTTGGACCAGGATCTTTCTTGGAGCACTCAAGTTGATTCTATGGTCTCCAAACTAGCCAGTAAAATTGGTATTCTGTTCCGAAATCGACACAATATTCCGCTGACTTGCCGAGAAACCTTCGTAAAGTGCCTAGTGTTGCCAGATTTTCTATATGCATCAAATTGTTTTTCTGCTGGCCTTTCCTTAACCCAGTTAGGTAGGCTTGAACGAATGCTAAAGCGAGCTTTGCGTTCAGTGTACGATACTGGTTTTTGTAGCCCATCAAGCCCTTTATTTGCGAGACTTGGTCTAGATCGTTTGGCAACCATGTATTGCAAGAAATTACTGTATCTGACGTGGCGCTGTTTGGAAGGCCGCTGTAGTGTCACATTAAGTCAAATGTTCGAGCGTTTAAATAATGGTCTTGCAACGCGCAGCCTTGTATCACGCACTCTTAAGTTGCCCATGCTCAGAACTGCCTTTGCCCGTCATGGCGCTTCCTTCCAATGTGCTAAGCTGTGGAATGATTTGCACCCTCTAGCTCGCTGTGTGGATAACTCCGCCCGTTTTAAGAAACTGTTACCCCAATGCCTTGCTTTTTCACGCTAGTAATTATGACTTTCAGCTATGCAAAATGCGAACATGATCACCTATCCAATACCGGTAGTCTATTATTATATTAATTATTCATATCTTTTTGCATCTTTCCCTCGAGTGGGTCTATTGTTATTAGGCAATTGTCTGTTATAGTCACCACTATAAATAAAAATCCAATCCAATCCAATCCAATGTGCAGAGAATTCATAGCGAAGTGGCGAACAACCACAACTTGGAGCGGAGATTGCAAACGTGAATTTCTTACGTTTACAGGAAGGAAGAGCCGTTGCTGTGCTGTCGCTCAAGCATGTCACATTCGATTGTCCTACTTGTTCAAAACCAGGGTTGCATGTGCTGGTATAAAGTGGCCCCTGTCCGGTGAGCAATCCATTCTGCAGTGTAGGCGGAGTGCACTTGTAGGCTGCAAGAGCAGATAAGCAACAGTGGAAAACATACAGTCACATCCTTTGCAATAGCATCAAGTCTTCTTTTTATATTTATCAAATCAAACATTTATGTACATGTAGCTTTGTGCATGTTCAACGTCTTCTCCGTCTGGATCATGTATTGGATTTTTCACGCATGCAACCTAGGATGCTCTGTCAACTCATAGAGACTAGGTATGGTTGCCATGGGCTTTTTCCTGACGCCAGGAGTACAGCCTGCTCGACTCGACCGTAGTACTGGATGACCATGATCCAGGCATTGATCTGATGATCTGCGTCAAGGAGATTCTAGACTCAAATAATGGGGCTCGAACACCTGACCTCTTGCTTTGTAGGCGCATGCGATAAACAACATAATACCGCATACCCAATGCTGTACACAGCAAACTGTTTCGGCCATAACGCCCTCATCAGTACAGCTACGAGCTTTGAATAGGCCGAGTTACCAGCCATGGTGCAAAGGCGGCACCACAGACATTTTAAAAGATAGCTCGTTTGCTCTAGCGCCTGAGTGCTCCAACTACGAAAAGTAGCGAGCGATGCGTAATGCAGCAGCACTAGAGCAGCCTACTGAGAGTTCTCAACAAGACTAATGTCGAGGAATACAGTATGCTTCCAATTGAAAGGTGTGCGCGTTTTCTAGTGTGTAATTCTATTATACTATGAACACCCCTGTACTGCGAAACATGTGGAGAATAAGCCAAGCGGGGTGTTTGAACGACGAGCCGATGTGCTGTGAGCCACTGAACCGACTAGAGGTCTTGGCATTACCGTTGCAGCTGGGCATCAAAAATGGGAGAAGTCTGCAGAAGAAAAGAGAGAGGATCAGTTACTTCTGAAGTACCAAAAACAAGAACTTGTTGTAAAAGTGGTAAGTACTCTGTAAATTAAGTATTTCAGAAGCATGAACGTTCTCTCACCAGAGCAGGATTTTACCCCCTCGCACCAGTCAGCGTTCGGGTCACACTCGGCATAGTTGCTCCCCTTGATATGGTAGCCTGGGTTGCATCTGTAGACGGCCAGGCTGGGAAAGCGAAGACCAGTCGGGTAAGACACAGTACCGTGGGCAATGCGCCTGTCCTGGGCACATGGCGTGCTGTTTGCTGAGCAGAACGGTACACGCACACACACACACACACACACACACACACACACACACACACACACACACACACACACACACACACACACACACACACACACACACACACACACACACACACACACACACTTGTTGCTCACTGCCAAAACTGGTCACGTGAGTCTCCCCTGGAAAGGGGAGAGAGACTCGGAATCTTGGGACAGATGACTCAATTGGCTATTGAACCGCCCAACGGCCGACACCCTCTGAAATCCACAAAACTCTGGGTGGACTTGGAAATGGTCCCACTTATGGGCTCACCACACCTGAGTAAATGAGTGACGACGAGGTGCAGAAAAAGGATTGACGGCACCCGCGTATCCGTCTCGGGAACCAGCTGCAGTTACCCCTGCCCCAGTGAAGGTAATACTTGATACTAGTGTGTGTGGCTAAATCAGAGTGGATCTGATATAAGCTTCACTAGCACCATTGATTACACAAGAGTTCATTTAGCCAGAAACAGTCCATTTAACAGGTATGTATACTTCAAATAGAAAGTATATGAACCGTGGAAACAACAAAGACACACACACGCGCACACAGACACACGCAGACACACACACGGCACTGAAACGAAGCATGTCCCACTTCTTCTGTGCACATGCATTTCATTTTTCAACCACGACGCCATACTTGCGCTCTCCAGGCGACCTCGACACGCTGCCACAGCACACCATCAGCAAAGCGGCAAATCCGTTGGCACTGAATTCCTTCGTACAGCTGTTTCGAGTTTAAAACTCTGCTCGGTGAAGGTAGAATAGGTAGAATGGCTAAGATAGTGAAAATCACGACTACGACTTTGGGATCTCGGGTTTCTTTGTAGATGCTACGCGCAAAAAGTTGAAAAAGCAAATGGCTAACGGCATACACTTATAAGGCAGGCAGGCATAGTGGGATGGTTTAAGACCATGATTGAGAAACAGAGGGTACCAGGTTCAAGTCCTGCTTGGAAGCGGAAGGATTTTTTCCAGCCGTGCTGCGACCCACAGTTAATTGGGAACTCGTGGCCTGGCACGAGGGTAACATGGATGCAGCTAATGGGATTTCGGTCTTTGACCACTTGGTGGTGGGTCTGATCTACTCACCTCCCACCGTTCAGGCGCTGCATCTGCGCCTTTGATCCTAGAGGGTGGTGGCGTTCCCACGGCGGATGCGGAAAACTCGGCTTCCAGCCGAGTCTCACGCGAACCGTGAAATTTTAATTTATATACACTTATAAACATAGTGGGTCTATTGTCATTAGGCATCTGCCTGTTTTGATTTCTCCACTATAAATAAAAGAGTTTTCAATCACAAAGCAACTGGTCAGTACATGGGGTAGTGGTCTACCAGAGCAATCACACTCATTGTTATTAGGCATCTGCCTGTTTTGATTTCTCCACTATAAATAAATGAATACTACTAGCAGGAGTCGTAAAATACCGGTATTGTTTTTTAATAGCTGTGAAAAGTATGAATGCCGCAGACATCACCACGCAACATGACAATTTGTTCAAGGTTTGAGATTGTGTGTTTCCAGAATCGATTGTCAAGCTCCAATCATCAGTGGAAATACGGAACTAAAGTGATCAAGGGAAAAACAAAGGTTAAAAATCCAAAGAAGTGTGACACATAACGCCATGTGTCACACTTCTTTGGATTTTTTGGTATTCTTGGTCGTATGGTATTGCGTCTTCCGGATTGTCCCTTGACTCGTCTTGTCCCTCTTCTTGAGTTTGCAGGCCTTCATAGCGCTCGGACAAGTGCAATGCACAGACGCTCACTAGCTACACAGACACAGTACACTGGTTCTGGCACATTATTTCTGCATTGATAATCATAGTGATTGTTTTCCGCGCCAAATTTCTGACGCTGCATGCGTGTCCCATGTGCGTCAACAGTACCTCACTTTCCTTTTCCCGCGTTATCACCTCAGCTATGCCAGTTTTGTATGTGAAAAGCCCCAAATATAATAGCAGCTTGGTCTTGTATATTATAATCATTCAACATCTACCTTCACTGATGAGCTATGTATTAGCGAAACAGCTGTCTGAAGGAATACAAGTTATCAATATCGTCTATGGCAGTGGCCTCGCAGTGGTGATGGTTGTGTGCAGGAGGGTCTAGTCGGCTGAGAGCGCAGTGTTGTTGTTGTTGTTGTTGTTGTTGTTGTTGTTGTTGTTGTTGTTGTTGTTGTTGTTGTTGTTGTTGTTGTTGTTGATGTTGTTGTTGATGTTGTTGTTGTTGTTGTTGTTGTTGTTGTTGTTGTTGTTGTTGTTGTTGTTGTTGTTGTTGTTGTTGTTGTTGTTGTTGTTGTTGTTGTTGTTGTTGTTGTTGTTGTTGTTGTTGTTGTTGTTGTTGTTGTTGTTGTTGTTGTTGTTGTTGTTGTTGTTGTTGTTGTTGTTGTTGTTGTTGTTGTTGTTGTTGTTGTTGTTGTTGTTGTTGTTGTTGTTGTTGCTGTTGCTGTTGTTGTTGTTGTTGTTGTTGTTGTTGTTGTTGTTGTTGTTGTTGTTGTTGTTGTTGTTGTTGTTGTTGTTGTTGTTGTTGTTGTTGTTGTTGTTGTTGTTGTTGTTGTTGTTGTTGTTGTTGTTGTTGTTGTTGTTGTTGTTGTTGTTGTTGTTGTTGTTGTTGTTGTTGTTGTTGTTGTTGTTGTTGTTGTTGTTGTTGTTGTTGTTGTTGTTGTTGTTGTTGTTGTTGTTGTTGTTGTTGTTGTTGTTGTTGTTGTTGTTGTTGTTGTTGTTGTTGTTGTTGTTGTTGTTGTTGTTGTTGTTGTTGTTGTTGTTGTTGTTGTTGTTGTTGTTGTTGTTGTTGTTGTTGTTGTTGTTGTTGTTGTTGTTGTTGTTGTTGTTGTTGTTGTTGTTGTTGTTGTTGTTGTTGTTGTTGTTGTTGTTGTTGTTGTTGTTGTTGTTGTTGTTGTTGTTGTTGTTGTTGTTGTTGTTGTTGTTGTTGTTGTTGTTGTTGTTGTTGTTGTTGTTGTTGTTGTTGTTGTTGTTGTTGTTGTTGTTGTTGTTGTTGTTGTTGTTGTTGTTGTTGTTGTTGTTGTTGTTGTTGTTGTTGTTGTTGTTGTTGTTGTTGTTGTTGTTGTTGTTGTTGTTGTTGTTGTTGTTGTTGTTGTTGTTGTTGTTGTTGTTGTTGTTGTTGTTGTTGTTGTTGTTGTTGTTGTTGTTGTTGTTGTTGTTGTTGTATATTTATTTTACATCGCAAGGCAAACGGGCAGTTCTGCCCAATATTATGGAAGCGATGACAACGTGTAGTGGTGGAGGTGACACTCAACATTTTTCTTCAATGGCCGAGAACTCTGTCGCACCCTGTAATAAGATGGTACATTTGGGTCTTTCAGTATAACAACAAAGAAAAACGGAGCCAAAGTCCAATGTAAACTATCACGACTCAACAGAAACGCCAACAAGAACAGCAATTTTGATCCTGAAACCTCAGTGCAATGGCGTGGACAAGACTATTAGGGAAACAACACCAAACTTGCACGCGCTTGGTGACAAGCCGAGGGGGGAGCACTATTCAAGAGAGTGCTTTATTTGTCCACTGGCTATTAGAGACTGGGCACTATTCGAGGCAGGACACTATTCAAAAGATGGCTCTAATGGTGCGAGAACGGTAGGTCGTTATTGTAAATAAAGAAAGTATTATTATAATCTCTGTTGTGTACAAGGCTCTACCTACCCTACATGGGTATTGAGTACTCTTCGGACAGTGGAGCACACCACTTGATTGCGTGAAAGAAATAATTATTACCAAGCTTGCCTGCAAAAGACGCAGAAACCACTAATAATAGCTATAAAGAGAACAAATTCTGCTGTCATCGCCACACTACAACAAAGTCATGAAGGTTTACCAAAATCGATTTTCTTGTCACAATCATCAGTGGAAAGCCGTGACTGAAGAATAACCATGCCAAATCAATAATTTATATACATTCAATAATGTGTTACGAGAACAAAACAAAGTGCTAAAAATAGAATGAGGGAAGGTGAGACAATAGAAGTAAAGTGACAAGAAAATCGATTTTGGTAAACCTTCATGACTTTGTTGTAGTGTGGCGATGACAGCAGAATTTGTTCTCTTTATAGCTATTATAAAATTGTTGTCTCCGCGTCGATTATAAACCACTAACACGTCTTTATTTACTTACCCACTATAGGCAGGTCATTATGGCAGATGACAGTAGCTGTTGCTGGGCATGGAGACTGCGCAGGAAAGCATGTGACGCTGCTACTATTAGAGGATGTCACCCAAAGCGTTACACTTGATCCAGTAGATGACCTTATGAGTTCACGGTAGTCTCTGAAGCACACTTCCTTCACCATGGAGTCGGAAGGCAACATATAGGTGAGCGATGTACACGTTGATCTAGCTGAAGCAGCTGTTTTGGCTTTCCATGTACTACCGGAGATCAGATAGGAACCGTCGGACGCGTTGCATCGGAAGTGAACTGAACAATAGGCAGCACAGATAGAACACTCTAACACCTCCTGCTATCAACAGAGATCCCCATCGTTGCTCAACACTACAAGGCAGCTTCAGTATGCTGTCCAGCATGTAGACCTGGTATACCGTGTTCGCGCGATTAGTGAATACAAACAGGCAGTGTTGCCATATTATTACGTGAGCTCGACTACAGGCACTCTAATATAAGGAAAATAGAGTAGGGTTTTAGACTGCAGAGGAAATATTGCAATCATAGTTATGTGATCAGTGAGCAACGTAAGTCAGTGAATTTTCAGGTGGGTTAAAAGAGCGTCCGGAATTGACCGGGTTTCTCCAGTGGTCGTAATAATAATATAACAATAAATCAGCGTATAGATGCAGGCAACTTATTCCAGAGAGCGGGACATTGATATGAAGGGCTGTGTGTGGCGGCGGCAGATGTGACCCTCGGGAAAAGAAGCAGGGGAACATCTGTGCTCCTTGTTCGACGGGTGTGTGACAGAGGTGTAACGAGGTCATGAAGAAACGCAGTACAGTTATTAAGAATTGCATGAAAGGTTAGCAGGAGGAGTTTGCACCCCACCAAGCTAAAACAGAAAAGAAAAGAACAAGACATTGCAAATCTTACAAATATTAACGGACGGCATGCACTGGGTGATTGGTGAGCTATGCATGATTGCTTCTCTTTGGCAAGTACAGTGTGTTTGTCTTGCAGCACGTGTCAGTGGGGCTTCAATTAATATTTCAACTGCGCATGCTTAATCCAGTACAATTCCCTTTCTCTGCCCAGTGGGGCTTCAATTAATATTCTAACTGCGCATGCTTAATTCAGTACAATTCCCTTTCACTGCCCAGCTATTGTTTGCCTTTGGCATCATGGACAACTCAACCATGGGCGAAGAAGAGCCCTTGGGGAATCCGATTAAAAACAAGAAATTGTTTTGGGAAAACTACAAGTTTGTCTTACACGCATAGTCGATCACGTTATCCGTGGTTGGCACGCAGGTAGTTGAGATCGAGGACAAAGCTAGTCCAGTACGTAGTAAGACCACTGTTAGCACTTGAAAAATGACTCCCATTCTAGACTCTCCACAGAAGGCTTTTAAGGAACACAACACGTATTGAAAAGGTTTCGCTGGGCAGATTCCTTGTATGCGGATGAAGCCGCCTCTCTGCGCATCGTATCGAAATCAATCAAGGGCAATATATTTTGATCTCACGAGGCTGAGCTCATCCCGTGATATTCCTCGCCGCCACTGCACCGTATCAGCCAAACGTCACGAGCAGCAATAGCTAGCCATGCGTTCAATTATATGGCAGGGTTATCAAATGGGACGTTCAGAATGGCTTACATGGCGAAGTGTCGTCCAATGCCTTTTGCAGTACATACAGGTGTTCATGGATACACGCATCAGTAGTCCCTCGACTTCGAAAGCTTCCTGTAGTGACTGATTGTGTAGTTCTCTCTCTGTCTCTCTCTTCTGTGCACTTCGTGTGCATGTCCGTGATCGACGTGTGTAGTCCCTGTGTTTGGGCAGCTGGAAGCAAGGCGCAGTGATGCTGGGAGTTAGAGGGTGAGGCTGGATATCACCTTTAAGAAGCGGGAGCGCAGTTGTGAGTGGCTGGGTGTCTAGCCATGGTCTGGGCACAATGCAGTCAAACATCTGGGGTCGCGACCTCAAAGTCAGTAGAATGATCACAGGGTTGCAATGTATGTTGCTTGGCATATGGGTACAAGTGCTTTATAGGGATTGGGTGACCATTGCCATGCAAGAACATGTGCTGCATTCGTTCAGACAGACAGTGCCAGCTGATTTGCAACCCTACTAAGGCTTGCAAGCAGGCAGGCATAGTGGGATGGTCTAAGACCATGATTGAGAAACAGAGGATACCAGGTTCAAGTCCTGCTTGGAAGCGGAAGGATTTTTTCCAGCCGTGCTGCGACCCACAGGTAATTAGGAACTCGTGGCCTGGCACGAGGGAAACATGGATGCAGTGAATGGGATTTCGGTCTTTGACCACTTTGTGGTGGGTCTGATCTACTCACCTCCCTCCGCTTAGGAGCTGCATCTGCGCCTTGACCCAAGAGGGTGGTGGCGTTCCTGCGGATGCGGAAAACTGGGCCTTTGGCCGAGTCTCACGCGAACCGTGAATTTTTTTAATATTAAGGCTTGCGGATGTTTGGCATCCATGCTCACGCTCATTTCGGGAAGCAGTAATATTATAGTCTTGCCCATAGGATTGCCAGGCTGCCATACATGGAGGGTCCAGACATAGAACATCTCTGTCTTCAAGTCAGCGTCACTCAATAGCTTCCAATGGCCTTCCATGCCTTCTACGGCCCGCCACACCATACCGTAGACGAGCGCGAACAATTCTTCATTTCATAAATTCCCACGCAGAATGTTTTCCATGACCGTGTTCCGCTTCCAATCGTTTTCACTGTTTACACGAGTACAAAAACGTTTTAAAACCGTTTCAAAACACTTTCCATTTCCTTCCGTTTCGGGTGCGTTTTCGTGAAGGTAAACACGAAAGCGATTCCTAGTTGGCTACGTACGAGGATTCGTGAAAAAGAGCAGTACAAGAACAGCATGAAGTATTAGTTCATGCTTGTCTCTTCAAGTCTTGACGTCACTGATCCAGCTGGGTGGAGTAGGGCTTTGCACAACACTTCTCTTTGTCTGTTTGCATTTTCACAAAGTCTATAATGGTATTCACATGTGCATCTGCAAGCGAACGCTGTAGCCTGCTTGCAATATTGAATTTCCCACCCAAGGCCCACGCTCTTTGTACTGAATCATTCCCACTGCACTTTCTAATCATAGTTACTCTAATTATATCCAGCTGGACTAAGTGCCGTGTTTCCGTAACAACGTTCGCATTGACATGTCGGTCAAACCAAAATTCGACAACGCAAAGAAACAACCACCCTATTTGGGAGGCTCTTTATTATCAGAGATGAATTGTGCCCACAATTTTCATGGTACAAATATTTTACTTGGCTGACCATCTGAGTTCTTTTAAATGCACACCTGAAGAGCCGTCATGAACAATACGGCGAAATGATCGCCGTGTGATACGATACATGCAATTAGTTAGTCCATCATTGTAATCAACTAAGTTCAGTACTGTAGGATAGTGGCATTCGGTTTATTTCAATTCGTCCTCGCGGAGCTTCCCCTTCATATTTTCATCTCTGATAATATTGAGCCTCCCAAGTTGAGTGGTTGTTGCTTGGCGTTGTCCAATTGTAGTTTGATCGTTCTGTCCGGCCTTGCCGTCCCGTCATCATCCCAGGCCAGCATTCCATGAAGCCTTGGAATGTAGCTTGTGCTCGGCTCGATGGCGCTCGCCTTCCCCTCTTTGGAATTAGCACTAATATCCATGAAACTTCCAAACTAAGAAGACCATAGGTCTGTGGGGACTGCCCTAGTAAAATATGAATAAAAAAATAAAAAATAAACTGGAAGGCCGTTGGTTAGCGCTATCGAGCAGTGCTCCTCAAGCTGACGTTCATGCCGTGGAATGCCTCAGTACTCCTTGTCAGTTTTGTGCCAGATTGTTCAAGTCTGACTGTTCAAAATCTGGTTTAGCTGGTGGACTTGATCGCATAACTTGTGCCCACAATATCTATGTTACAAATAACTTCCAATATCAGTGTTTTCGGCCTGCTACGTGTCAAGCATATTTCGAGAGAATATTTCTGGTTTTGGGTGATTTCGAAGGATATTTTGAAGCAAGTGGCCATTAAGCGAAGATCATAATATGCGAAATGTTTTTGGGCATACTTGGGCCCTCCCTACTTGAAAAATTATGGTACGAAATGCCTGGTAGAAACTACCGGTATTGGCGTCTGTGCTTCGTGTGCTGATTTGCTTTCCTCTAACCAAGAATAAAGTTATGTTACACACAACACAGAGCTAGGCATATGCGGATAATGCCGGCAGAAAAATTGGCAGAATTCGATACTTTTTTTGGTAAGTTTCATGCATGTTTGGTACGTGGCTAAAGAAATGGAGCAGAATTCGAGGAATTGCCCGCCATAAGGTTTGTATGGTTCTGCCAATTTCACTGCTTTTCGAACAGAATCTGCCACCTTTTCGAGCATTACCCGCCAATGCCTACACAGAGCACCTTATATCATTCTTTGAGATTAATAGTTTCGTGCCCATAGGCAATAGGGACCGCAGGATTCTGCTCGAAAAGGTGGCAGATTCTGCTCGAAAAGAAGTGAAATTGGCAGAACCATACAAACCTTATGGCGGGCAATTCCTCGACTTCTGCTCCATTTCTTTATCCACATACCAAACATGCACGAAACTTACCAGAAAAAGTACCGAATTCTGCCAATTTTTCTGCAGGCAGAATCAGCCGGACCCTAATAGGCAATCATCAGACAACTATACCGTTACTTTTTTTTTTTTTTTTGTCTGATGATCGCCCGTGGGCATTACATGAAACTATGAACGAATGATGCGTGGGGCCCTGTGCCGTGTGTGTACATCTTTCATTCATAAGTTCATATCTCACATTCATTCATGCATATGTACGTACATACCATTCATTCATAAGCATACATCATTCAATCCTTAGTATGCATCCTTCATACAATTTTAACTGCACGTCCTTCATTCATTCGTACACAGCCTTCATTCATTCGTACACACCCTTCATTCATAAGTACTAGTACACACGATTTGCATCCTTCATTCATTATGCATACAAACACCTCGCGCATTAAATTAAGTTAATTGGCCAGCGTATGCGCCGGAGATTACGACGAGACAGCAAACATCGTTTCAAATACAGATAGCGTATGAGATGTTTGCGAAGGCCGTGGAAGAACTGGTCATCCAATTCCGTGAATGGGCATGACGTGAAGCATTTATGTATGCAGGAAAAGGACTCGGTAGGGGGAAGATAATAATTTATTTATAGGTGGGGGATGCCTTTTCCCGATTTGAACATAAACTGTATCAATTATGTGTACATGAAGTTTTATAATATGAAACAGACGTACGAGAATACCGACATGATCACCAAAAGATTCAGTAATAGCTTTGAAAGCGGAATGGCGAAGAGGACGTCCGTATGTCTTACTTCTAAACGTCCTGATAAATTATTTCTTCTTTCACAGGCACTCCGTAGGCTGTATTTCGATTCATGACTGTAAACGGCTCGTCTCGCTTCATTTCTAGGATGTCCATACAGGTTTCCTTGCCAGCTGGTGTGACACCAAAATTGGGTCGAGTCTTTGACTTCCTCCTCATAACGGCACAGGCGACGGCCGGGATCAGAAATCCGGCAACGAAACCTGCCACACCCGCAATGATGGCAAGAGTAGATGAGCTCGCTCCACCAGTTGCTACAGATCCTAAAAAGAGACAAAGAAAATGTCGACAGATTTTTTAAATCTCAAGCTACTCATCATGGGGAGATAAGACATGGGGAGATAAGACATGGGGAGATAAGACATGGGGAGATAAGACATGGGGAGATAAGACATGGGGAGATAAGACATGGGGAGATACGACATGGGGAGATAAGACATAGGGAGATTAGACAAGGGGAGATAAGACATGGGGAGATAAGACATGGGGAGATAAGACGAAGGGAAGGAGAGAGAGAGAGAAGGTGCTTTCTCTTTTTCTCATCTCCCCTTGTACATAAGTTCTTCGCTAAATTTATCACCTAGTTGTAATGGTTATCACCCTTGTGATGCTACTTATCCCTATGTTTCATTGGTTCTGGTTGCTTGTATTTCATTTGAAGCGATTGTCCGAAAACTGGTTCATGAGTTTCGGAGTCCTTATTGATGATGATAGTGATGATTAGCTTGAGATTTCTAGTTTTTCCGTCCCTGATAAGAGTCCTGTCTCCAAGGAAATTGTTTACACTTTTGGTCGAAAAGAGATTCTTGTGTGGGGTTGTGGGTGGTGCCGTTTGCGTTATGCAGAGCTCACTGACTTGTCAGTTTGAGCACTCTGGCAAGGTACGTTTGGGCCTGGTTTAAATCTGGCTTCGGAAATTTATTTTTCATTGCTATCAGGTTTAATTTATACAAAAGAGAAACACCAAGGAACTACAAGTTACGATATACTGTCCACTAACACCACCAGTTACTAAACAATCAGCTCATGCAGTAACATTGCACGACACTGACCGACAGTACTGACGTTCTACAACTAACTGGCTAACAGCTCTAGCACAGCACATCTTTGATGCGCACTCCAACAGCCTTCCAACTACTTACTTGGAAGGCTGTTGGATGTGCTAGAGCTGTTAGCCAGTTAGTTGTAGAACGTCAGTACCGTCGGTCAGTGCAGTGCAATGTTACCGCATGAGCTGATTGTTTAGTAACTGGTGGTGTTAGTGGACAGTATATCGTAACTTGTAGTTCCTTGGTCTTTCTCTTTTGTATAAATTAAACCTTGGCTTTCCATCTGAGGCCATTGCTATCAGGTTCGGCCTCATTTCATCTGTGCTGCGCTGATGAGTTCACAAAGGACGAAACAGTTCTGTCCGCAGATTAAGTAACCCATCAGTAGGTGCTAACCATATTTTGTTGGGAACTATTTTGTATTAGTGGTAGATGTTTCTTGTGACAAGACGAGACTAGACGACGCTTGAACACACCGGCACGAACAATTCACCGGTCAAAGTCTACAACAGCTAGGAGTGACGCCATGGGCTGTGATTTCAGAAATCATCCCATGTGTGAGAAGTACATGCATGTACACGTGTATGGTCAAGTTGTTGAATCTCAATCCACAGAAATGTTTCCATTTACAAGTACTTGTATGTAATACTATAATGTCATTGCTTGCCTGTGTCTGATTTTCGGCTGCAAGTAGGAATTTCGGCAGACCAGTTGCCTGTTGGCAGACAGTCCAGTATACGTTTGGCAGATCCGCTGAGCACGTAGCCATCTTTACAAGCCACGACTGCAAGAGTGGGGGCGGCATTGTCGTTCACAAGTAGCACACCGTTCTCTGGGCTCTTCAAGGGAGAGCATGAGATTCCTGCGCAGCAGTGAAAGCATATACATGTACCGGTAACGGTACACAGATGAAATTTGCGTTATGCCCTTCCTTCCCTAAGAAATTTCGTTACAATTATATTGACTTTATTGTCAATAAAATTTAATAATGCACTTTTGGTGACATGTGTATGCAGATGTTGCAGATATTTTACAAAATCAAGAGCCACCGTGTACTTACGCAAGCACGCGAAATGCGTCCAGGTGGCATTAGCTGTGCACGAGATGTATCCACCACCCGTGTAACCAGCCACACAGTTCACGTAAAGGCTTGTGCCTGGAAGGTATGGACGATTCCCGTGGAGTACCAACGACTTGCTAACGTTGGGCTCGGAACAGGTCAACACTGTTGTCAAACAACATAAATATGAGAAATAAAGAGTTTAGAGTAAGAGTGCAATGTTATCGCATGGGATGATTGTTAATTAAGTAACTGGTGGTGTTAGTGGACATTATAGCGTGACTTGTAGTTTCTTGGTCGTTTTGTCTTTACTATAAATTTATCCTTGGCTCTCCATCCGAGTTCATTAGAGTAAGATGTTTCAACAAATGCATTGAAACGCAAAAAATTACTTTGCATTTTGTCAAACGTCGGCGTGGAGACAAGAAACGTATTATGTATTTTGTCGCAGCTTCAAAAACCCCTGTGTAAACATGCATCTCTGAAAGTGTCCTTGCCTACTTGTTGTGATTAAGCAAGTACGGCGTGGGATAAGGGAAAAGCAATTTTTGGATAATACCAGCACGTCAACCTGCCACATCCATGTCATCAAAGACATCCCAACAAGTCAATTATTGCCCACATCACCTTTTCATCGGCTGGTGCCACGTGATTGTGAAAATAAAAATAAAATAAATGAAAACACATTTTCTTCACCGTTTAACATTGCATGAATAACGTCTACACAAATGTCGATTCAGCTTGTCTTAACCTTAATGATTGCGGGTATCAGATTATTGTCTCTTCGCCGTTTGTTTAAAATTAAATAAAAATATTCTCACCGTCGACACTGGGGCACTATTGTGGTGCAAAAGGCAACTGACTTATGCGTGTTTCATTATGATTGGATTTCTACTGCAAGTACACCCCTCCTAAAAAAATAATAGTCCCAAATTTTCACTTCGCCAATAAGGCCAACAATACCGTAATTTATGAATTGAGATTTCCTGAAAAAAACCTTACATTTGCAGGTGCCAAGTGTTGGTGCCCATGATCCATTGCTGAGACAAGTCGTCATGGCCGAGCCGTCAGCATAGTACCTGGATTGACACTTGAGGTGTGCTGTGCCGTTCGTGAGGTAGCTGTTTGTCATCACATTGCCATTGGGAATGAGCCGAATTGAGGTGCATACATGTGCTGAACAGGACCCGAAAGCAAGGCTTGTCAGGAAATAACGAAACTAAGTTTGTCACGACGTCAATATCAATGCGCAGTAATCTTCCGATTTGATAAAGATTTAAAAAAGAGTGGACCTTGAGTTTATAAGTATTAGTTATCCGTTTCCTCCTACACTAACGACGTCTGCGTGATGAGAAGGATACTGGTACGTCAGAATGCGCAACAATTAGCACAACAAATGACTGATGTCCTGCTTATAATCGTCAGTGTTGGTCGAAACGGATAACTTGTAAACGTATGGTCCTCATCTTTGACTTGTGACCCGTCGTGTGATACAAGTAGGAACAGGATTCCAATTGTCGACATGCTCATACACACACTGCCCCACACCTAAATGGTAATATCGAGCAACAGTACGGCTCAATGAAATCCGATCTAATGACACCATTTGCGCCAGGCACCGTGCAGGCGTACACCTCCCTCCACTGGTATGGTGCAGCGTACTTACTCCTTAGAGCGGTCGTGTTTCAAGCTGCAGAATTTTAATTCATAGCGAAGTGGCGAACACACCGAACACGAGGAGGGAGCAGCAAGTTACAGGTACTCATCATTCCTGTGTCCACCACTGCATCCTCAGCTAAGCGCATTAGCCATGCTGGAGTTATCCTGTGGAACCAGCTCCCCGACACAGCCCGCCTCGAAAGAAAGCGCTCCACTTTCAAATCGCTAAGCCTGGCCTTTCTGTTAGGCAGTACCCTCAACTAGGATGAACTCATCTGCTTCACCACCTCTGTCTTTATCCCTCTGTCTCTCTCTGTCTCTCTCTCTCTGTCTCTCTCTCTCTCTCTCTCTCTCTCTCTCTCTCTCTCTCTCTCTCTCTCTCTCTCTCTCTCTCTCTCTCTCTCTCTCTCTCTCTCTCTCTCTCTCTCTCTCTCTCTCTCTCTCTTTCTCTCTCTCTCTCTCTGTGTGTCTCTCTCTCTTTCTCTCTCTTTTCTCTCTCTTTTCTCTCTCTCTCTCTCTCCCTCTCTCTCTCTCTCTCTCTCTCTCTCTCTCTCTCTCTCTCTCTCTCTCTCTCTCTCTCTCTCTCTCTCTCTCTCTCTCTCTCTCTGTCTCTCTCTCTCTCTCTCTCTCTCTCTCTCTGTCTCTCTCTCTCTCTGTCTCTCTCTGCCTGTCTGTCTCTCTCTCTGTCTCTCTGTCTGTCTCTGTCTGTCTGTCTGTCTGTCTGTCTGTCTGTCTGTCTGTCTGTCTGTCTGTCTGTCTCTCTCTCTCTCTCTCTCTCTCTCTCTCTCTCTCTCTCTTTCTCTGTCTCTCTGTCTGTCTCTCTCTATCGTTGGCCGTTGTTGTGCCATTTTTCCTGCTGCCGTGCTCATAATAGTTATCCAATTTATCTACTTCTTTGTTCTGTTTGTCCGCTTATTTTTATATTATTAATTTTTGTCTTTTCTCTTATTATCAGTGGGACCATTTTCATTAGGTTCAGGCCTGTTTTGTAACCCCACTCTAAATAAAACAGTAACAATAACAACAACAACAACAAAAACAAGAACAACAACCACACCTGGGAGCGGAGATTGCAACCGTGAATTTCTTACGTTTACAGGAAGGAAGAGCCGTTGCTGTGCTGTCGCTCAAGCATGTCACATTCGATTGTCCCACTAGTTCAAAACCAGGGTTGCATGTGCTGGTATAAAGTGGCCCCGGTCCAACGAGCAATCCATTCTGCAGTGTAGCCGGAGGACACGTGTAGGCTGCAAGAGCAGATAAGCAACAGTGGAAAACATACAGTCGTACGCTTTGTAATATCATCAAGTATTTAAAAATGACTCAAACTCTTGGTATCATTGACAAATATTTATGTAGCTTCCCGCATGTTCAACGTCCTTTCTGGCTGGATCACGTATGAGTGTGTTTTCTTCATGTATGCAACCTAGGATACTCTGTCAACTCTTAGAGACTAGGTATGCTTGTGTTTTTTCGCGGGACCATGAGTACAGCCTGCTCAACTCGACCGTAGTACTCAGTGACCATGATCCAGGCATTGACCTCATGATCTGCGTAGACTCCAATATGGGGCTCGATCACCCGACCTCTTGGTTCGTAGGCATACGCGGTAAAACACATACCGTAGTCGCGCGATCAGTGCCCCTGGGGCACTATCTTTTAAATGTCCATCACAGATGCCCTATTGAAGAGAGGGCGCTATTTTTTCCAATGCTGGTGTATTCGCGTCATCCAGGATTAAACAAAAGAAAAACAGAGCCTAAAGTTTGCTGTAAACTATCACGACGCAACGGAAACGGCAACAGAAATAACGAACTTGGTTGGTTGGTGCATTATTTTTACTTCGGCAGAATGAAAAGGCATTGCTTGGTCCTGAAACCACCAGTGCAATAACATGGACAAAAAAATTAGCAAAAGAACATCATACTTGCACATGCGCTTGGGTACAAGCCCGGGGGGGGGGCACTATTCAAGAGAGGGCTCTAATCGCGCGAGTACCGCAATACCGGTTGCTCCCAATTCGGAAAGATGTGCGTGTTTTAGTTTCTACTACAAGTATGAACATCACCCTACTGAGAAGGACGTGGAGAACAACATTAATCAATACACAGGGGTTGTTGAAACGACGTACCGAAGTGCTGCCAGCAACTGAACCGACCCAAGGTCTCGGCATTAGCGTTGAAACTAGACATCGAAAATTTGGCGAGAGGGGGGGGGGAGGCCAAGGACTGCAGAAAAAACGAAAGAGACTCGTCGGGTTAATTACTTCCGAAGTCGCGAAAATAAGTTATGAGGTTTGTACTGTGTACGATAAGAGTTTAATTAAAAAGCATGAACGTTCGTTCTCTCACCAGTGCAGGACCTTGCTCTCTCACACCAGCCACCGTCCGGTTTACACTCGGCATAGTTGCTCCCCTTGATACCGTAGCCTGGGTTGCATCTGTAGACGGCCAGGCTGGGAAAGCGAAGACCACTCGGGTAGGATACAGGACCGTGGGGGATGAACCTGTCTGCGGCGCATGGTGTGTTGTTTGCTGACGAGAATGGTAAACACGCACACACACACACACACACACACACACACACACACACGTACACACACGCACAAACACGCACACACAAGCACGACACAGAAACGAAGCAGGTCCCATTTCTTTCGTACATATGCATTTCACTTTTCATCATCAACCACCCAACCATGACACAACTGCGCTCTCCAGCCGACCGCGACGCGATGCTACAGCAGACCACCGGCAAAGCGACACATTCATTGGTACTGAATTCCTTCATACAGCTGTGTCGAGTACGAAACTCTCGTCAGTGAAGGTGGGGCTTAGATATTCATTGGAGAAAGGCTAAGACAGTGAAAATCACCACTACCACTTTGGGGTCTAGGGTTTCGTTGCCGATTTTGCGAGCCGAATAGTTGAAAAAGAATAGCATATGGTTAGCGGCATACACGTATACTTCGAAGTGCAGTGTATCCAATGTCTGCATCTACGGTGCTATCTTTACTGTTTTAAATTATTTGAAGGAGATTACAATTACAACAATCATGCAAACTCTAAATGCTTTGTTGCCATCTTCAATAGGTCCGTCTGCCAACTTTGACCCCTAGATATTGCAACTTTCACCAACCATACTTCTTCAGGTACTTACCTACAGTAGGCAGGCGGTTGTGGCATATTATAGTAGCTGTTGCTGGGCATGGAGACTGTGCAGGAAAGCATGTGATGCCTGTATTGCAAGCCGATGTCACCCAAAGCGTCACACTTGATCCAGTAGACGACCTTATATGTTCAACGTAGTCAGTGAAGCACTGCTTCGTCACCATGGATTCGGAAGGCAGCTCATACGTTTGCGATGTACACGTTGATCTAGCTGAACCAGCCGTTTTGGCTTTCCATTTACTGTCGGAAATCAGATAGGAACCGTCGGATGCGTTACATCGGAAGTGAACTGGACAACAGGCAGCGCAGAAATTCCAAAAGCTCCAGCTATCAGCATTTTTAAGAGATAACTACCGTTACTCACAACTATAATCCAGCTTCAGTATGCTTTTCCAGCAGTTTGCTCTATGCACATTGTGCCAACTCAGGCTGGATACAAATCTATTCTTTTTCCTTGGTGCTGACCACTTTAATGCGCTTTCCGAATCCCTTCGCACTAATCATACCGCCATTTGATTGCGCCAGGAACTTAAAACAGTCAACACATTCATACATCTTGGGCCCTCCGTAAGAAGAGCTTAGGGTCTGTTGGAAATGCCCAAGTAAAATAATAAAACTCAATACAAAAACACAATACAAGGCACCTCCCAAGCAAAATAAGAATGAACCAGACTGTGCAAATCTTAGAACTATTCTGGACAGCATGCAAGGGTGGTTCGTCCTCTCTGCTCAGTTTCCTCTCGTTGGCAAGTACACTGTATTTCTTGGAACACGTGTCAGTGGGGCTTCAATTAATTTTCGACCTGCGCGTGCTTCAATCAGTCAGATTAGTTCTGTAGACGTTATCCGTCATACCAGGTCGACTACTCCAACTCCTTTCTTGTTCACGTCCAGACCAATCTATAGCAAAGTATTACTGTTAATTTACTTGACCTGTTAAACTGACGCGGAACATAAGTAATACGGTTTCCATTTATTAAATCTCTACACGTCGTTCAAGCTTGGAGCAAGCTCGGAGATTTTGTTCTTCACATTTTCTATATCCCTTTCTTTACCCAGATATCGATCGCCAAATTCATTAACTTTGGTATCATGTACATCTCCTCCATAGGCGAAGAAGAGCCTTTGAGGAATCCGTCTAAAACAAGAAACCGTAATAGCAAAAAATATTAAAAAAATTCTTACACGCATAGTCGACCACGTTATCCCTGATTGTAAAGCAGGTAGTTGGGATCGAGGAAAAAGCCAGTCCAGCACTTAATAAGACCACTGCTAGCACTTGAATAATAAGTCCCATTCTGAACTCTCCACAACTCTCTATTGTGGAATACAACTCGTGTTGAAAAGGTTTCGCTGGGCGGACTCCTGGTATACGAATGAAACCGCCTCTCTTCTTAGCCTCCTCCCTTCTGCACACTGATAGAAGTTAATCAAGGGCAATACATTTGATCTCAAGGGACGGAGGTATGAATGTGATATTCCTCTCCTCCACTCCACTGTGCGAGTCAAAAGCAGCGAGCAGATTTTCTAAGGGCACGTTCAATTAGATAGTATCGTTATTGATGGGGAGGTTCAGAATGTCTTAGACGGCGAAGTGAAGTTCATTGCCTTTGCAATACACACACGCACACGCACACACACACACACACACACACACACACATACACACACACACACACACACACACACACACACACACACACACACACACACACAGGTGTATGTCGATACATTCATCAGTAGTCCATGGACTTAGAGCGCTTCCAATGGTGACAGATTGTGTAGTTCTCCCCCTCGCCCCCCTCCTGCCCCTCCCGTTCGTGTGCATGCACGTGAATGACGTGTGTATGCCTAATGTTTGAGCAGCTGGAAGCAGGGCGAAGTGATGCCGAATTCAACAGGCGGAGACCGGATATCACCATTGTGCAGCAAGAGCGCAGTAGTTATGATTAGCTTGGTGTCTGGCAAGGGCCTGGGCACAATGCAGGCGAACACCTGGGGCCGCGACCTGAAGAGTGTCCAGGATTGTATGTTACGAAGTGCAGCTACGTTACAACTTTTTCGAATGCAAGCGCAAGCTGCAAGCGTCAACCTGTTTTGACACCCTGATTTTCCCGCACAATAAGCTCGGCTATCACAAACGCCTTGTTACTAAAGATTTTCAACCTTCGATTTTTGTCCCTTGACTATTAGAGCGTCCTCTGTATTTTCGTCTTGACATACGAAAAACACAAAGTATCATATCTCAATGTAACTCGGACCTTTCCGAACCTGAGCCTTCCTAGTTGGAAGGTTGTTGGTTTGCGCCTAGGGGAAGTGTTGGAGCTAGGTGTCAGGTCGCCGAATGTCTCAGTACTCCTTGTCAGTTTTGTGCCATTTTGTCGCAATCGCTGACTGTATAAGATCTGGTTACGTTGGTGGACAGTTAGTCATAACTCGTAACATTTTGTCCTTCTTCTTTTCACAATAATCATAATTATCTCAAAGTGTCAATCGCAATGTAACGTCACATGTAGTTGTTTTTCATGCACTATACGTCAACGACCTTGAAGACCACCTCCCAATCGGCTCCAACCTTGCCTCATTCGCCAACGACACAACCCTATACGCCGAAATTGCAACTCCCGCTGCTGTTCCTGAAAACGCTAGAGTACTCCAGGCTGCTGTTGACCTAGTATCCAGTTGGGGCTCGGTGCAGTTCGAGCCAGCCAAATCTCAGGCCCTTACAATTTCCCACTATCTTCGGGACTGGCCAATTGTCTTCAATAGAACTCCCGTCGAGGAGCAGCCCTCCATCAAAGTACTCAGCGTCACGTTTGACCATCAGCTAAAATTCAGCCAGCATATCCGAACTGTTGTAGTGCGAACAACGCAGAGACTTGGAGCCTTGCGCAAGGCATTTCACTTGCTGGCACCGTCACCGTCTTGAAAGTGTCTCAAGCGTGTTGCACGTGCTGTACGTGCTGTACGTGCTGTAGTTAATGTTTCGTTCCACACACCTTAGTCCTACCACTCCTTTGTTGTCTCAGCCTGTACTCGAACCGCTTACGGGTATGTGCACATAATACGACACTGTTTTCTTTTGTCCTGCGCTGTGTTAATGCACATTGTTCTCCGCTGTTGACTGATCTATTCTTGCCTTTGGCCAATCAGACGCGAGGTAGCCAATCCAACCTCCTAAAGTGTCCCCGTCGCCGCTCAGCGATCGGTACACACACACACACACACACACACACACACACACACACACACACACACACACACACACACACACACACACAGTGAGCTTCAACGGTGTGTTCTTCTGGAACGCACTTCCCGCTGAAAGACGATGCCTCAACATTGAACAAGTTGAAGGTGTAGAACGCCATTACCGTCTGTCATTGGCGTGCAATGTTAGCGCATGGGCTAATTGTAAAGTAGTTGATGGTGTTAGTGGATGCTATAGCGTAACTTGTAGCTCTTTGGCCCTCTTTCTTCTTATAAATTACTCCGTGGCTCTCCACCCGAGGCAAATTATACATTCCTGCCATTTCGTGGAAATAGTGACGTAGTACGTCAGATCTCCAGACCCATCCAAGCGTATGTTATTCAGAGTCACCGAAATTTCCAAATCACGTACAGCCTGGTCCCGGAAAGCACGGAACAGAGCGATAGGAGTGTACCTCAAAATAAATAGAATGATCATTGGGTTGCAATGCGTGTTGCTTGGCGTAGGGCACACGTATTTTATATGAGGATTGGGTGACCGTTGCCGTACTTCATTCGTTCAGGCAGACGGTGCCAGCTGGTTTGCAACGCCATTGTGGCGTGCGGATGTTTGGACACTGGCATCGATGCTCACACGCATTTCGTCAAGTCATGTACTAGTAGACGGCACTGCCTGTACAGTAGGCTGGAGTGCACAATCATGCGGATGTGATGACTGGCGCTCGGCGGTTCCTGATGGTACGGGAGTATTCGGAATTTCTCGGATTTTTCTTTGTCATAATTATTATGTCATCGTTTCGCAGAAAAGGTTTGTGTTCGGAATCGGTATGCCGTGAAACATGTGGACGGCGAAGAACAGTCAAACTACAATATTTCTTTGCCTCGTCAAGGAACGTGATTTACGGGGATAGACATGTACACCTCCTTCTTTTATACTGCTGTTTTTTCCATGTCCACTTCATTCCTGATGCAGGTCATGAAGACCGAAACGTTGAAACGATACCTCTAATGGATTTGTGTGAAATGCAGTGCTCTCTTGAGTGTAGGCAGGTTGCCTGCAAACTATTCAAGTGTAATGAAGCTGCGTGAAGCGTCCTTCGACATTTTGAGACATGTACAAGTACATGTACTTGTGCCGAATATCTGAAGACAAGATTGCGACAATAGTAAAAAAAAGAACACACCTCAGGCTCTTTAAAAGAACAGCTTGAAAGTTTTTTTTTCACTAGTACTTCAAGTATATTTTCAAGCCTTATCGCTAGGTGAAAAACAGGCAAAATCAAATGAACAAGGACAATTGGCCGACAACACACACCGATGAACCTCATCCCAGAACACGCACGTGTCATGCGACGACTAAGGGGACATCAACCAGTCAGGGAACGAGATGGTCTAACACAGCAGCACTCACCCGCAGGAATTGCCCCTCACAATCACCTACCCATGTATATCATCTTCGGAAGTGTCCACGGAACTCAAGCTAGCTAGGAGGACCACCACATAGACCACCCTTTTCAGGTGATCTACGGATATTTCCCCTAGTTTGAGGGGATTATGGCTCATAATCCCCTCAAACGAGGGGATCTCATATCCACAGGAAATCCTGTGGATCCCCTCGGACGGTGGGTCGGACCCAGTCCTTCTACCAGCATAACCAAGAGAGCTAGCTCCCTTGGCTGCTGCTTGAATATGTAAGAATGGGCCTTCCAGATAAGGTCTAAAAAGGGGAAGTGGCTATAGTTGTCAAAAGAAAAGCATATTGGTGAAACAAAAATAGGGAAGTGGCAATCTTTCTATCAGCAACGAACAAGAGCATCTTAGTTTGCAACACACTACACGAACCGGGTGTGCCGAACACCGGTGACCATAGAGACACACCACACTCTCATATAGATACTGATTATAAATAGACCGAGTAAGGACAATAATCCAATAGCCTATGGAGAGTAAAAGAAATTGAGTCAATGACAACAAATGCTCGTCCAGCACACGAGTTGTCATAGAAACATTGAACGAAATGACAAAGACGCATAGTAATGAGCATCGCCGTTCAATGCAAACTTTGGTTTCTAGTACAGTATTTGGAAAATTCCTTCTTTCACAGACCTGAAAGACAAATCTTTGCAGCAGTTAGCCTGCTACTAACTCAATGTCATTGGTTCTACATGTACGTGTAGATGTACCCATTCACGCCCTACTGGTCTTGTCAAATTTGTTCCACACGATCACAAACAATCCATCATATTTCGGATACTCTTACAACATTTGACTAAGCCTTGGGACGGACGTCAGTGTCTGACAATTCTTCATTGTAGTCTTTGATTTGTAGGGAATAAATCGCCTCCACCCCGGTAGGTGACAGACGAACAGAGCACCTCAAATTATTTTCAAATAATTACAATATCTACTATTTCGTCGTCTTCACTTGATCGCTATCAGTATCGCTTTTCGCCACGGTCTTGTCAGCTACCAACAAGCAGCAGAGTTCATGAGGCTTCGTCTTGGGAGACAAACCAAAGAAAGTGTGTGACAATCCGCATTCGCCTCAGTCACACCAATAAGTGGATCAAAACCTGGAGAGGCGACGAACAAACGACTATATCAGAACTACCGGTACTTCGCGTTCTTGCACGTTTTCCCCATCACGTTATGATTGTGTGTATGCAAAACTCATTTCCGTTGTTATTTTTAGCTCTTCTTCCTTGCTCTATTTCTATCACCTCTCTCCTGTTCTTAATCCATTGTCCTTGTTCATTTGATTCTGTTTGCATTTCACCGGACCAAAAGCATGAAAGTATACCAGTGGAACTGAAAACTTTCAAGAAGTTTTTTACGAAGAGCCTGAAGTTTGTCCTTTTTCTCAGATATAATATCTGAAAGAAAAGGGGGTCTGTCAACTGACAACCGCTCTATTCAGTTGCTATTCACACTCAGCACAGGCGCTGGATGAGCAATTCTTTACCTGTGATGTCGAAAAATCATGACATTTCGGGCCAGTAAGTGGGTGACTGGCTCGAAACTGAATAGAGCGGTTGTCAGTTGACAACACCCCCCCTTTTTCTTTATAATGCAGTTGCGTGATATCCACCACATTCCTGGTGTACAATATCTGAAGATGCCACGATAAACTGTGGGTACATACCTAATAGAGGTTTTCCCGGGAAAAAGGATACACTACCACACCACCACACTACCACACTAGCACACTAGCACACTACCACACTACCAAACTAGCACACAAGCTGAAGTGTTACCACTGTTCTGACAACTGTTCGTAGACGCTGAATACGATCAGTACTGAAATCAGATCCCTGATAAGATTCCAGGGCTGCACGTACAAGTTGCAAATGCCTTCCAAAGGTATAGGTGCTCGAAGCTGTCTTTTTCAAACTGCAAACTTTACCTGCTTGGATATATTTGTGATCAACATGTCAGCAATACAAGTTTGGGCAAAGAATGTACAAAGAATTGTTTGGGATCGTATTCGTTCTTAATTTGTGGCATGCGAGGCAAAGACTGAATGAATGAAGCACGTACTGAACTGAAACGTTGTGGAAGCCTATTGATAAAGGCGTGCCTATGGAATAGGAAATAATATTCTTCTACACAAGCTGTTGACGCAGACTCTCTTGCTTTAGGCTTAGGCCTGTGGAGAATCCATCAAATACGCAACACAATAAAGGATGATAAAAGAGGCGAAGGATGAATATCAGTGTTCATCGGACAATTAAAATTTGTATGCGTGCACTTGCGGATAGCGAATCGAATGAGAGGAAGATGATCACTAAACGTTTCCATAGAGAGGAGGGGATGTTGCCGTGTCACGTTCGGTCGTGTCGTTCAGTGCAGGGCCGGACATTTTGCTTGCGTGATTGGTATAGTACGCTTCGTCTTCAATACTCGCTGCCCTGCGGATGTGTGCCTGGCGCTTGAGAAAGAGAGCTATAGCCAGCAGTACACAGACCACTACAATGGTAGCAGTAATGATAATAACGATCGTCGTTGTTGAATTCGATGTACCGGACGTTGCTGAATCCGTGTTCAAAAAAGCACAACAAAATATTCTCAGATTAGAATAATTATCAACGACGCAATCTTCAGCAGGAACATCGCTCTTCTGCGTTTTACGTGTAGGCAAAACTTTTGGTTTTCGAGACCGGACTCTCGTACACTTCTTATGCCACACTGAACAAAATCGTCTATGTGCATAATTGAATCATCGAATTCACAATTGGAATGCAATGTGACGTGAGTAAAATCGACTTGGAAATGCATGTTTTTCATGCGGGGACAATTCAAGTCGAAGCGGTAAGGCAAAATTAATATAACCCACATAATAATTATTTGTGTTGCTGAGGCGGGTACGTTGCCAATCAGAGTATCATGTTCTCTATATCACGTGCTACTAACCTGATGAATCCTCTCCTAGTTCGCAAGAGGGAATCGGCGCCGACCAATTGCCCGTAGGCAAACAATGTAACACCTCAGAGCCGTTGAGCTGATATCCCTCGTCACACTCCAGGACAGCGCGGCTAGGTTCAGTGTTGTTGTCCAATAACATTGTGCCGTTCTCAATATCTTGGAAGATGTCACACGGAATGCCTGCAGCCAAACGACAAAAATAACGTGTGAACTTTCTCTCTTTCTCTCTCTCTTTCTTTCTCTTTCGTGACGGTTTCTTCTTCTCTCTTCCTCCCTCTCTCCCTCTCTCTTCCTTCCTCCTTCTCTTCCTTCCTGTCTCTCTCTTTCTCTCTATCTCTCTCTCTCTCTCTCTCTCTCTCTCTCTCTCTCTCTCTCTCTCTCTCTCTCTCTCTCTCTCTCTCTCTCTCTCCCTGTCTCTCTCTCTCTCTCTATCTCTCTCTCTCTCTCTCTCTCTCTCTCTCTCTCTCTCTCTCTCTCTCTCTCTCTCTCTCTCTCTCTCTCTCTCTCATCCACTTTTCTGAGGTACTGTATGTGGGGCTTCGTTTATTGAGGTGCGTTGAAATTTATTCTCTTTATCTTATTATTTCTTTTCTATAATTTCCCCATATGATTTCCTATCAGTTGCTGTGAACACCTTGAGTGGAGAGCGCTTGCTCGAGCGTTGAACCGGGTTCTTAATCCACCATACCCAGTTCGCAAGGCTGGCCGGGGTTGTGAGCAGGCTTTCATTTCATCTTTTCTTATTATTTCTGCTTTTCATCTCATTACAAAAATTCTGCGCTTTTTCTCCATCTGCGCATAAAATCTAGACTGACAACCTGCTTGTTAAATCATGCACCTGCTTTCAGGCGTAAAAACCCTGTTGTAGAGGTCTCAGTCCTCATTTGTTAGACTTACCTGTCTTTATAAATGTAACTTACTCTCTCTCTCTCTCTCTCTCTCTCTCTCTCTCTGTCTCTCTCTGTCTCTCTCTCTCTCTCTCTCTCTCTCTCTCTCTCTCTCTCTCTCTCTCTCTCTCTCTCTCTCTCTCTCTCTCTCTCTCTCTCTCTGTCTCTCTCTATCTCTCTCTCTCTCTCTCTCTCTCTCTCTCTCTCTCTTTCTCTCTCTCTCTCTCTCTTTCTCTCTCTCTCACCCTCTCTCTCTCACTCACTCTCTCTCTCTCTCTCTCTCTCCGAGCAAAAGGAAATAGGTCAACCGGCAATGCGGGAACGACCTTGTTATTTTGTTCGTGTATGTGTGCATGTGTGTGTACATGTAGGTGTTCTTGAGTGTGCGTGAACGTGTGAGTGTGTATGTGTGCGTGTACATGTGAGGGTTCATGCTCAATCTGCGGACAGCATGCTGTTTCGTTCTTTGTGAACTCATCAGCGCAGCACAGAGGAAATGAGGCCGAACCTGATAGCAATGGAAATAAAAATTTCCAATCAGGCCCGAACGTGCCTTGCCAGAGTGCTCAAACTGACAAGTCAGTGAGGTCAGCATAACGCAAACAGCAAAGGCACTACCCCACGCAAGAGTGCTCAACTGCTACAAGAGCAGGAGCGAAATACTCAATCTGCGGACAGAACTGTTTCGTCCTTTGAAATAAAATTTTCCAATTAGGCCCGAACGTACCTTGCCAGAGTGCTCAAACTGACAAGTCAGTGAGCTCTGCGTAATGCAAACAGCAAAGGCACTACACCACATGAGAGTGCTCAACTACTACAAGAGCAGGAGCGAAAATACTCTAGGGTTCATGTGTGCGTGCGAGCGTGTATCCGCGCATATGCGGCTGTAGGCATACGTGCTGGCCTGTCTCCTGATGCAGGAAATGATCGATCTGGAGCAAATCACAAGAATTCCGTACATGTCTTTTGGTCCACGCCAAAATGGTCCCTTGCCTTGTTGGGCCATATGACCTTTCTCAAACCAAGATCACAGGACTAATGAGAGAAGGTTAAAAACAGTCAAATGATAATAAAAATAATAATAATAATAATAATAATAATTGCAGACATGGCCAAACAACAACGAGTTCATGGAATTTTTAAGGATTTTTATGTTATTCAAAATCGATTTTCGTGTTCCGCTCATCAGTGAATAGTATCGGAACTGAGGGTACTGTGTACAAAATAGAACATTTTATAACAGCATAATTAATTAAAAGTGTGAACAACAAAGGAAGTGCTACAGCATTACATAATAGGTGTCAAACATAGTGCTAACGTATATAACTGAGTGCAGCCACAAAGCAAGAGGTGATAGAAGCATGTAGTCGCGCTAAAGTTGTTCTCGTAGCTGGTTATCAGATGTAAATGTTGTGTCATGTTGCACTGTATCACCTCTTGCTTTGTGGCTGCACTCAGTTATATACGTTAGCACTATGTTTGACACCTATTATGTAATGCTGTAGCACTTCCTTTGTTGTTCACACTTTTAATTAATTATGCTGTTATAAAATGTTCTATTTTGTACACAGTACCCTCAGTTCCGATACTTAAAAATTCCATGAACTCGTTGTTGTTTGGCCATGTCTGCATCGATTATACTCCTAATTGCACTAATAAAATTGCTTTCTCCACGCCGACTCTTTAAATAATAATAATAATAATAATAATAATATTAACTGGTTTGAAATAATAATAATAATAATATTGACTGGTTTGAGGGAAAGAGACAAACGGGAAAAGTCTGAAGAAAAAATTGACTGTCACCACCAGGACTCGAACCAGGGACCCTCGCTTGTAGCCAGCGATGCTCTAACCACTGAGCTATGGTGTAGTCGTCATCCCAGCAGAGGCCGTTCAACATTTTCTTCAGACTTCAATATTATAATAATAATAATAATAATAATAAATGGTTTGCTCCCTACACCGGAGCTCGCGCTATTCCGCCGACTTTACTTCACACTTGACTGACTCACGACTGCCATCCAGAGCACACGGGAAGTCCATCGAACCTTCGACTCGGCAAACCTGCAAGAAAGCACCACTCCCTGCTCAATACACAGTGTTTCGGGGAATTCACCGCTCATCAGTTGAGCTTGAGTAGGCTGAGGAAGATTGTGCCTGAAGAGCACCACTTATATAGTGCTCTCCAGGCACAAACATCACCAGGGATACAAACTTACAGAGACGCTCCGTTTCCAGCGCGACAAACACCTCGTGAACACCAGATAGATAGCAGCGTGTGTCAGTGTCGCTCCTGGACGGTGAGCTCCGGTGTAGGGAGCAAACCATTTCTTACAAATCATCGCCGAAGTCGCAACCACTACTTCGTACTGTTGTGCCCAGCGCGGGCTTGCGACTAGTTGGTTTGGAGGTGACAGCGTTGCGAATGACCGAGGGTCCTCGACGTCTGTCTCACCGTCCAGGAGCGACACTGACTCACGCTGCTATCTGGTGTTCACGAGGTGTTTGTCGCGCTGGAAACGGAGCGTCTCTGTAAGTTTGTATCCCTGGTGATGTTTGTGCCTGGAGAGCACTATATAAGTGGTGCTCTTCAGGCACAATCTTCCTCAGCCTACTCAAGCTCAACTGATGAGGGGTGAATTCCCCGAAACACTGTGTATTGAGCAGGGAGTGGTGCTTTCTTGCAGGTTTGCCGAGTCGAAGGTTCGATGGACTTCCCGTGTGCTCTGGATGGCAGTCGTGAGTCAGTCAAGTGTCAAGTAAAGTCGGCGGAATAGCGCGAGCTCCGGTGTAGGGAGCAAACCATTTCTTACAAATCATCGCCGAAGTCGCAACCACTACTTCGTACTGTTGTGCCCAGCGCGGGCTTGCGACTAGTTGGTTTGGAGGTGACAGCGTTGCGAATGACCGAGGGTCCTCGACGTCTGTCTCACCGTCCAGGAGCGACACTGACTCACGCTGCTATCTGGTGTTCACGAGGTGTTTGTCGCGCTGGAAACGGAGCGTCTCTGTAAGTTTGTATCCCTGGTGATGTTTGTGCCTGGAGAGCACTATATAAGTGGTGCTCTTCAGGCACAATCTTCCTCAGCCTACTAAAGCTCAACTGATGAGGGGTGAATTCCCCGAAACACTGTGTATTGAGCAGGGAGTGGTGCTTTCTTGCAGGTTTGCCGAGTCGAAGGTTCGATGGACTTCCCGTGTGCTCTGGATGGCAGTCGTGAGTCAGTCAAGTGTCAAGTCAAGTCGGCGGAATAGCGCGAGCTCCGGTGTAGGGAGCAAACCATTTCTTACAAATCATCGCCGAAGTCGCAACCACTACTTAATAATAATAATAATAATTTAAACAATCGACGAGGAGACAATAGTCGTAAAATGGCAACAAATAAGATAAATTGTGCACTCATAACAACAGCAAAAATGAAGAAAGTCAAGGAGGAGGAGTTTGATATTGAGTTTTCTCGCATTTGCACCTTTGTGTCATTATTGCAATTTTCGCTGTTTACTTTAGCTATCTTCTTTCTTTCTTTCTTTCTTTTTGCGCTGTTTTACCACCTTCTTACTGTATTTAATCCACTGTTCCTGTTCCTTTTCCCTTGCCTGTATTTCACCTGATGAGAAGGCTTGAAAGTATACTTGTGAAGACAAAAACTTTCAAGATGTTTGTAATGAGCCTGAAGTGTGTCCTTTTTATGAGTATTATTGCATTTTAATAATAATAATAATAATACGAAGTAGTGGTTGCGACTTCGGCGATGATTTTGTAAGAAAGGTTTGCTCCCCACACCGGAGCTCGCGCTATTCCGCCGACTTTACTTGACACTTGACTGACTCACGACTGCCATCCAGAGCACACGAGAAGTCCATCGAACCTTCGACTCGGCAAACCTGCAAGAAAGCACCACTCCCTGCTCAATACACAGTGTTTCGGGGAATTCACCCCTCATCAGTTGAGCTTGAGTAGGCTGAGGAAGATTGTGCCTGAAGAGCACCACTTATAATTATAGTGCTCTCCAGGCACAATCATCACCAGGGATACAAACTTACAGAGACGCTCCGCTTCCAGCGCGACAAACACCTCGTGAACACCAGATAGCAGCGTGAGTCAGTGTCGCTCCTGGACGGTGAGACAGACGTCGAGGACCCTCGGTCATTCGCAACGCTGTCACCTCCAAACCAACTAGTCGCAAGCCCGCGCTGGGCACAACAGTACGAAGTAGTGGTTGCGACTTCGGCGATGATTTTTGTAAGAACGGTTTGCTCCCCACACGCTGCTATCTGGTGTTCACGAGGTGTTTGTCGCGCTGGAAACGGAGCGTCTCTGTAAGTTTGTATCCCTGGTGATGATTGTGCCTGGAGAGCACTATATAAGTGGTGCTCTTCAGGCACAATCTTCCTCAGCCTACTCAAGCTCAACTGATGAGGGGTGAATTCCCCGAAACACTGTGTATTGAGCAGGGAGTGGTGCTTTCTTGCAGGTTTGCCGAGTCGAAGGTTCAATGGACTTCTCGTGTGCTCTGGATGGCAGTCGTGAGTCAGTCAAGTGTCAAGTAAAGTCGGCGGAATAGCGCGAGCTCCGGTGTGGGGAGCAAACCTTTCTTAATAATAATAATAATAATAATAATAGAACAGTTCGCGTACAGTCAAAAAATGGTCAAATGCCGACCATACATTTTGGTCCAAGTGCAATAAGCACAGCACAGATTTCTTGTTATTGGGCAACCAGCCCGATAGAATCTGCGAAGTAAAATACACAACAACAACAAAAACAACAGCTCGATGTACGTACGATAGCATTCCACCTCTGTCCAAGTCCCATTGTCTGTGCATGAGGTGATGCCACCACCCAGATATCCACTCTGGCACTGCACATATGTGCTGTTGCCCACCACGTAGGGTAGAATTAAATCATCAGCCACGACAGCATTAGTAATGTTGGATATGAACTCGCCAGGGCAGGTTATGGCTGTGGCGGAAAATAGGAACAATAGCGTCACAATATTCGTACATTTAAAATATAGTTTGTTTGTTATGTGGATGGGAGTCACCATATCCCTCGTGATGATGCTCTTTTGGGGGAACATTTGAAATTATTTGAAAAGACTGAGGTGTTTATTGTAGGGAATGACTTAGTGGGGCTGCGTGCGCTGGAAGTTGCTATAAGGGCGTTCCCGTACTATTGTAACATGATGAACAGAAGTTGCTAGTATTATACAGATGCACAAGACAAGATGCTTGATTTCTTTTATAGAGAAACAACGACTTGCCTTCTGCAATGTCCTTTCTTATTTGTCTACACCGCTCAGCAAGCTGGTGAATAGATTATGTCCCCATGACGCCGATACGTCAGGTCGGCTGAGGGTAAAAAGCCTCACCATCACTATGATCCCACTGTGCATTTTTTTGTCTTTGCCTGTGAGCTGTGATCATTGTAAAACAAAAATAAAAAATAGAGTACTCTTGCGGGCTGTCCGTCGAGTGAGATCTTCGGAATACAGTGGTTCGTGTGTCACCCCGCTAAGCTCGATCCACACGGCCGCTTGACGCCAACATAACTACGCCATTACCACAAACACACACTGGACGCGATATAAACCAAGCCAACCACACTTCACAAATACATGAAGGAGAAAGGTATCAGCCTGTCTTGGTCAGGATCAAAAGCGGAAGAACTACAAGATCGGAAGGTGCCACATAATTGAACTTCAAAACATGTGATCAGCGCAGTTATGAATACTCCGCTACTGGAAGTCCTGCAAAACCTACTGACCAGTCTCCAAAGCATCATAGCCACTAGTCTTGGTCATACCCCGTACCCAATGCGATGTTTAAAAAATCTTGTTACAAGTGAAGTATGACAGTATAATACAATGTTCGCTGCTCAATTACCAGCCACATTTTCCAAAAACACTTCTTATGCGCTTAACCAATGTCGTCACAATCTCATTAGACCAGGAGATGTCCGAGCCAGTAATCTCAGAGGTTCCGAAAGGTGCGATCGTTTTCCAAACATTTACCGTACTCACGCGATTAGTGCCCCAGGGGCACAATTCTTTCAATGTTCTTCACAGATGGGGCATTATTCAAGAGAGGGCACTATTCAAGAGAGGGCACTATTCAAGAGAGGGCACTATTTTCTCAATGCTGGTACATTTATGTCGTCCAGCATCAAAACAAAGAAGGCAAAGAAAAACAGAGGCTACAATTGACTGTTAACTATCAAGACTCAACAGAAGTGGCAACAAGTACTGCGATTTTCCTCCAGAAACCACTAGTGCAGTGTCATGGACAAGAATATTCGCAACAGAGCACCAAAGGTACAAGTGCGCTTGGTTACAAACCCGGAGGAGGGGGGGGGGCACTATTCAAGAGAGGGCTGTATATTTCACTGGCCCCTAGAAACTGGGATTATTCAAGGCAGGGCACTATTCAAGAGAGGGCACTATTCATTAGGGGGCATTATTCCAGAGAGGGCACTATTCAAGAGAGGGCTTAAATCGCACGAGTACGGCATTACTCACTCAAGCAGTTGCCCAGTGTTTGAGACCAGGAATTGTTGCTGAGACAGGTAGTAGTGTTGATGCCCTGTAGATAGTATCCACTGTTGCACGTTACTCGTGCTGTGCCGCGCCAGAAGAAACTGTCAACGCTAACGTTTCCATTGCTCACGATTGGTGGAGACTCGCATCGATGCCCTGGAGAATGGGAAACAGGGTAATAGTACAAAATATAAATTATGTTGCTGATACTAATTTCCTATAAGAAGATGCTGATTGATCTGAGCAATGAGCATACTACGAGTACCTCTAAGTGACCACTGATTATAGGTTAGTGCATGGCAGCGAGGGCCTTATTAGTGAGCATTGGGGTAATTCACCACTATAAAATGAATGACGTACTGTCCAAGGCCTGTGGTAGATTCTTCGGAATACAAGTGTTCCTGTGTCGTCCAACTAACGCATATTAACTCCGCAACTAGAATTCCTAAACAGAAAAAGGACCTATACGTTACGAGTTATGGCTAACGGTCCACCAAGGAAAGGAGATAACAACACAGTCAGATAGTGCAACAACAACTGAATATTATCTGTCTGATTGTTTCTTTGTATGCGCTGCTTGCTTACTTGTAGTTTGTCTCCTGCTACCATGTTTCAACATTGTTAGTGCTTAAGTTTGGTGTTTTTTTTGTTGCCCCATGGCCGCCAACTGTCTGTACTTGCCATTTTCTTAGATTTGTGTTGGGTTTCTGTTCCCGTTATGGCAACACAGGATTGGATTGGGTATTTTTTTCTTCTTCAGATTCCTGGCGTTTTGATCCATTTTTTTGTATTGAGATTTTGGGTCATATCTTCATATGTAAGCACATTTGCTTTGCCCATACAAGAGGCTTTTCGATATTATTATCTCGTTACGTTGGTTGACTGTTAGTCATAACTAGTAACGTATAGGTCCTCTTCCTCTTTACAGATTACTACTGGCTCCACATCCGCGGTTCATCTAGAATTCCTGCAAAATGTACTGACCTACTCGGCCTAAACCCGAACCTAATGTGATGCAAAGAATCAGTCCGGGAAGTGAACTGCCTGAAAAGAGAAAAAAAACGCCAGACCCACCAATACTCCAACCCAGGACCTTTCTTGTCCTGAGCAATGCTCTAACCACTGAGTTTTGGGGTTCAAGTTGAACCTACATGTAGAAGGCGCTGACAAGTTTTTCACTCCAAACGTTTTTCTGCTTCTTTCAGGCAGTTCACTTCCCCGACTGATCCTTTGAATTTGCAGTTCTCCCAATCCTTTCCAACCAATGTGTCAGATGCTTTAAAGATGATATGTGAAATAATCAACTTGTCACCAATAAAAGCTGAGAGTATAATACGATATTCATAGCTAAATTCCCAGCCAAATTCTCCGTCGTTTTCCAAACATTTCCTGCAGTATAACTTACGCAAGCAGTTGCCCAGTGTTTGTGACCAGGAGTTGTTGCTAAGACAGGTCGTAGTGTTGATGCCCTGTAGATAGTATCCACTGTTGCACGCTACTCGTGCTGTGCCACGCCAGAAGAAACTGTCAACGCTAACATTCCCATTGCTCACGATTGGTGGAGACTCACATCGATGTCCTGGAGAATGTGAAACAGGGCAATAGGATTACCGGTATGTTGATGATACTGATTTCCGCCATGTAGATGCTGGTTGATCTGAGCAATGGGATTACTACTACTTCCAAGTAATACCTCTCAGTGGCCACTAAACACTGATACGAGAACTATGCAGGACACCCGACAGTGTTGGACTGTATATGGTGTTGTCAGGCAGTAGAATATGTTTTACTTGTCATTTGGAAATCTACCCTAAAAGGTGGACCCGGGTACGACTAAATGCCTATATGTGCTGAATTGTCAATATGCCTAACATAACCGAGTTCACAAAGTGCTCTCAATTATATTTTGAGTGGCGCTTGACAGTGGTAAGACGGAAACAAAAATTGCAAGAGCCACGGAGTGGGGCACGATCCACCGCACTGGTCAGCTGAAAACTAGATAAACCTGAGGATACCTGAAAGGCGTACATATACATGCAATTTCTCTGTGCTACGCTGAAGAGCCCACCAAGGACGAAACAGTTCTGTGCGCAGATTGATTAGGTGTTTTCCACTACCTTCATAAGCCCCAGTCCACAAACTACGAGAAAGGCTCCATCCTAGACAATGACAGGGACGACTATGGGGCCTAGCTTCACTGTGACCTATACTTCATACTACATGACTATAGTAATAATACATTGTATAGTTGCTATAGTTGGTATGGACGTTATGGGATAAAAACTGGAAAGGGAAGGAAACCTGGCCGGGATACCAAACTCAACATATAATTATGTGGTCGACTTCAAAAGCGGTAAAAGTTAAAAGTGAATCCTTTCAAGCTATCGAAAAGGCCAGGTTGGTTTTGCCTTGTCCAATAATTGTCAAGCACACAAAAAGTTCTCACTTACGCAGGCACTTTCCCAGTGTTCCAGACCACGATCGGCTACCAAGACACGTTGTTATGTTACTTCCACTCACATAATATTCACCATTACACATCAAGTGCGCTGCTCCATACTCGCCGTTTCCGTAAACCCTCACTTCACCATTTTCGACTGCTGGTGGAGGCTCGCAGAGATAATCTGGCGAACAACAGAAATAGCATGATCTGAGATCGACAACGAGTTTCGACTTACACATAGACGTACGTACTTCATATCTTTGGAAATGTAGACAGGAATTGAGGAGAAGTCACTAGTATCGAAGGACAACATCAGACGAATGCCCCGAAACAAATATCAAGTTCTAAGTGCGGGGGGGGGGGGGTTGCACGAACTGTGAGGTCGATGGCTCAAGTATCTAAATGCATCAGGATTGCGCATGAATAATAATAATTTATAATATTCGCGGGATCCGCGTCGGCATCGCTTGAATGTTGAGAAACACACAAACTAGCATTCGCATCCGCAGGCAACCACTATGCCTGTTTGCTTTAGTGGTGAACGCAGACCTCACAAGAGGGTCAGGCGAGAGGAGGTTGAGTCTCTCAACCAGTCGGGCGCGTAACAGCCCATAACCCTGTAAACTGCATTCGTTGCGCATGATGATTTCGTAAAGTATTAGTCTGTCTTAGTCTAGTGTAAGGTGTCTCATCTTCAAATAAATAATTATATCCCGCTTCTAGTCACTGGCTCGGAGCCTTGAAAGTAAGCACTGTTCGTTTTACCACTCACCCAGGCAACGTCCAGTCGTTTCAGACCATGCGCCGCTGCCTTGGCAGGTTATAGTACTCTCACCATGTGGGAAGTATCCATCGTTGCATTGCATACGGGCCATCCCATCTCTGAGACGGCTGTAAACTTTGAAGTTGCCGTTCGTCACCACTGGTGAGGTTACGCACACATATTCTAGACGGAAACACAATATGGCATACATGTTTTAATTATTATTATTATTACCCAATGCTGTACACAGCAAGCTGTTTCGGCCATAAAGGCCTCATCAATACAGCTACGAGCTAAATAGGCCGCGCTACCAGCCATGGTGCAAAGGAGGCACCACAGACATTACGATAGCTCGTCGCTCTAGCACCAGAGTGCTCAAACTACAAAAAAGTAGTAGGCATTGCGTGATGCAGCAGCACTACAGCAGCCTACTGAGAGTGCTCAACAAGACGAAAGCCGAGGAGCGAAATACCCAATGCTGTAGACAGCAAGCTGTTAAGTATTATTATTACTATTACGTGTATTATATATTTGAGGATTTACCAAAGACATAGTCTAAATTGAAGGAAGTTCCAATATAATGGGAGGCTGTAGGGTGGAGATAGCAAAGAGTGGATGGCTAATGATACGCATATGCGGATTTTATCTTCCGCATATCGGAAGTGATTGATTGTCCTTGTTGAAAGCGGACAATAGAGAGGTTGTGCATAACGAAAATTCGTAAAGATCTTTCGGAATCTGAGCCATCTGGAAGTGACGAAAATTCGTAAAGAAAATCTGTTGTGCTCAACGAAAAACGTAGTGTGACCATGATAACCCTTTCAAGTACTTTTCCGCTGTTTGCGCGCTTGGTGAACATTTTTTTGAATCAAGTGTGTCCTCCGGCCCACGTGAAGGCACACCACCGAGCTGAGTTGGGCTCAAGTTTTCCAGCTCACAGGCAACGATCTCCATGGCTGGAGACCCTCGTCGAAACGGTTGGTCGTGAGAACGAAGCTGCCTGAGAAGGGCCAGGTCCATCGCGAGATCAAATGTCCTTCGCTGAGACGTCGCAGGGGAAGACGAAGACGCCGAAGTGGCAGAATTCTGCTGCGGGGATTCAGCAGAATAATTTGTCACCAGATCTGACAGAACTAGCCGAGCGCTGTCCAGGTGACGATCGCTGAGAAAGCGGGAAAGAGATCCATCAGCTCCACAGGATGCCGAGTAGGAAGAACTCGCAGAACGACTTGAATAGGCCAAAAATCTTGACACCACGTGCATCAACACAGCTACATGTACATGTATACAGAAGCTTGCGAGAAGGAAGCGAAAGTTCAAAACGTTAGATCTTCAAGTTTCGCGATCCTCCTCGCGAAAGTTCCGTTCCTTTTTCGTTACTCGTGCCCAGACTACGTCTAAGTTACGAATTTTCGTTAGGCACAACCTCTCTAATGTCTAAGCTCATTCCGATTCTTCTGATACGTATTTCTTACATGAATATTGAAAGACAATGAACTGTTTGCGAATACAAGCATGTACCCCGCAACAGTGTATGTACGAAACTTGAAAAGAAATCCATCTGTTCATCTATGCATCTTATCACTATGCAATTTTCTTCTGCGGATCTTTTTTCTTAGGCTGTGTTTACATGAGAAATTTCAACCCGGGTCGAGTTCAGCCCGGGGTGAAAGTCTGTACGACAAACAAAAGAGGTGAGGGTTTACATGAAGACAGTTGACCCGGGTCAAATACTGATATGCCGCCAAAAGTCCACTTCTACAGTCCTGCATAGTCACGTGAATCCGTTCGCGCGAAATTTGCATCTGCAGTGCTGTTCGCACAGAAGTACGTTTGTACGATTTTCTTGACCCGCGTTGGTTTCAACCCTCCCCTTTGAAATCAACCCGGGGCGAAATTTCAACCCGGGTCAAGCGCAATGCGTCATGTAAACGCGCCATTCACTTTGTGCACATGGCGGGTTGAAATCTGACCCGGGTCGAACTCAATCCGGGTTGAAACGCCTCATGTAAACACAGCCTTATTGAGAGCTTCTTGCAGGGGCAAATGAGCACCTTTTTGTAAAATATGCTATGGAACACAACCGACCAATTGCATACTCTAGTACTATCCAGATAATCACCCAGCGCAGCTCCAAACTACCCACCATAGCGCTGATCAGTGATTTACTTTGTATGGTCACGTGATCATGCGGATAACCAGTACTGTACTTGATTGACATGGCACGAAAGGTAAGCACCCTTAATCGATGATTAAGATTCGAGGCGAATTTGTAATACACACTTCATCCGAATTATTTCGCCAATCTCACTCTCCCTATACTGGAGTACATGTAAATGGGCTGGTACGTCACTCTACGGACTTTCCTCATTGTATAGATGGTATCAGGCAGTCCTCAAGTTTTTCATCACTTACGACTACAGGTAGGGAGATTCGTAGTGGCCATGTTGCTCGTGCAGGTGACAGAAGCATTTCCCACAAGTTCAAATCCTGAACTGCACGTCACCTGATAGCGTGGTCCAGCTCCGTTCGTTCTACCATTGTTTATAGGAGGTTCGGGGCAGGTGAAGGCTACCATCAGGTTCCAACAAAAAACCCAGGAAACAGGAAGCGGACAATCACTTACATGTGTTGGAGACAAACTTTCATTTGTTATTACAGTTACAGGCAAACCTGTCTAAGACGACCACTCAAGGGACCCTCAAAATGTGGTCTCTATCACCAGGTGGTCTCCTTATCCAGGGTCACTTGACTTGAAATAGCATCCCTTGATCCTGGTTTCAGTGGTCTTCTTGTACAGGTGGTCGCCTTATCCGAGTGGTCGCCGTAACAGGTTCTACTGTACATGTAAGAAATCAATGTATGTACTTGTTGCATCCGCTACGAGGAAAAGAGTAGCATTTCCATTTTCGTGGCACCCGCAATTATCGCCTGGCAAGCCACTGCTAGCGATAGAACAGAACACAACATCAAGACTCAAATGGTGACCTGAGAATCGATGCAGAGGCTAAGCATAGATGTAAATAAATAGCGTTTCTCTTAGCGTCCGAATTTTGGTGTTGCTGCTGTTGTTGTTGTTGTTGTTGTTGTTGTCGTCGTCGTCGTCATCGTCGTTGTTGTTGCTGTTGTTGTTGTTGTTGTTGTTGTTGTTGTTGTTGTTGTTGTTGTTGTTGTTGTTGTTGTTGTTGTTGTTGTTGTTGTTGTTGTTGTTGTTGTTGTTGTTGTTGTTGTTGTTGTTGTTGTTGTTGTTGTTGTTGTTGTTGTTGTTGTTGTTGTTGTTGTTGTTGTTGTTGTTGTTGTTGTTGTTGTTGTTGTTGTTGTTGTTGTTGTTGTTGTTGTTGTTGTTGTTGTTGTTGTTGTTGTTGTTGTTGTTGTTGTTGTTGTTGTTGTTGTTGTTGTTGTTGTTGTTGTTGTTGTTGTTGTTGTTGTTGTTGTTGTTGTTGTTGTTGTTGTTGTTGTTGTTGTTGTTGTTGTTGTTGTTGTTGTTGTTGTTGTTGTTGTTGTTGTTGTTGTTGTTGTTGTTGTTGTTGTTGTTGTTGTTGTTGTTGTTGTTGTTGTTGTTGTTGTTGTTGTTGTTGTTGTTGTTGTTGTTGTTGTTGTTGTTGTTGTTGTTGTTGTTGTTGTTGTTGTTGTTGTTGTTGTTGTTGTTGTTGTTGTTGTTGTTGTTGTTGTTGTTGTTGTTGTTGTTGTTGTTGTTGTTGTTGTTGTTGGGTATATATTTAAAGTTTTCCTCGGATGGTGAGCCAATTAAAGTCATAACTCGTAACATTTGGTCCTCCTTTTCTACCATATATTTAAAGGATTTTCCAAACGCAAATCGGTGCTTATCATGGAAGCCCCTACATAAATATAGCAAGAATCTTCCCCAGGACACATTTCGTCTTCACAGCCCGACTGTATTTTGTATTTTGTATTTATATCATTATCTCATGGCACATCATGATGACGGCCAATAAAACTGAGACAAGGGTGAAAGCCAACCACAGCAGTAAAACAGATAAAAGAATACAAATAAGAGGCAAAGAAGGCAAAGGAGGGGCTGCTTTTGTCCATGAATACGATTGGTCTTTCTGGACACAGCCGAATAATATTATCGAATTTTAATTAATCCCAGCCTTCTTGCCTTGTGACTTGGTTCCATGATACCAAGCTGTCGTAAAATTGTAAAAAAAGATGAAGGAAAATGACCAATGGAAACGAGTTATGAGGTATCCAGTTATCCTTCACAGTAACTGTAGTTAGAATTGTCAAACTATAATTGGGCAAAAAAGGGGATACAAAAAAACAGTGCACGACAGAGCATTTTTTAAATTTCACTGTTCGCATGAAACTCGGCTGGAAGTCGAGTTTTCGCATCCGTAGGAACGCCACCACCCTCTAAGATCAAGGCCAAGATGCAGAGCCTAAAAGGTGATAGGTAAGTAGATCAGACCCACCACAAATTGGTCAAAGACCGAAATCCCATTAACTGCATCCAAGTTACCCTCGTGCCAGGCCACGAGTTCCCAATTAACTGTGGGTCGCAGCACGGCTGGAAAACTTCCTTCCGCTTCCAAGCAGGACTTGAACCTGGTGCCATCTGTTTCTCAATCATGGTCTTATACAATCCCACTATGCCTACCTGCTTTAGCATAGTCGTGCAGAATTATGATGCGTGGCGTGCCGAAGATCCTAGAGCGGAAACTAAATGGTAGTTTTGTTACTGTGCAAGCATGAAACAGAGTTATGAGTTAAAACCCACCTTGGCACTGTTTATTTGTGTTACACCACTGTCCTCCCTCCGTACAGTGCGCGTTATTACCATCCATCATGTGATATCCCAGATTACACATGTATACCGCATCACTGGGAAACCGTGTGCCACTCGGGTAGGTGACAATTCCATTTGGTAGCGATAAATCTCCTCCACATTCTGGGCCGTGCACTGGCAGAAAAAGGTAAAATAATATAGGCGAAAAAACATGGAATGCTTTGCCAAGCACACTAATCGTTTCTATCACTAAAACACTAAAAATTGATATCAATTTGCAGACACACGTCCGTTGTATTGCCTTTATACCTGTACTGGCTGTCAGAAGAGGAAAGAGAAGCAATGGTATTTGCTCATGCAGTACAGGTACGTACGTACTCACGTCCTCCTGAAGAACCGTGATGCCTTTCACTTGGTGTATATGGCGTAGAATCATCAATTTTTGTCATCATAATATTCTCAAATGAAGCTGCGTGAAGCTGCGTGAAGCGTCCTTCAAAATTCTGATAATATACTCATGTTCTACAATGACTCGACAACTTTTGGTAGCAGAATTACTGTGACGCAAATTGAGTAGTTTAATAGCAGATTTTCTCTGTCAGTATTTCATCTCAAGAGACTGCTACGAATACTTTCAAAATGGTATTTTTACCTGCAAGAGGGAGACTGTTTTTGCACAACACCGTTGCAGTCGCGGGACATGGACTTGTTGCTGGGTAGCAGGTAGTCCCACTGTTTCCATTCGACACCCAGAATGTTCTCTGAGTACCAATGGTGAGCCGAATGTACGCCAGATATTCGCTGTAGCAGGGTTTCTGCAGGTCGTCTATGGATGCGAGTGTATACGGGTACGGCTTGACGGTCGAACATTGGGTCTGCGCTGACTCTATACGTGCCTGTGACCACGCCGGAGAAGAACTGATGAGGTAGAGTCCGTCGCTTGTATTGCAACGAAAGTGAGCTGAGTAAGAAGAACAGGATTTGAAAGCAATAAGAAGGGGGCGTTTTATGTAGGGATTTTCTAGAAAGAAATTTGTTACTTGTTAATACTCAATCTGCGGACAGAACTGTTTCGTCCTTTGTGGACTCGTCAGCGCAGCACAGAGGAAATGAGGCCGAACCTGATAGCAATGGAAATAAAAATTTCCAATCAGGTCCGAACGTACCTTGCCAGAGTGCTCAAACTGACAAGTCAGTGAGCTCTGCATTACGCAAACAGCAAAGGCACTACCCCACGCAAGAGTGCTGAACTGCTACAAGAGCAGGAGCGAAATACTCAATCTGCGGACAGAACTGTTTCGTCCTTTGTGGACTCGTCAGCGCAGCACAGAGGAAATGAGGCCGAACCTGATAGCAATGGAAATAAAAATTTCCAATCAGGTCCGAACGTACCTTGCCAGAGTGCTCAAACTGACAAGTCAGTGAGCTCTGCATTACGCAAACAGCAAAGGCACTACCCCACGCAAGAGTGCTGAACTGCTACAAGAGCAGGAGCGAAATACTCAATCTGCGGACAGAACTGTTTCGTCCTTTGTGGACTCGTCAGCGCAGCACAGAGGAAATGAGGCCGAACCTGATAGCAATGGAAATAAAAATTTCCAATCAGGTCCGAACGTACCTTGCCAGAGTGCTCAAACTGACAAGTCAGTGAGCTCTGCATTACGCAAACAGCAAAGGCACTACCCCACGCAAGAGTGCTGAACTGCTACAAGAGCAGGAGCGAAATACTCAATCTGCGGACAGAACTGTTTCGTCCTTTGTGGACTCGTCAGCGCAGCACAGAGGAAATGAGGCCGAACCTGATAGCAATGGAAATAAAAATTTCCAATCAGGTCCGAACGTACCTTGCCAGAGTGCTCAAACTGACAAGTCAGTGAGCTCTGCATTACGCAAACAGCAAAGGCACTACCCCACGCAAGAGTGCTCAACTGCTACAAGAGCAGGAGCGAAATACTCAATCTGCGGACAGAACTGTTTCGTCCTTTGTGGACTCGTCAGCGCAGCACAGAGGAAATGAGGCCGAACCTGATAGCAATGGAAATAAAAATTTCCAATCAGGTCCGAACGTACCTTGCCAGAGTGCTCAAACTGACAAGTCAGTGAGCTCTGCATTACGCAAACAGCAAAGGCACTACCCCACGCAAGAGTGCTCAACTGCTACAAGAGCTACTTGTTAATAAAAAAAGGTGGAAAAGTCCCGCAATTCTTACCTGCATAATCCCGCGTTTCCTGTAACGCACAACTGTCGTCTTGAGCGTTCACATAACTCCAGTACGCAGACAATGAATGTAGCAGTAGCAATGCTATGATTCCACTGGTGCTGGTCATCTCTGCTCACTTCAACAAGTGATCGTAGCCAAATTGGGCTCGCGTAGAACTTTGTAGAGTTGGAAGAAAAGCTATCAACTCGGTCTGCTCCCGAATTTCTCACATTAGTTAGGAAGAACAGAAATTCACCTTTCTATTACACTTGCATACACAATGTGGCCACTATCGTATGTATGGAAATGTGCTGCTTCGAGTTGTTTGCACTGTGTCTTTTCTCGCCAGTAGGGATTGCAGCGTGCGGCAATGTCATCCACTGCTGAGATACATCGATTTTCGCGATCACCGGAATCAACTTCACGTGTGCGTCATAACACCTACTGGTGCTTCCGACACAGATGGGGGTGAATGGCTCTAACCTTGTGCTTTTTATCAAGCCTCTGTACCGCTTAAATACACACTATACATTGGAAAACGGATGGAGAATGCTGGAGATGTGCATGCGTGGAGTACTAGTACACTCAATCTGCTGACAGAACTGTTTCGTCCTTTGTGGGTATCGGTATAATTCGAAGCAAATAATTTAAAATTTAATATCAAAGGAGAAAATTTCAAAGAAAGACAAAATACAAGAAAACATCAGAGACACCAAAAACAACACTACTGTAAAACCGGAAAGTCTAACGAGCAAAAAATTTTACGTTTTTGTAATTTTGGCATGATAACGTGCACAAAATTTAACGTTTTTGTAATTTTGGCCTGATTACGTGCACAAAATTTAACGTTTTTGTAATTTTGGCATGATAACCTAAAGAAAATTTAACGTTTTTGTAATTTTGGCATGATAACCTGCAGAAAATTTAACGTTTTTGTAATTTTGGCATGATAACGTGCAGAACATTTAACGATGGCTACCTGGCCACCAAGAATATGCATCGATGTATGCGTATTTTCACACACTGGGTTCGGGATAACGTTTCTTCAAATAGCGACTAAAAATTGGTCGCTAAAACGTTAGACTTTGTGACTCGTTAGACTTTCCGGTTTTACAGTAAAAACGATACATGACTATGAAAACGGACACCCGAAAGTAGGGTTGCCTACGTTCTGATCGTCATGAAATCGCCACCACAAGGATGTTGAATCCTATTGTGACTGTAGACCAAGCGAGGCCAAATGCTCCGGAAGCAAACAGTTGCTTCCCTTTTTGACACTGCCCTTTGATCAACAGCTGACACCTCCTCCACAGGAAAATAGAAAACGACGCAAGCTTGGTTTGTGTTGGCCAGGACGCTATGATTGTTACGTTGCAAATATGATATGAGACCAGAACCACAGCTTATCAGCCAAAATACGCAAGTTGCGGCATAACTTATCATCAGATGTCACTTTCATAACAGTAGACAGAAAGATGGCTATAATCCATATCAGAGTTTCATGCTAGTCACGATCATCAGGCAGACAGTTGAGGATCCTAACTGCTTGTGTGAAGTTCTCTACGTATACTGTTATCACTGGTCACGTGGCACAGGACTTCAGAAGCATGTCTTGTACACGCCATGTACATGTATAGTGCTGGCAACTGAAATCCGACCCGTGGGAGGTGCGCTCACACCGCAATGACCCAACACGGAATGGTAAAACTACGAAAAAGAGACCTCTAGGATGTGAACGCACCGCTAAGGGGTCCGATTTCAGTGGAAGTCTTCTTTCTTTTGCAATGAGTCCCCTGATACATGTATAGCGATTGGACTGTACACACTTGTTTGCCCTACTTGCAGTGCACGATTAAAAAAATATTCACGGTTCGCGTGACACTCGGCTGGAGGCCGAGTTTTCCACATACACGGAACCGTCATCACCCTCTAGGATCAAGGCGCAGCTCCTAAGCGGTGGAAGCCTGGGAGGTGAGTTGATCCCACCAGACCCACCAAACATTTTAACTGTGGGTCGCAGCACAGCAGGAAAACTCCTTCCGCTTCCAAGCAGGACTTGAACCTGGTCGCTTACGGCAGACGTCACTGATCCGTTGTTGCGATGACTGGTGAAGTATATTTATTACATTATATTTACACAACAGAAAAACAAGGACAATCAAGGATTCTTCGCTGCTACTTTAAAAGTTTCATGGTCACGCAATCATCAGGCGTGAGCATGCCTAATGATTGCGTGACCATGAAACTTAAAATAGCAGCAAACAATCCTTGATTGTCCTTGTTGTTCTGTTGTGTATTACACTCAGCCTTTGTTCTTCAGCATTGTCAGCACTCTGGGTACATCCTTCGGTACATTGTATTTAAATAGAGATTTAGTCGGAGGGACACATATCAGCACACGAAGAGACGAAGCTAGTTGAAAATCTGATGAGGCCTTTCGTACCATTACTCTTCAAAATCAGTGCATGGTGATAAAGTGACGAAGCACAACGAACCAGAGCACTTCAAGATTCACGCGCGGGTGCGCAGAAAATGTCACCTAGATGTGCTAGTGGCTGTTCACATTGCCAAGCTGCAGCCTGAGCTGTGTAGACAGAAGGAGTTTGTTAGGAAGCTAGTGCTATTTTGACTTCCCACCTCCCTGTTATAGTGCGTGTACTCTCTGGGTCAACTCACATTATCATTCAGCCTGTGTACGTTTCATCACAATTTTTCCGACAATATGCTGTATAAATTGATATCGTTGTGCTTCGTCACTTTATCGCCATGTATTGATTTTGAAGAGTAATGGTACGAAAGGCCTCATCAGATTTTCAACTAGCTTCGTCTCTTCGTGTGCTGATAATGTTTCCCTCCGACTAGGTCTCTATAAAATCATTTGAAGCGGAGGGACAGCGCTCCTCAGCCGAAGGAGCTGAATGCAGCCTACAAGTGATGTGTTACGGTTGACTTCATTATATCAAGAACTCCCAAATATGAAGCTGAGTCAGACCTATCAGGGGAGGACCTGTGCAGAATATATTATTCACATCGCTTGAGTGGTATCAGCAAGATATAGAAGTTTCGAAGTATCGGGATGGTCTGTAAATGAAAAAAAACAACTTTTTCTACTTTTTCCCGTTCTGTGTGCTGCTTCTCCTGCCATGAATCGTAGCACACATTCATTGACGCTCAAGCCAATTGTTAATGGTATTTAACTTCTGCGTATCTACAATAATTATACTATCCACCTTTGAATGCTGAGAAAAAGATCAGTGGTGCAGGCACTAACCGAATGCTTACTAATCTCTAATCATGCATACCTCACTTCATCACTATGGAAACTAGTGTATATCAGTCTACGCAAGGTGATGTACATATTCAGCACCCTACTTCGATCACGTTCCCCAATCATCTCATTCAGCAGCATTAGTCTTTTGGTAGGCAATGTGGAACAACAGGAGCGTCTATGTTTTGTTTTTGTTATGACTGTAATCTGATGAAGGTTCGATATGATAATTGGAGCTCCCCGCGTACTAGTTTTTGTTTGAAAAGTGTGATTACAGTGAGGGCTGTGTCCCACCAGCGTGAAGAAGATGTTGACCGGTCTATGCTTGAATGACAGCTACATCATAGTTCACCGGTTAGAGCATTGCTGGCCTCAAGCCAACGTCCCTGGGTCTAGTCCAGGTGGTGACAGTCATTGAAATTCTTTTATGTCAAACATTTCCCCCTTTCAACACCCTCAACGCAGTATTGAATACAGTCAACCTCGCTTATAATGGCATTCGTCGGGACATCGGAAAAGTGTCCTTATTCGCGAAGTGTCGTTATACCCGAAGTCTCATTATATGTACTACAGTGGGATGGGACTTTGCTCTGGGCATGGAAATTCTGTCGTTATTCGCGAATTGTCGTTATATCCGCCGTCGTTATTAGCGTAGTTGATTGCACTTCAGTCGTCAGCAACATTTTGCAATCGCAATGCCTACTTCGGTAGAATCATTTATACAGTGCTGGCAACTGAAATCCGACCCCCTTGGTGGCGCGGCGCGCCGGCAAGGGGGTCGGATTTCAGTTGCTAGCACTGTACATTCACAGTTATTAAAAAAAATTCACGGTTCGCGTGAGACTCGGCTGGAAGCCGGGCTTTCCGCATCCATAGGAACGCCACCACCTTTCAAGGATCAAGGCGCAGATGCAGCTCCTAAAGCGGTGGGAGGTGAGTAGATCAGCTCACCAGCAAGTGGTCAAAGACCGAAAATCCCATTCACTGTATCCATCACAGTTATTGCTGTGATATTAATGTGCTCAGCATTTACGATATCAAAAGAGGAATGCCCAAAATTAAAACAATTTCCGGGAGAGTAATGATCAGTATTGAATTGATTACTGGTCTGTGAGAGTGAGCCTAAAGGAAAGGAGATATGAGATACCAATTTCCAAAACTAAAACGCATGGTCGGTATAGATAAACTAAGCGAGCAAGGATGAGAACATCAAACAGCAACGGAAGCCTGCATGGTAGACACAACTAAATCATGAGCACAAGATATACATCTCAAATCGGTTGTAAGATGCAGGTTTAGCAAGACTTATGCCCGTATGAACATTGCGACCAAAAGACAGCCAGACATTAGAATTTTACTGAAGTAAGTCGGTCAGGCAACAATCCTAAGATATTCAACATTGTACAAATACCCTGCGAGGAGAAAATAATTTTGATGTACATGTAGCTATGAATAGGATGAAGGCCGCAAACATCACGAAACTACGTTACTTGTTCGATATGTATGTGTATGTGTGTGATGTCTGCGGCCCACATCCTATTCATAGCTATAGTCATGATGAATATGTATTTTGGTGGGAGAAGTGATGCCAAGTAGCCAGATATCATATTGTTTCATACTGGGTCTCCTGGTGGCACTCCACAATACCGTATGCATCGTTTTTCTTCAGGTTGGGCAGGACAATATCGTTAGAGAGCTGCACTGGAGCTTGGGTAGTCTCTACCCTGTGCTCCTGGGCGCGGCGCTTGAGAATGCAAGCAAATACCACCGTCGGAATGAGAAACCCAGCCAAGAAGCTTGCAACACCAACAACGATACTCGAAGTAGTTGTGTCTGACGTTGCACCGCTTGAGTCGGATGAGCCTGGGGACGGAAGGGAAGAGATGGGAGGGAGGGAGCGGGGGGGGGGGGGGGTAAGAATAGACTATTACTGTAGTAGTTCTGGTAATAACGGTAGTTATTCGTCAATGCAATGCGCATGCAGCCAATATGCCTACCCCTGGGATAGGAATTATTTGCGTTTAGGCTAAATGAAACGATAAAGGCCAACACATGTTAAAGTTCAGAACTAAATATTGCGACAGAGCTTTCGGCCATATTTTCAATTCATTGCATTCCCAACTCATCACAGCCCTCATCCTCTACTGATGAGCTCCGACAGGGAGCGAAACGGCTAGAGGCGTGGAACAATAATCTCTCAACGGAAGTGTCCTTGCTGGTGTCTGTATGGTTCGGCTGAAGAGCGCGTGGTTGTGATGAGTTGGGCATGTTAAAGTTCAGAGTTTTAAAGAGTAGAGCACACACGCCCTCTTACATTATCACTGAAATAGTTCAACTCATGCCACAATAATTATTCCAATGTTTCGGAAAATTGCCTTCATCAGGTTCACAATGATGTGCAAGCTACCAAACCAGCATTGATAAAGGCCAACTCCCCTGTCAGTAAGAGGGTGTGTAAGTGTGTGTAGAAGTAAATCAGCGTAATTATGCCATCGCTCTACAAGACTATCATCATCAAACAGTATGACATAGCGACACTGTAAAGAAATGCACACCGTGGATTGGAGCGTACCAACAAGAATACACTTCAAATAGCTAAATATGCTGACCACGCAAGGATCACAAAATGGAAACTCAGGATCATGCTGCTGAAAGCCCTTTTTCGCTTGTAAGACAACTTGTCATTGGCAACGTCAAGCACGACTATTATTGTTGATGTTGGTGTGCTTTATAGGTTTGTGTTTGTAAAAAAACGTTATCCGAGATGCTTTCGAGTAATAGTACTAATAATATCAACATATCCAGTAAAACCTGTCAAGGCGATCACTCGCGACCACCTGTCCTGAACGACCACTGAAAACAGGACCAAGAGATGCTATTTCCAGTCAAATGACCCTGGACAAGGAGACCACCTGGTAACAGCGACCACATTTTGCCGGTCCCTTGAGTGGTCGCCTTAGACAGGTTTCACTGTACTTACGTAGGCAGGTTCCCAATGGCCGGGACCAGGAGCCATTGCCAAGACAGGTCGTAGTGTTGGCAGCATGCACGTGTAGGCCGTATCCAGCGTTGCAGGCGACATGCGCTGTTCCACCTCGTAGGTAACTCTGCACGGTCACGTGACCATTCATCACTCTTGGTGGAAAGGCACATAGATAACCTGGAAACATGAAAACTCACACAAATACATGTACAATGAGTTTGGTGAGCCACTCTACTTACTGTAATGTTCACTCGATGAATTTCTTTAACGCGAGCCACAAGACGAGCATTTTTACATCTGTTAGCCCATTTCGATTAAGGGGGCAGCCTACCCATAAATTTCATATGGCATTCAATTGACCGTAACTTTGGTGTTTCTCAATGGATTTGAGGGAAATTTTGACCACACACTCCAGCCACTATGCTGGCCCTCAGGACATGATTTACAAGTTCTTGCGCCTCACTCACTGGCTTTCCAGGCCGGAAAAACTTAAATTTCTGGCATAGTGCCACGGTGTGCGAGCCACCCAGGAGCAAAACAAATGCATTTACAAATTTTCACATTTTCGTGCTCATTCTGCTCGTGCGCGGGACTCAAACCTAGAACAAGTCCAGAAACAGCCATGGGTGATGGGGTAGGGCCCCTCAACGAGGCCCTGGAATCTGTCACAACGGAACGAGTGGGCGTTCTCTCACACACTCCCACAGACCCAAGTCAATTTTTGAATTTTTTTAGGTTTAGCACGTGCTACGAGGTCGTACCTTTGATACAACATCCAGTGCTGGGACCTCCACAGCAAGCCATTTCCACAGCGCTGCACACCAAATCCAGGATACCCTCAGAAACCGGCAAAGACTACCACTCACGTTTCACTACTGCCTAGTACTGAATCCTACCTGACTTCTTGACACGACTCAAACTTGCCAAAGTCACTAAATCAACGTCAACTACAATAATCAAGCCACATATCTGCAACGTCACGAGGGTGCTGGCAAAAGTCCTGCTGCACGGCGGCGGACTTCGCCCGCCGCCGTGCAGCCCAATACGTGGCTCAAAAACCTGATTTTTTGGACTTGGAGCAAAATTCTGCACACTTTCACGTGTTTCCATGATACGACAAGTTGCGCACGGTCTGCTCACATTCAAATACAGTGCTGCCAACAAATGACAGCGTGCAACAAAAAAATCTTTCCTTGCAAGGGCACATTTTGGGCCATAACTCTTGAACGGCCGGTCAGATCGGGACACAATTTTCAGAGAATTTGCAGCTATTCATGCTCTTTCAACTGACGTAGCACTCAATATGAATTTACAAATTCGATTTTCAGCGAATTTTTGGGTAGTCTGCCACCTTAATTTTATATTTCGATTTGCTTGCGCTCAGCCAAAAGGTATGACATATTGTGGTGGTTGATGCTGCTACACTTGTATCTTTCATTCAAACACACTGCATTGTAGCTAGCAGTAATACAGTCAACTTCGCTAATAACCACTGCGGATATAACGATAATTCGCGAATATCGACAGAATTTTCATGCCCAGAGCAAAATCCATGTATCTGTGTACATGTACATATAATGAGAATTCGGGTAAAAGGAAAGTTCGCGATTAAGGACACTTTTCTGATTCGCCGCTGAGTGCCGTTATAAGCAAGGTCGACAGTGATCAGAGAAGCAGAGGAATGCCAATGACTGGTGCGATTGTGCCTGACTCACGTGTGCACCTAGGAAGCTGTGTGGCGGTCGTGTTGCAGGCGAACGTGACGATTGGGTCACCAACAAGCTCAAACCCGGAGTAGCATTTAGTGGTGTATAGTGGTCCACTTGCCGACGCATTTCCGTTAGAGATCGCTGGTGGATAGCATATGGAAGCTGTCATGCCATTCCAGTGGAAGCCATTCAAAGGATAAGTCCATGAGAGAAGAAGATCACAAGTAACTGATTATAGTTCATGTCAATAATCCCCTCGCTATTACCACTATTATTCGAAATCCATGCACAAAAACGTGTACATCGTAGTGAGATAACCAACGAGGAGTCAGTGCAAAATACCAATGAAAAGGATTGATTATTGTGAACCCATTGACACATCATAAATGAAAAATTAATAGATAAACCTCCTGAGCGCTTTCTCGTAACTATCTGTGGAGTTTTGTCACATAACAGATAGTAAGCAAAACAAACAATCATTTACCCACACTTTTCCTCAGCCTACTCATCCTCAGCTGATGAGGAGTGTATTTCCCGAAACACAGTGTATTAAGCAAAGAGTGGTGCTTTTTTGAAGGTTTGCAGATTCTTAGATTCGACAGACTTCTCGTTTGCTCAGGATGGCAGCCGTGTTGAGGTGAATTTCAACAAGAGCAATGTCCAGTGGTTATTGGCGGAGGAAAGGGCTCACCGTTTCGGTGGAATCCCCGAAGATTTCCTGTTGAGTCCCCCTGCACTCACCGTCGCACGTCGGTAGGCTTGTCCACCCGCCGAAAGGCAGGCACTCCACCGTACTGTTGCCCACCAGTCGGTAGCCATGTGAGCAGTGCACGTCAACTCGCTGTCCAATATCATAGTATTTATCGATCAAGCCGGTGCTGTGAGGGATGACTGGAGCAGTACACCGAATGCCTGCAGCATAGCAATGGGGATTTACAACCAAGTCAGATTATACTAGTACAACGAAAACAATGGAACAAAATTTTGGATTTCAACGTCGTTTTCATGTGTTTTGTTTGTATTCTTTATTTAGAGTCGGAAGTCCAAAACAGGCCCTAGCCTAATAACAATGGTCCCACTAGTGAGGGAATGCTGTATATCTGTGCATAAGGATCAGTGAGTGTAACAGCAACTAGTAGGGAAAGAAAAAGAGAGAAGAAAAACAACTCAAAACAAGAGTTGCGACTTGCATAGGAAGAATAACATAAGTGTTAATCATCAGAAATAGCCATCACACTGAGATTTGGACAACAAAGGAAAGATATTTATGTTACCATAAAATGTACATTGTTAGATCAAAAATTAATACAAGAAACAAATATTCTAAAACGAACTTAGAAGTTGCGACTTCGGCGGTAATAGTCAGGAAGTTGGTTGCTCCAACGAGGAGCACACGCTTCTTGCCGAACTTGACACTTGACTGACTCACGACTGCCATCCGGAGCACACGAGGAGCACGTCGCACCTTCCGCTTTCAGTTGTTGGAGGTGACAGCGTTGTGAATAGCTATACTGGCTCTCAACGTCTGTTCAGCACAACTCCATGAGCGACTCTGACTCACGCTGCTACCTGGGGCCTCGCGAGGTGTTTGTCGCGCTGGAAACAAAGCGTCTCTGTAAGTCTGTATCCCTGGTGAGGGTTTGGCCTGGAGAGCAGTATATAAGTGGTGCTTTTCAGGCACAATCTTCCTCAGCCTACTCAAGCTCAACTGATGAGGGGTGAATTCCCCGAAACACTGTGTATTGAGCAGGGAGTGGTGCTTTCTTACAGGTTTGCCGAGCGGAAGGTGCGACGTGCTCCTCGTGTGCTCCGGATGGCAGTCGTGAGTCAGTCAAGTGTCAAGTTCGGCAAGAAGCGTGTGCTCCTCGTTGGAGCAACCAACTTCCTAAATATTCTAAAGCTAGCACTATTGGAGGCGTGATTACATGAGCAGCGAGCAGTGTGAAAGCAAGTGTAGATTGGAGAAATGCAGGTGAGAAAGGTACATGTACATGTACTTGAAGTATGTGAGTGGGTATGTGAGTGTTGGTATGTTAAGTGGAGAGTGTGAGTGCTGTAACAAATTCTTTTTTTGCATAAATCTGGATTACTAGTACGAATAAATACTATTCACTTTACGGTACGTCTTTCCATTGCAGTCCAACTATCAGTGTGATGACGATTTCTGATGAAAATCACATGAACACGATGTTCAAATCATAAAATATTGTTCCATTGTTCTCGTGGTATGAGTGGTATGAGTGGTATGAGTGCACTCACTTTATTTTCAACGATATTAGCTTTATTCATTAGGAATATTCTGATTGTAAAAAAAAAAAAAGTCAAATGGCAACGAGATACGCAGCAACTATCCACGACTGTCACAAGATGATAAACGGTCAGAACGTTCCATAATAGGGCCCCAAACTGACAAAGTGATGAGACATTCGGAGACTGTCTCAGTTTTGTGCCCTACTATCGCACATTCTGACTGTTTATCATCTTGTTACAGTCGTGGATAGTTACTGCATATCTCGTTTTCATGTGTTTTCTTCTCGTTTTACATTATTTTGATACTGGCTCAGTATCAGAGTTAAAATATTCTGTCCGTTACCTGTTCAAAAAGACATTACACATGTCACTTCTCTGCGGTTGACGTCACAGTATAATAATTAGCAGAGAAGTAGTGTTCTGTCCACCCGGGAACGGGTACGAGGGAGAACGGTGTGGGATAAAAGGAGGTGACGAGTGCAGGGTCGGCCTCTTTTGTCTTTGTGCGGAGAGTTGAGTGGGAGTGCCCACCCACTCACCCCAGTAATCATCATGTAATTTCATAGATCATCGCTTTTGATTATTCTAGTGATTTGATTATTCTAGAGTGTGCGGATGCATAATGGTCGGGCGTGGTTTTCTGGTTGTACGTAGCTGGAGTTTGTGTTAGACTAGGCAATTGTTCTGTATAGTCATGACCACGGAATTGTGTGCAAAGACAATAAGTTGGGGCGCTGTGCTGTGGTGGCCCCCACTGGCAATGTTCACGTGTTCAATAGTGGTGTACACGTATGAGTGAGTGTGCGGATGTGTGCGCAACGAGTGAGTGCAGGGTGGACAGAGAATATGATAATAATTAAAGTTAGCCAATGGGAGAAGTGTCACATAAAAATTGAAGTAGTCTCGAAGGCACTATGGAATAAGGCAAATGGCATCAGAATTCAATCTTAACATGAAGGTTTCCATCCCGAGCAGGCCTCTTCGAGTTTGCGCTTAACGTAAGTGAGTGATGGGGCTTTGCTTATCGAAATGAAAACGTTTAGGTTTCCTCATAGCTGAATAGCGTGGGATTCGGCGAAACAAACTCACGATAGCAAGCTGGCATCGGTGTTGGTTCCGTATTAGAGATGCAGGTGATCTGCGCCTACTAACTTGAAACCGAGGTGGTATTCATCAGGGTGTTGGATTGGAGCAGATCTCAAAAGGCTTTCCTGGGAAGGATTGGTTTTGTGGGTTTCAGAAGATGCAATAGATTAGAGTACCTCAAAACGGAAGACCTTTGTCTTTGAGGATTCATAAAGCCAAATTCACACTGGTGAGTTGCCATTCATTCTCAAAGATGCAGATTGGGCGGAGGAGGGAGGGGGGGGGTAATAAAACAGTTTATCACTCTTCTATATCGACCTCCACTTATTCTCGTGATCCTTGACTGGTCCTATATTACCCATATCGCCGCAATATCGACCGCTTATATCGACCGCTTGTATCGACAACTTAGGCATTGTAATCTTTCGACTTTGGAGGGACTTAGAATTTTTCTCTCCACTTCAAAAAGAAAAATTGAAAGAAAGAAGACAAAGAAAGAGAACAAGCAGGAGTTTTGAACTCACAACAGTATGAATCTCAAGCCACCCCTTATACCACCCAGCCACTGTGCTGCAGATGCTTAACTCTGTTGTTCTTACAGTCCTGTACCCAAAATAGGCAACATCCTATGTACACCATAGTACAAATGCTATACTAAAAAGGTTAAAACAGCTCCTAAAGGTTCAAATTTTGGGGTTATCACAAAGCAGTCGTGATAAATAGGATATTGACCTCGACTTTGGTCTATATGGGAAATATAGACCTCGTCTTGGTCAATATCCTATACATATTTGTTTCATTTGTTTTGGGGAAAGGTGCTTTTCCTTTCTCTGTATCCACTATACTAACGTGCATGGAAACATGGCGTTATAGTGAAAGTCAATAAAAGCAACCGCCAGGGGTTAAAGGTGGAGCGACAATCTCACCCTCTGTGAGAAATCCCCGTAGATTTCCTTTTTGATTTGTAGTCGGAGGTTGGGCCAATGGGAGCGGTTTTTCCAGCCGTGCTGCTACCCACAGTCAACTGGGAACTTGTGGCCAGGCACAACGGGTACATGGATGCGTCTAAAGGGGTCTTTCTCGGCACTTGTGCCAGTGGCTGTGAGACTTTTCCACTCACTCCCACCTTTAGGCGCTGCATCTACCGCTGGGGTTTACCGGGTGTAAGCGGCCGTCGCGAACGGACACGATAATTTACTTTACTTGCTTTAATGATGGATAAATACAAAATTATTAGAAAAAATGCTACGAGTTCTGACCAACTGTCTACCAATGTAACCAGATAATATACTGGCAGCAAGTCAGGTTTTTTTCTTGTCCGTTTTGTTCCCTGCTATCGCACTTGCTGACTGTATAATATCTGGTTTAATAGGGGGACAGTGAGTCATACATAAAACTTGTAACATGTTGTCCTTTTTTCATTTCCTGATCAGATGAGTTCACCTGCACTCACCTTCACACGCCGGGAGGTTTGTCCACCCGCCGAAACGCATGCACTCCACCGTACTGTTGCCCACCAGTCGGTAGCCATGTGCGCAGTTAACGTCAACTCGCTGTCCGATATCAGAGTACTTACCGGTATCCATCAAGCCAGCGCTGTGAGGAATGCTTGGAGCAAGACACCGAATGGCTGCAAAGTTGCAAAGGGGATTGAAAACCAGTTCAGGATCCATTTTACAATAATATTGCTGAATTGAGCTCATTTCACTACACTCCTGTGCCATACAGGTGATATGCGGGAGAACACAGAAGGCAACAAGACCTTCAGGGCGTAAGGCCATCTTGGGAACCAGCCACTGCACATTTGCGCACTTCGCCTTAGGAAGGTCTGCTAATTTCATGAACTAATAGAGAAATAAAGTATTTCGTGCAAATCAGAAGCATAGCCACTATGCCGGTTGACTTTCAGAACGGTATGTTGCTTTGTGAGTGATATCAGCACGCAGCTTTACTCCTTTTAAGTTTGGCGTGTTACACGTTCAAAAAATGACATGACGCGATGCCAATTACAGTGCGTCAAGAGCAGAAGTGCAAAAGAAAACAATTTGAAGTTTCTAGCAGTCACTATCGAATAAGACAAAATGGCATCAAGTACCAATCTGCAAATGAGTCTCGGAAGATTCTTATCTCGGGTAGGTCTATCAGGCACCTTGTCGCCATCGGGTGGGCCAAAATTGGCTCTACTTCGAAGTAAAAGTAAGGGATTGATGGGACTTTTCTCATCAACACTATAAATATGAAGACTTAGGTTCCTCATAGCCGAAGAGCTTTCCAAAGGGATTCTGCGACACAAACTCACGCTGACAAGCTGGCATCGGCGTTGTTTCCGTATCAGAGATGCAGGTGATCTGCACATTCCCAACTAACTTGAAACCGACATCGCACTTGGCCATGTAATAAGGGGAAGTACCGAGAACCTGTCCATCGGCCAAACGTGGAACTTGACAATTGTTTACTGCAGTTTGAGGGACAACACACAACAAGAAAAATACAAAATATTTCTCAAATGTGTTTGTTTTTAGGTGTCTATCTCGTTGCACCAGTCTTCTTCTAAGCAGGAAATTTATCCCCGCTCTGCATCATGCCGCACAAATGCTGCTACCCGCGGTCAAGCTTCAGCCGCTCTGAACCTACCCAGAGCTACGTCTCGTTACGGCCAGAATGCTATTTCATTTTTGGCAGCAGACAGATGGAACATGTAAACGTCTCACTTAGTCAGCTGAGGAATAATCGTCTCTTTATTAGTAAAGAAGCAGTTTATACAGTACGAAGTAGTGGTTGCGACTTCGGCGATGATTTGTAAGAAAGGAAGGTTCGATGGACTTCTCGTGTGCTCTGGATGGCAGTCGTGAGTCAGTCAAGTGTCAAGTAAAGTCGGCGGAATAGCGCGAGCTCCGGTGTGGGGAGCAAACCCTTTCTTGCAGTTTATACAGTAAGTAGAATAACAGGTGCCAAGGTTAGCCGTGAACAGTTAGTGCTAGAAGTTGCACAAGGTGTGCAACTGATAGGCGCGCACAAGCCGTGCAGTGATAGGCGCGTACATAGGTGTGTAGTGACAGGCACGCGTACATAGGTGTGCAGTGATAGGCGAGTACAAAGGTGGGTAGTGACAGGCGCGCACATAGGTGTGCAGTGACAGGCGCGTACATAGGTGTGCAGTGATAGGTGTGTACAAGGTGTGCAGTGATAGGAAAGCAGAAGAAGGTGTAACGGTTACACCATCCCCCTCATCTCGACTGTGCACAACACAATAGAATGAAATACTTTTAAAGAACACAAGTGGAGCAATGTTTCTTCCGGACTCGTCCTTGAGAAAATTCTCTGGCTCCCAGGTTGTCTCATCATAACTCACTTAACCAAAACTCGGGTGTGCCTTTGCATATTCGGTGATCCAAGATTTCCTCCACAATGTACCCTGTGTTGCCGTCCAAATCGGTTGTAGGCGGCTGAGGCGGCTGGGTGACTCTGGGTGACTGCATGACTAGGTGAATGCGCAACTCTGGGTGACTTGGTGACTGCGCGACTCTGGGTGACTTGGTGACTGCGCGACTCTGGGTGACTTGGTGACTTTTTTATTTTTTTATCAAGAGTCCAAAAACAATAAATAACTCCAAAGCACGAAAAAGGCACAAAAGCTAAACCAAGAACATGTGCAATAACATGTTATTTAGAAAGACAGGACAAGTGAATAATTAGTCAGTCCATTGTTCATGATGGTCTCCGACGGTTACGTCGGCAGGCGAGCCTCCGCCACTGCCAAAGCACCGTGGGCTCCGCAGGAGGGTGCAAATTTCAACTAAAATTTGTACGCCTGCAACCGCGAATGCACATGATACAGGATTTCAAAAGGCTGAAGGAAATCCTGCATCTAACAAATGCCATAACATGAGAATAGTGCTCACCCCTCTTCTCAGCCAACAGATGAGCAATGCGTTTACACACTAACTTCACAGTCAAGTTCGCTTATAACGACATTCGGCGGGACATCGGAAAAGTGTCCTTATTCGCGAAGTGTCGTTATACCCGAAGTCTCTTTATAGTTTATATTGTGTTACAGTTGGATGGGACCTTGCCCTGGGCATGAAAATTCTGTCGTTATTCGCGAATTGTCGTTATATCCGCAGTCGTTATTAGCGAAGTTGATTGTATACAGTGCTGTTGACGCTGGACCCATTCCGCCACTGGCTGACATGACCGCCGGAACAAAGGAGGCTTGCTCAACCTGAATCACGCGCTCCTCATAGTGCCTTCTCTTTTCTTTTTCGTGTCGCTGATACACAATAGTATGTGGTGCAGATCGATTTGAGCGTGAGTGAGGGTTAAAAACCTGTATATCAATAAGTGTACGCTCAAAACGACTGCCCCACAAACCATTAGCAGCGACATCCAACCAGGCACGGTCCTCCACATTCGCAGCCGGTAGCGAAGACGCTCCCCCGCCAGCGGTTGCAGCAAGGGCTCGATGGACACACAGGTGCACACCTTATCCAGCAACTGGGCCGTGACGTCCCGAACACCATTGTGTCTAATGGAGGGAAACCCTCCATAGGGGCACGACAGGGAATGCGCGACAGTTGGCTCTTGGCCGCAAGAGCAGTGTGACGGTACCCTGGCCGGCGTCCATCCATAACGGAGGCAGAGTCCGTCCCAGAACTCTCCCTTTGATAAATTAAAATGATATTTCTTAAGCGGACGGCACGTCAGCCAGCTCGACGACCCTTTCTCCTTCGCGACGTCAATGACATGTCGTAGCGACTCCGACGTACTGCCCGATATCGCGTCGAATTCCAGTTTCTGATGACGTCGAGAAGATGCCCTGGCGTCTCTCTTGGCCGACCTGATTAATACTACCGAGTCACCGATGGAGCCATCCCTTGACAAGATTCTCCGAGACAGAGGGTTGGTCATCCGAACCGACGATTCGTATTGTTGGCATAGGGACACAGGGTTAATCAAACCGAGCCCACCCAGACGACACGGCAAAGCCATAAGCCGTCGGAGGGTGTCGCTTGGGGGTGCACGGAAAGTTAGGGCGGGAATCAGTTCAGACTTCACAATGTCCTCCAGCGGTTGGAACATCGGCTCGAGTACCTTCATGGCACGAGAGAGGAACGCCCATCTACGCCTGAGGCCCGTCACACACGCAGAATACGCAGCCTGCGGCTGGGTTTGCGCAAATACTGCTAGCTTCTTCAGTTCTCCCATCCATTCGTCCACCTTTGTTTTGATATAGCTTTGAAGAAAGCTGTCCCTTCCGATTGCTGCGCCAAGATATCGTGATCCCTCGTCCGTTATCATAACACCAGTGTCTCGAAACAATTCAGTAGCCTCCTGGTAACACCTTTCCTTGACGACAAGGGCCAATTTCTTTGGGTTTACGGAATATCCATATGCCGGTCCTCTCTTGTCCATTATGTCCCACCATAGACGGAGCCTGCGAAGACTAGCAGCAGCGGATGAATCGTCCGCGAACCATGACTGCACCGCACCCGCCTCATCTGCCAAACGTATCAAGGGCATCATTCCCAACGCGTACATGTACATTGCAAGGGGATCATCCTGTGTTGTCCCTTCTTGCGACAGGATACTTTCACCGTCCACGTAGAGATGAGCTGGATCACGGTATTAATTAGAACGGTAGCAAGTGATGGACACAAGTGCCGAACATTTCTTAAGCAGGTCTGTCGATTCAGTCTGTTGAACGCATTACTTGCATCTGCCATCAGAATTCCTTCAGTGTCATCCAGCTCAAAGGCCGGCTGCATCGCATGTATTCCCGCCTCTATACCGCAATCTTGGCCAGCGCATAGCTGTATACACCCAACCGTCTCCTGAACGGCTTGGCCGACGACGGAGAGGATGGCCTTGCTTATAATGCGTCGAGCGACCTCACCTATTCCAATCGGCCGGACACCGGGTTGCTTGTCCAACGCTATCAATCTGCACGCATTGAAAGCCGAAAAAGATGCTGGGTGCACATACGTGGAGGCTAAACGCCTTGCACACGATGCTAGTGCATCGCAAAGGCCCTGGGAGGCGTCAGAGAAACTAGCGCAAAAATGCCTCCAGTTCTCAGCGTCAACACCACTCGGCCCCGCAGCACCCTGCGTACCGAGCGCTGCACACTTTAAAATCGACTGACGTCCAAGGCTGCTGGAATAGATCGGATGAGGTGGAGCAGGTGGATCACCACCAATAACGGCGTCCTCGCTCATCGGCTCTGCGGGTGGATGTTTGTCTTTCAGGATATCCCGGACAGTGCGTCCATCAATCTCTTCGTCCAATCGATGCACGCCTCCATCATCACCGCTTGTCAAGCCACAGAGCGCCTGGCCCACTTTGCCCGCGGTGACATAATCTGCAAAACGCCTGGCAGGGTCAACTGACGGGACCACTGGATCACGTTTATGTTTGTCCTTGGACGATAGAAGAGAGGTCTGTATGGTGTCCGCTTCCCGTTGCAGCTCTGCAAAATCTCCCTTGGACCACTGGTCCATGCGGCGCTCAATTATTTATTATTGTCACTGTCCGGCTTCTGCAGCATTAGCATCTGGTAGACGGCTGCAATCTTGAGTGCGATCATTACCTACGATCCCCCATCTCCGAAGCACGAATAAAATGATGTCAAGGTAGTGATAAATCGTCTTCCATTATTTCCAGACTTGGTGACTGCGCGACTCTGGGTGACTTGGTGACTCCGTGACACTGGGTGACTCAGGGTGACTGGGCAACTGGGCAACTAGACAACTGGGTGACTCTGGGCAACTGGGTAACTGGGCAACTGGGTGACTCTGGGCACCTGGGTGACTCTGGGCCACTGGGTGACTATGGGCAACTGGGCGACTCTGGGCAATTGGGTAACTGGGTGACTGAGCAACTGGGCAACTGGGTGACTCTGGGAAACTGGAAGACTCTGCGCAACTGGGCAACTGGCTAACTGGGCAACTTGGTGACTCTGGGCAACTGGGTGACTCTGGGCAACTGGGCGACTCGGGGCAACTGGGCAACTGGGCGACTCTGGGCAACTGGGTAACTGGGCAACTGAAAACTGGGTGACTCTGGTTAACTGGGTGACTCTGGGCAACTGGGTAACTGGGTGACTGGGCAACTGGGTAACTCTTGGAAACTGGGCAACCGGGCAACTGGGCAACTGGGTGACTGGGCAACTGGGTGACTGGGCAACTGGGTGACTGGGCAACTGGGTGACTGGGCAACTGGGCAACTGGGTGACTCTTGGAAACTGGGTGACTGGGCGACTCTGGGTAACTGGGCAACTGGGTAACTGGGCAACTGGGTGTCTCTGGGCAACTGGGTGACTCTGGGCAACTGGGTGACTCTGGGAAACTGGGTAACTGGGTGACTGGGAAACTGGGTGACTCTGGGCAACTGGGCGACTCTGGGCAACTGGGCGACTCTGGGCAACTGGGCGACTCTGGGCAACTGGGCGACTCTGGGCAACTGGGCGACTCTGGGCAACTGGGCGACTCTGGGCAACTGGGCGACTCTGGGCAACTGGGCGACTCTGGGCAACTGGGCGACTCTGGGCAACTGGGCGACTCTGGGCAACTGGGCGACTCTGGGCAACTGGGCGACTCTGGGCAACTGGGCGACTCTGGGCAACTGGGCGACTCTGGGCAACTGGGCGACGCTGGGCAACTGGGCGACGCTGGGCAACTGGGCGACGCTGGGCAACTGGGCGACGCTGGGCAACTGGGCGACTCTGGGCAACTGGGCGACTCTGGGCAACTGGGCGACTCTGGGCAACTGGGCGACTCTGCGCAACTGGGCGACTCTGGGCAACTGGGCGACTCTGGGCAACTGGGCGACTCTGGGCAGCTGGGCGACTCTGGGCAGCTGGGCGACTCTGGGCAGCTGGGCGACTCTGGGCAACTGGGCGACTCTGGGCAACTGGGCGACTCTGGGCAACTGGGCGACTCTGGGCAACTGGGCGACTCTGGGCAACTGGGCGACTCTGGTGGGTAACTGGGCGACTCTGGTGGGTAACTGGGCGACTCTGGTGGGTAACTGGGCGACTCTGGTGGGTAACTGGGCGACTCTGGTGGGTAACTGGGCGACTCTGGTGGGTAACTGGGCGACTCTGGTGGGTAACTGGGCGACTCTGGTGGGTAACTGGGCGACTCTGGTGGGTAACTGGGCGACTCTGGTGGGTAACTGGGTGACTCTGGTGGGTAACTGGGTGACTCTGGTGGGTAACTGGGTGACTCTGGTGGGTAACTGGGTGACTCTGGTGGGTAACTGGGTGACTCTGGTGGGTAACTGGGTGACTCTGGTGGGTAACTGGGTGACTCTGGTGGGTAACTGGGTGACTCTGGTGGGTAACTGGGTGACTCTGGTGGGTAACTGGGTGACTCTGGTGGGTAACTGGGTGACTCTGGTGGGTAACTGGGTGACTCTGGTGGGTAACTGGGTGACTCTGGTGGGTAACTGGGTGACTCTGGTGGGTAACTGGGTGACTCTGGTGGGTAACTGGGTGACTCTGGTGGGTAACTGGGTGACTCTGGTGGGTAACTGGGTGACTCTGGTGGGTAACTGGGTGACTCTGGTGGGTAACTGGGTGACTCTGGTGGGTAACTGGGTGACTCTGGTGGGTAACTGGGTGACTCTGGTGGGTAACTGGGTGACTCTGGTGGGTAACTGGGTGACTCTGGTGGGTAACTGGGTGACTCTGGTGGGTAACTGGGTGACTCTGGTGGGTAACTGGGTGACTCTGGTGGGTAACTGGGTGACTCTGGTGGGTAACTGGGTGACTCTGGTGGGTAACTGGGTGACTCTGGTGGGTAACTGGGTGACTCTGGTGGGTAACTGGGTGACTCTGGTGGGTAACTCTGGGTAACTGGGTGACTGAATACCTGGTTCGGTAAATCGTTTGGAAGACATCTGCAAACTGCCGAATATCTTCATCAATATCTTCTTGCTTATCCGGAGGGACCCTATTGCGAGACTCTGGAACAATGATCTGGTAAGACCACCCTTTGGTGCTGTTTTGCCGAAAATGAGTTTGAGCGGGAAGTTGGTCCCTGGCCATTCCCCAAAAATATGGGGAAGTATTAATGACCAATCTTATGCAAGCTTTTGGTGCATAAAAATGCCGAAAATAATTGATATTCACACAATAATTCGTTTCTGAGGCTTCATACATCTGTCATACACCTGTCTATGTACAGAGAAAAACTATTTTGCACAGTTGTCCAGTATTCTACTATGTATGTTCCGAACAAATAATTGGGACATTGGCTCTGCTTGGTCTGGTGCTGGGCAGGTGATATCTCCGCTCTCTGGGTGGCAGTGCTGACGAATCTGTTGGTGCAAGTACTTTGCACGTTGCGGTGAGATTCCAGCCGTCTTGAGCGTCACTGGCAGATGATCAGATGCCAGGCAGTAATACACTTTTGATAAAGGTCACGGGCCACGTTAGCTTCTTCAATATGAGCTTTGAGTGCGTCAGTGTGCTTAAAAGCGAGTTTCTGCCGTTCTTGCCCTGACGATCTGAGACTGCAGATCGGAACATACACTGCACACATCTTTTGATTATTATCACATCACTGCACTCGCTGCTCCATATTTTCAGGAATGTTGTGTATGCTGCTGTTCCTCCAGCCTTGATATATTCAGTATGCACATGCTTCTTGGTACTTCGAAGTAGTAGCACATGGCAGAATAGTTGGAGGAGGCCTCTGGGGGCAGCAGGCTGGGGAAGTCCATTGATGTCACCAAAGTTGCAGGCAGTGCATTCCAGGGCAAAGTACCCTCACATGCGTACTGAGGGGGAGGGACAGCATGCTCATACTTACTCATAGACCTCCGCCTTAATTTGTTTTAGCTTCCACTCCTTTACATAATATGCGTACATGAAAACAGTCTGGCACACTTCTTCACCATCCACTTCATAGCAATAAGTGGACCGGACCTTTCTCCGCGCTGCATCCGTTGTGCGATACTTCCATGTTGAGAAGTAACTGCACCGCGTCGTCTCAACACATCGAGCTTTCCAGCGACGTAACAGTACAGCTCCTCGTTCGTCATTGCCAGCGCTGTGTTGCGTGCAGTGAGTAGAGTATCCGGTGACACGTTCTTGAAACAGTTGACATCCGCACAGCTGCAACCCTTGTCCACTCGCGCCTGTACCTCTTCAACAGTACTGGCCGCCGCCTGGGCACGGGATTTCTTAGGTTGGCCCTGTTCTCCGGCGACGAGGGCTTGTGCTGGCTGTAGCGCTGGCGCCTCGTCCAAAATCTCCTCCGCATCGATCGCAAGCGCGATCGGCAGGGTCACGAGCGGAGAGGCGTCGGGCGATTCGTCATCGCTCTGGTCGTCAGAATCTTGATCTGACCATCCAAAGAACGATCTATCGTCATTTGGCAGTGCTGACGACTCTGCTGCCGAGAATTCGACAACAATTTGTGCGAACGAGCGCCTTCGTCCTCCTTCCACCATGACTGTCACCTGCGATGATGAGAAAATCGAGACGTGCTGACGTTTTCATCATTTTCTCCGAAAAATTACACAGCACCGAAGGGTGGTTTTAGCACATCGCGGGCCATGTCGTCAACTACAGACACCCATGCTTTGACACCCTTCGCATCACGTCTCAGCTCATGGCTGGCCCTAGTTCCAGAAATGAACAGGGTTTCAATAGAATCCCGTTCAGAGCAATCAAGCGCCTTACCGGTTGCGATTGGTTTTCCATCGAATGTTACCTGATTGGTACGGAAGTTGACATCGGGGTTATACCTGGTGAGCCAGGGCTTTCCGAGTATTGCGTCATACATGTACTTGGCAAGTGGAAACACTCTGAAGTCCTGGTGGTCACTGAAGTCTGCAACAATATTGAATGCTTCTGTGACACCTGACATCTGACACGACGTGCCGTTAGCCAGGGAAGCATTCAGGACTTCGGAGCTGGATTTTGTTGGGAGTTGGTGCTGACGCACGAAAGCGTCGGATATCAGATCGTGGGTGGACCCAGAATCGATAAGCATAGTTGCGCGGCGACCGTTAATCTTCCTAACAACCCGCAACAGGTCGTGCTCTTTGTCGACGATGACATTGCTGAGGTGTGCATTTTCAGTAGTTCCAGGTTGCAGCGGGTTGGAGTCCAGCTCATCGTCACCAATGTCGCAGTACGCAGGTTCTTCCACGACCAGGCCAGCAAACCGGTTGTGAACGGTGATCGGAGTCGGTTCTGAAGGTACCCTATGTCGCGCCAGCAAACGCACCGAACTTACTGACGCAGGGCATTTGGGTGACCTCGTCCTGGGCAGTTCCGTGCAATGTATAGCGAAAGACCACTCCTTGAACCGGTTTGCCTCGCCATCGAACACTTGAGGATCATTCGTACAAGGCCGACGTCTCAAAGTAGGCCGATTCTGGTTGACCGCGGCGCCGATATCCTTCCAAGGAGTCACAGGTACTGTTGTTCGCGTTGGACCGTTGGCTAATAGCCTAACAACCCGCTGCAGCTCCCGAATAGCGGCGAAAACCAGTAAACTGATTACCAGGAACGATAAGACAGCAGGCGTCAGAAGGAACCAGTGCAAACTGGACATAACCATCGAAAACCATCCTCTGTGCTACCAATGTAAACGTCTCACATAGTCAGCTGAGGAATAATCGTCTCTTTAGTAGTAAAGAAGCACTTTTATACAGTAAGTAGAATCACAGGTGCCAAGGTTAGCCGTGAACAGTAAGTGCTAGAAGTTGCACAAGGTGTGCAACTGATAGGCGCGCACAAGCTGTCCAGTGATAGGCGCGTACATAAGTGTGCAGTGACAGGCGCGTACATAGGTGTGCAGAGATAGGAAGGCAGAAGAAGGTGTAATGGTTACACCTGGATAACCGCCTGGATGTCGTCAAGCTAAGCCCCTTTTTGCACTTGTCACAAGCACTAAGTCATTCCTAGGGTTCCCAGTAAAAAGGCAACACCTGTTGGGAGTTCCCTAGTAAAATATTAAATTCTACTACTAATGCGCAGTTACACATCCATCACATGATCACAGGGCACACATTAATGAACGCAGTGTTTGTGTAGTCCTCAATGTCAATGGTTACAAGACCACCAATCCAAAACTGATGACCAAGACATTCCACGGTTCCCATGAGATCCAGTCAGACACAGTAACCTCAACCGTGGGTAAGAGCCACCACTCTCAGACATCAGGGAGAAGATACAGAACTGAGAGAGATTGGCAGATCTTGACCATCAAAAATCTGAAATTCTCGTTCACTGCATCCATGTTTCCCTCTTACTAGGCAAGGAGTTTTCCATTCACTGTGGCCCGCGGCAAGGATGAAATACGCGTCCTCCTTCAAACAGCACTTGAGCCTAGTACTCTCTGTTTCTCAATCATAGTCCAAGACCATCCCACTACCATTATCTCACTACACTGCGAAAATATCAAACTTTGAAAATACTTTACCATGGCATGTGCGACTTGAAGATGAATCCCAGGCAGCTGGAGTTGTTATTGTGCTGGAAGCTTTCAAATGTGAGTAACATTGACGATTGCTAGGGCCGTGAAGTCGGTAGCCGATGTTGCATGCGTAGAAGGCCTCTGATGGGAACACAAGTCCTGATGGATAAGTGGCAATCCCATTGGTGATCGGAGGCAAAACTGGGCAGCTGTTGGTGAGGTCTAGAAAATTAGAAGCAAAATGCGGGAAAGAATTCATAAAGGACTGACGGGACCGTGATCAGTGGTAGTGCTTACATGTTCCTATTTTGAAGGCAGTACCTAAGGTGCTGTTCCACAGTATGAACACGATCTCTCTTCTATTCTTCAACACACACACACACACACACACATACACGCGCACGCACGCACACACAGTGTATCAGTTGCCAAGAGAAGCACTCAAGTCTGTAAAAATAAGAGCTCATCGGCAGCATTGTATCCGAAACATATTCCGACAATGAATTTATAACAGTAGAAGCCAAGAACCCTACCTGCGGCCTCAGGCTTGTTGTACTTGCATATCGTGACGTTGGTGCTACTGCATGCTGGTCCTGGATAGCAATGACGGTCTGTTCCAGTACTTGAATCCAACCATGCTGATACGCTGTTTCCAGGGTACGCTGCTGCTATGTGCGCAAGGAAAGCGAGCAAGCAATTCCTGTTTGTACCGCTAAGGTCGGTGGAGTTGATCAGGGCAAAGCTGACTCCTGGCGCTATTGTCCTGCACTTATTTCCAGCTGCAGTTGCGTTGTTGTACTTTGTAGACCAGTCCAAACCACTGATGTAGTATAGACCAGTTGGGGAGTTGCAATTGAAATGTTCTGAAAATAACCAAAGCCAGTGATGGACACTATGGTGCGATTTCAATCGCTGTATCTGACCTTCTTCGGCATCACTCCTCTTAGTTCATTATTGAAGCTTCTCGTGTGTTGGACTTGGGCCGTGCTGCATTAACGCTTTTGAAAACCTTTAGTTGCAAGTATATTGTGTCTTGTAAGCCCACAGTAAAATTACCTCCAGGACCCTTCAAGGTTTGCAGAAAATATCGTCACCCTACCAAAAATGTAGCATATGTACAGGTACGTGATTCTTTTAGATGACGTAGAACAAATAAATTATTACTATCTAGTATCGGACATGCTGCGGATTGAATTCTGCTCTCTCCCCTCCTCCGGACTTTGCAGTATGAATCGAACCTTCCTCTGATCCAATACACCAATGCATGTTCCTAGTGGATACTCACCCACGTGTTGGCTTGCAGACTGATGCGTTCCTAAGCATGCTAGCAAGAGAAGCTGGAACATTGCAGCCCAATTACTCTGTGACATACTGACAGCAATCCGGGCTCTTCCGTTGACTTCTTTCTGAAACAAAGCACAAAGCAGGAAGCCTTTGCCTGTCACAAAGTTATGTTGAATAGAGAAAAGAGACTGGGTTCCCAAACCAGGCAGGCGCTCGTAGTTCATCAACCACTCTGTGCACAAGCGGAGCATTTTGATTCGATAACACCAAATTTGCGGAAAGGGACGCACCTCGAGTTTCCAGTTTCTGCAAAAAAGAACTGCAGAATTTGAGCTCTCCAGTGTTGTGTCCCCGCTGGGCTAAGTATAGCTGCATTGGTATCTTCAACTATATTCTCCCCAGTCAAGCTCCATGTGAAGACATCCAAGCAGAAGATTGCCTGAAGGATAACTCTGTTGCAGAATAACTTTGCAGCCTAGAGAGTGTATGTGGGCAGGCGTGTATTTATCGCCATATTGCCTGGTGCGTATTTACCACCATTTGAAACAACCAGGAGTACAGACGCATTGGTGTTTTCAACCTCTTTCTCCAGAACCATGTTGTCGTTGGTTTTCTGTTTATTTTGTCATGCTGATATGGAGACCCTCGTCAAACCAACCATGTACCAGCCTCTGGGGAATCCAGAACATTAATCAATTAATTACTGATTACAAAAATAGCTTAGTAGCAGTGGTCAGGTTTCCTGCAGCAGCAGATAAAAAATTATAATTCCAAAATTCCAATTAATATTTATCTGCTAACTCCATCTTGGCTGCGGATATGGTAGTTCCACTTTGTCTTTACTCCATGGATGAAGGCCTGATATGTGACATGAGGCTTCGCCACAGCCACTGTGGCGACACGATCCACATTCGCAATCCAACAAGCAGCATGTCGGTCCAGGCTGTTGAGAAGAAGGTTGATGACCAATCACTAGGTAAGAACAAAGTATGCTATGAATAAAACCATCTGCGCATTCATATTTCAAACACACTACTCGAGCTCAACTGATGAGGGGTAAATTCCCCGAAATACTGTGTATTGAGCAGGGAGTGGTGCTTTCTTGCAGGTTTTCCGAGTGGACGGTTCGATGGATTTCTCGTGTGCTCTGGATGGCAGTCGTGAGTCAGTCGAGTGTCAGGTCAAGTCGGCGGAATAGCGCGAGCTCCAGTGTGGGAGCAAACTCATTCCTAAAAAAACCATCGCCGAAGTCGCAACCACTATTTCGCACAAGGCAATGTAGGCAAGTCTAAAGAATTATTTAAATTTTTATCTCCCCGTAGGTTGAATGAATTTGAAGACACCACTGCAGCTGTAATAATGGTTGATAAATATTTATCATCCACGTAGGTTATATGAACAATTATTGTTTTAACTGAAATAGTGTAGGATAGCAGTTTAGAAAGAAGAGCGTCAATGGCAGTGCAAGATCGACTTTTCTTCTGACACCACACAGATACGGAATGATTTTCTGTCCTCCACCTGGCGTCCCCAGGATCAAAGCTTTCACCGTGCGACACTGCCGACAGTGACCATCCTCTTCCACATACAGGTCCTCCCTCGTTAGTAGATAATCTCGGGGCCATGAAAAAAGTAATTAGTTGTCTTGTAACGAGACTTATCTTGCAACAGGACTTTCAGCTAAAGGTGAAATAGGCACTAATTCGTACTTACCTTGGCTACCCTCGATACAACATAAATTTTCGACGCTTCAACTCGTTATCAGATAATTGAAAATCTCCAGCATAGCTCTTCCTTGGATGCAAAAGATGGTGCATATCTACGACTATATAGATGATAAGTTGTGCCTTTCTGTTTTCTGCTATGTGTTTTGGCCTTGGTCCTGAATGGGCAATAACCATATACTGAGGGTTTGGCACTCCGGGGACCTGGGCAAGGGTCATTATAACGACTTTTATGTACTAACGAATAATGTTGTAACCGGACCTGTAAACAGTTGTACAATGTACATGTACGATAAAGAGTGATGCTGGGCACCACGCTCCTAGTAACGTACGATTCACACGTAAATGCAAGCATAGGCAAACACACGCACACACATACACAGACACACGGAGACTCCTGGGATTTTGGCTAAGGCCTGTGGAGAATCCATAAATAGTAAATACAAATACAAAAACACACATAATTATACACACTTCCTTGCACATACGCACACACGCACGCACGCACACACACGCATACACACACACGCATACACACTCACGCAAAAGCTTTTAAAATGTATTTCTAGTGACAAGGAAGAACATCTTCTTACCTCTGTAGCTCTGGTATTCAGTAAAACGTGTAGGTCGTTATTCGACTTCCCAGCCCACCAACTTGGCCACCTTGTGGCTGATCAAACAGGGCAAAAGTTACCCTGCGTTATCAACCCTCCAATGCAAGCATGGATTCGTCTCTTTTCATTCTAAGATGCTGCAGTTCCTACCAAAGCCATTTCTTTTATTATAAAACTACATACCCCAACATCTCTGTTTTACAGTCTGAGTTATACTGAATTGTCTCGTCGCTGCAATTCTAAACAGCCGGCGATATGACTTTGTGTTGACAAGGTACACAGGCCAGGCGTATCCTTCGCAGACGCAGTCGTAACATCCCACTACTCCTCGTCTCAAACCCAGCAGTGATAAGAGGAGCAGGTGCTTTTCAGAACCCAAGCTGAGTGGGACAGCTGTGTTCGTGTATGTTTAACAGTGAGCGTGGGACCAGCAGAGCAGCGCCACACTAGTCTAGCAGAGCACTGATCTGGGAGAGGGAACATGCTGTAAGAGCCAGCTAGATTAGACTCCTCGTTCCAGCTGAGAGGCGCAGGATCAGATGAGCGGTCTTCCCCAGACTTCGGAACATTGGAACGAGATGGAATAGATTTGGAACGCCGGCTCCAATTTTAGAGAGAAGTACAAGCCAAGCCAAGGGTGACAAAATGTTATGTCTAAATAATAGAGAGGCATTTGGCTCGCGCGTCGAACATCAGCGTGAGTTACCTGCAGCTCACGTCGAAATTTGACGTGAACGTTCGCGTCACGTTGGAAATAACGTGCATCCTAAACTTTCTTATGTGACTAGTCGATGGGGAGATTATAGCCGTGAAATAGCTATTAACACATTCTGCACGTGTACCTCCGTAGGATTGCACTTGTAACATCCCTCGAACTCTCGTAATAATCTTTCATGAATGTATGTTACGTATTTATTACCGGTATTTTTCACGCTGTCACCTTTAACTCAAATGTACAATGTCATATTCCTATTTATCTCTTTTCCGTCAGTAACGAGATTCCATTGATGAATGTTACAAGAACACGTTCTGGAGCTTAACCTTTGCTGCTTTGTTGTTTGACACGTGCACCAGTTTAATTTTGTTCATAGTTATCATAATAATGTGCTGCCCTTTCGCCTTCTTAGGAGGCCTTTGCCTCGTCTTTCCTGGGCTGAATGGACCGGAAGCTCGGACCGGTAGTGACCAGTAAATGGTATTTGATGTGAATTTGGGTGCCCCACCTTGATGATGATGCCCTTTGTGTTCACATAAACCTATCTAGCTGCAAGGATGGCATAAGAGCATGCAAATCTCCTGTTGGTGATGCAAGTTTGGAGGATGGCTTTTCAAACAGTTATTCGAATTTTCTGCACCCCTTAATAGCAATCTGGTGCTTGCTAGATTCTGGGTGGGAAAAACAAGATCATATCACAACACCTGGTGGATACTTCAAGTATTGTTCTACGCGAGGTGATGTCCATATCCAGCTGTATTTTGATGGTGTTCCCCAATCATCTCGTGTAACAGCATCAGTATTTTCTCGCCAATGTGGACCAACAGGAACGTTCATGCTTTACTTTACTGCTATCCGTACTAGCATTTAATAGAGAGCAATAGCCTAGGATCATTTAACTGATGGTCTTTTTCACTTCCCTCGTTCGAGTCCTGGTTAGGACAGTTTCTTCACATTTTTTTCCTTTTTCAACTATTCAACTCGTCATCACCATCCTCAGTCCTTTCGCGTTGGCATCGGCGTTAGCCTAGCCTTCGCTTGGGCCACACCCAATGTTGGACATGACCCCAGAAGAGAAGGGGAGAAAAAGGGAAAGAAAGCAAAACGAAAAACGAAAAAAGGGAAAATATAGATGAACAAACACTTGATCATTTGCATACTATTCAAAGACACCATTCAACCACACATGTATTTAATACTAAAATGGTAGGTGGGGGGGGGGGGGAGACTTTTACAAAGGATTAAAACAAAGAGAAGCTAGAGAATATCAGAAAAAAATCATAACTTGGTGCATCTGATTCATTGGTTCAACTGTGTTAAACTGCTATGCTTGGGATAGAGATATCCTGCTCCGTATTTACCTTAGCTCATGAGGGGTACTATACAGGTCATTCGCTGCATTGTCAGAGCCACAACGAGGGGGGGTGGATAAAAGAACGAGATGATGATGGTGCCCTCTTGGTTGAAAATTCGGAGAAAATCTGCTTGTGTGGTGTAGCCAATAACTGTTTGTGTGTATGTGTGTGTGTGTGTGTGTGTGTGTGTGTGTGTGTGTGTGTGTGTGTGTGTGTTGGGCTGTTTGTGAGTAAGGTTGAGAACATGAAACCATAAAAGTAGACCTAAAGCAAATAATTAGCACTACAATCATGTTGATGATTTGTTTGAGAAAGCTTTCCTCCTTGTTTATTTGTTTGTATACTTTATTTGAATTCGCTAATCCTAACGCGCACAAATGCTCAATGACAAGCCAGCGAATGTGTTATTGTGTTACAGGGAAGGAGGGTTGGGGAGAAAATAATGAGAAAGAAGAGAGAATGGTAAATATCTCAATGAAGGTCGAAGCGTGTAAATGGTAAGAGGAGGAAAGACGATAAACCATATCTTAAACATATTGCGGATTAGGTGAATGCAACTGCAAAGCCACCATAATATTATACTGTGCGGTATAATTACAAACGATCAATGACTTCTACCTGGAGTCCCAGGCCGTTGGGTAAAAATAAAATCCAAAGATATGCATGCGTATTGGATGGGATGAAAGGAGTCCCATGTCAAATTGTGTCATAGTGGGTCTCGTCGGAGCTTGTTCCGATGCCGTACGCATCATTCTCCTTCAGGTCGGGCAAGTCAATCTTGTTGCACAACTCCACTGGAGCTTGGGTAGTCTCTACCCTGTGCTCCTGTGCACGACGCTTGAGAATGCAAACATATATCACCGTGGGAATGAGAAACCCAGCCAAGAAGCTTGCAACACCAACAATGATTGTTGTGTTTGACGTTGCACCGCTTGAGTCGGACGAGCCTGGAGAAGAAAAGGGATGTGTGTGGGAGGTGGTGGGGTGGAAGCAGTAAGAAAACAATATCAGCTCGCGCAAAGTTATGCTGCCGATAACTCTTCCGTCTCCAATACGCCGTATTTGCATTGAGGCATAATTAAACGATAAAGGACAAGATTGCAGTATACAAAAATGTACGCACTATGCTGCACTAACCGGCTGCTGCTGATGATGATCCTTGTTTGCACATAGGAATAGGTGCAGACCACACACCAGTGGTTGAGCAGTGCAGTAGAGCAGTTCCGATCAGATGATAACCTTCGTTACACACCAGGACGGCAAGTGTTGGGGAAAAGTCGTCATTCAGCAGTGCCACCCCATTCTCTACGCTCTGAAATACTTCACACGGAATACCTGAGAAAGATCACGAATAGAAGAGCATGGGAAACGTGGTTCTGGCAATCGGATCAATCGGTGAGATGGTGGTGGTGAGATGGTCATAGAACTGATATTATCCAAGGAATTTTGGAATAGATTAACACCTGTATGCGGGCATAGGCCTGGCATGCAGAGAGAGGTGAAGATGTGTTTGTTGTGTGTTTATACTACTGCCGGTGACTAGTTAAAGTGTAGGCATCGGAACTGGTATTCCTAGAAGGGAACCGAAACAATGCTGTCCTGCTACGTGCATATATGGATGGGAATGTACTGTAGAAATCACTCCAAGACTATAGCTAAAGTACAAGCCGGATCGTTCATAATAATGGAAAACCACATCCTGGATCAGGTTGCTGAAAACAGCTGTCACAGCCACTGGCATACAGCTCATAGTAGCCATCTAAACGTGAGTGATTTTCGTGCGCAGGAAACGCGTTATAACACATGTATAAGCAGTGTTTTGCAAGCAGAACCAAAGAATATTATCGTGTGAAGGAAAAAAAAGCGAACACCATGATTCACTAGCAGAAGATGATCATTGGTCATCTCTCGTCATGATACAGTTCATTCAGCAGAGAGAAGGCGAACTGTCAATCTGGAAAGTTTATCAGATCAAACCTTTACTTTATCTTTCGTTGAACTGCAATAGCACAGTACAACAAACGCAGTAACAGGCGTCAGTGATGAAGGTGGCAGTGCCATCAGAATAGACATGTCGACAATCTAACCTGATTTGACGCTATCAATAAAAAGCATCCTGACGGACACGTCAGTACTAATTTGGCACACGAAAAACCAAAGCAACTCACGAGTACATGTAGTGTTCGTCCAAGTCCCGTCGGCTTCGCACAAGACGATGCCACCACCTGTGTAGCCGCTTATGCATTGCACGTATATGCTTGATCCAACCAGGTAGGGTGGAGTGCCATTAAGCACTACTACGCCGTTGGAAATGTTGAACTCATAGTTACAGGTAGTAGCTGATGAAGGAATGAACGAAGAAGATACATTATCATTATGAACATCACGAGATGGACACTGCACAGGTCTGAACACACGTTTTCGTTCAAATATGCCTTGCGTTCCAAAAGGGGTACGAGCAATGCCAACACCATGGGTAAAATATTAGTCATCGTCCTGGGAATATCGCTCGAGTTCTAGTCCTGGTTTTGGTTAAATTGTCTATAATGGGAATACAAAATTCCTGGGCATATCCGAAAATTATAACAAACAAAATGAAATGGAGGTTGCGACTTCGGCGAGTTCCAGTGTGGGAGCAAACCCATTCCTAAACAAAAAGAGACAGAGAAAAAGGGGAAAGCTGGGGGAAACAGACAGGTTGCCTACAGATGACACTCGGAGACAGCAAGTGTGGCAGAATATACATGAGGGTCATACCTGCTCGACTTGTGGCGATGCCCAGCAAGGCATGCCACGCGTATACCAAGTCAGGGGTAAATGATATTCCGTTCGGCTGAGTTACCATATCCATAGACAGTAGGTGTATCGTCACAACCATTCACAAAATACTGCAAAGAACGGAACCAAAGATTTCCAGTAATAATTATTGGTTTCGGTCCTTTGCAGTGCTGTGGAAATGCGTGTTTCAACTCAAAACCTACCCACACATGAAGCTGCATGATACTGTCCCCCGAAATTACTTCTTAGTGTAAACAGCTTCTTAAACATTGCTATCCCCTGCTTCTTTCCTTCATAGTCAAAATGTCTTGTTACTCACAAAGACAGTTGCCCAGTGTGTGAGACCAGGAACCATTGCTCACACAGGTGGTAGTGTTGGCTCCGTGTAGATTGTATCCAGCGTTGCATGCTACATGCGCTGTTCCGCCTCGCAGGTAACCCTGCACGGTCACGTGACCATTCGTCACTCTCGGCGGGGAAGTACACTGATACCCTGGACACATGGAAACTCGCACAAATGCAAGGAGGAATTTGTTGAGCCACTCAATGTATCACAACGAGGAATCCATTAATATTTAAAGAAAGCCACAGGACGGGCATCCGTATGTCTAGTAGCCCATTTCCATTAAAATCATGCATGCAAAAAGCCAAAAGGTATGACATAGTTTGATAATTATTGATGTTGTTTACTAGCAGAAAAATATAATATACATTGGAACGAGTTATGAAGCAACTATCCACGATTGTACAAAGATAAAAAGCAATCGGAATGTGCGGCACAAAACTGACAGGCTAGTGAGACATTCAACCACCTGACACTTACATGTTCATGTAACTCTAAACAAATCACGAGTAGGCAAACCAATAGGCTTCCGACTGGGAAGGTTCACGGTTAGGTAGGACCGATTTACATTTCTTATTGGCTCAGTATCTGAGTTGCTTTGATGTTGGTGTATTCATCAGCATACATTGGGTTGTATCTTAGCAATAATATTAAACTACTTGAAAGTCAGCGATAACATTGCACACACTGACTGGTGGCATTGACGTTCTACGACAAACTATCAATAGCTGTAGCATGTCTTGGCTCACCGATATTGACAATTTTAGATTCTCTAACAGAATTCATGCGTCATTTACGTATTTACATTGCAAAGTATCAGTTCGACTGCACTTGTATCCCTTTGCTGTGCAATTATTGATTTACACTGCTTGTTCTTTCACTGTATCGTTTGTACAGCATCCATCTTTGTCCGAACTCATTTTGCTCACTTTCTCTTTTCACAACTCCAATGTTCATTGTGAATACCCAAATAGGAGATCCCTCCGATAGCCGTCAGCCTTTGGTTAAATTAAATATAGATTATTATTGGATGCGCACTCCAAGCCTACCGGCTTGGAAGGCTCTAATTTGTAGGAATAACATAGAAAGTGATCTTGAAGTTCCGTTGTCCTTTTCTTTGCAAGACATTAATCCTTTGCTCTCCATCCGAGTAATATGTTTATTCCTTTCTATTTGCAAGACTCACGTTTACACGTAGGAAGCGTTGTGGCGGTCTTGTTGCTGGCGCATTTGACGATTGGGTCACCAACGAGCTCAAACCCGGAGTTGCATTTAGTAGTGTGTGTTGGTTCAGTTGAGGACGTTATTCCGTGAGAGATCGCTGGTGGAGTGCATATGAAAGCTGCCATGCCATTCCAGTAGAAGCGATTGAAGGATCGATTCACAAGAGGAGGACACCAGCAGTAACTTATTAGAGTTCATGTCAATTTGTTCCCTCACTCTAACTCCTTGAAACGCATATGCAAAACATGTACTTCGAAGTAGCTGATTACAATTCATGTCAATAATTCCATTACTCTAGGACTGCGAAGGACATGTACAGATACATGTGCCTGCACTCACAGGACAGATTCTGCTTGACGGTTGGAGGTGATCTGACTCATTTTGGTGTGAAAATAGTTCTAAAACCATTTGATTTCTTTCCAACCGTGGAATATTTCATAATTATATTAGCCAATCGTCGTCAAATCATCAGTCTCACTACTTTTCACAGATATGTTTTCCATCATCGTGATTACCTTGCTGATTTCCATTTCAAGATTACGAATAGTGAGGGACGACCAAATAATATCATTCTTCCCAAATTTAAATCATTGTCTAAGTCTCTCTTCATGTTCCGAACTGCTATTCTATGGAACTGTTTACCCCCAGTCTAACATCGGAAGCCTCGCTCTATAAGTTCAAAGCTACCCTCAGGAAATTTACAGCTGATCATGCTTATGCAATCAACGGAATTCCGCCACCTTGCAGTTGAATTTTCCCATTTCTCTCCTCATCAATCCCTACTTGTCTTTGTACATACATCTACATCTACTGGTCTTTCAATCAAATGAACTCCTCGATAGGCACATTGCCTTTGGGTCATTTCATAATAATAATAATAATAATAATAATAATAATAATAATAATAATAATACTGAGCTTGAATACAAACTCCCCTGTCTCCCCAACATAACACTCCAGACTGGTATTTTCCATTATGACCGGGTCATGAGGGTTTGTGACTGTTTGACTGGTCACAGGTATGGTTATCCGTCATTGGGACGTGACTGGTCATTGAGTCCCACATGTAAAGAATCAGACTAGTGCCCCGCAGTTCACCTTGATGGCTTTTCGATATGTATACAAGGGTCCCAAGTTCAGAATTTCATTCCCGTTAGCGATGAAGAACGCAAGGTCGTCCTTTTTGATGGCCGCTTGCATTTCAGCGTTAACGTGGGCTTGCGCACCATAGCCTAGAAGAAGGAGGTAATTTAGTGGGATAAAAGACAAGATAAGGCGAGGTAGAATTGTTGAGGAGAGAGAGAGAGAGAGAGAGAGAGAGAGGCATTTCAGATGGCTGTGAACATGATGCAATACTTTGGAGGGGGGAGCTTCACGATGGAAATAGTTCTGAGCTATTAGATGGAGTCTGTGGCCCAAAGCCACTGGTTTCGGCGAAGGTCGTATTGGACATTCGTTTTTACGGATTGCAGCCCCTTGTGAGATGGTGGTTTGGTGAAGAGGGAGAATGGCAGCGTGTTCCAGTTGTTGATTATGTTGTATGGAAATGAGCACCTGTAGAGAGAACAGTTGGTAGGGGTGAGAAGCAGACTGTTGGCATTGTCTCTGGTTACAGGTGGGGCATGTTGGACAAGGTGAGGAGGTGGGGACCATGGATCTCAGCAGAGGAGGACCTGGTTGTCCCCGTAGCTAGTAGAAGAAAGTCAGCGCCGCCAGTGTTCGTTGGACCTCGAGGCTCTGTAGCAAGATGTTGGGTCCCAGGCTGTGGAGGGCGCGCCTCTGCACTCCGTTTGTATGGTGTTCAAGGTTGATGGGAGCACCTCCCATCCAGACAAGGGGAGCTTACTCGAGCAGAGGCCGGACGAAGCCGTGATCCACGGCAGTCTAGAACGTGAGCAGCTCTATGTAGGAGGCCAAGACGTGAGTTCGCCCGCGCAGCAATTGCCTGGAGATGCGTGGAAAAGAATAGGTTGGAGTCAAGCACAACTCCGAGGTGTTTCAGGTGTGGCTGCTGAGGTATGACCTCCCCTCCAAAAAGTTTATTGCGGGGATATGCATTGTGCACTGGTCGTAAGTGAGTAATGAGATTTTAACGATCAAGATTAAAACTATAGGTTTCCTCATAGCTTTTTAAAAAGGATTCTGCGAAACAAACTCACGCTGGCAAGCTGGCATCGGAGTTGTTTCCGTATCAGAGATGCAGGTGATCTGCACATTCCCAACTAACTTGAAACCGTCCTTGCAGCTGGCCATGAAATAAGGAGAAGTACCGAGAACCTGTCCATCGGCCAAATGTGGAGCAGTACAATTGTTGACTGCATTGTGAGGGACGACAAACAACAAAAAATACAAAATACTTCTCAAATGCGCAGTAACACAGCCATCACGTGATCACATCATCACATCATCACAGGGCATACATGAATGAATACAGTACAGGTGTAGTACGCAATGTCAAACGGTATAGGGATGACTATCAAACCATCTATCTAAGACTGATGACCATAATACTTCACGGTTCGCGTGAGACCCAGTCAGACAGAGTATCCCCAAGGATGGGAACGCCACCACTCTCAGACATCGAGGGGGGGGGGAAGGGAAAGATGCAGAACAGTTTAACTGGGAGATGGGTAGATATGGATTATTTAAAAGCCGACATTTTCGTCCAAAGCACCCATGTTTCATCTTTGCAAGGCAACGAAGTCCCAATTCACTGGGGCTCGCAACACGGATGAAGGTACGCTTCCGCCTCCTAGCAGGACGCGAACCTGGAACCCTCTGTTTCTCTGTCACGGTATTACACCATTCCAACAATGACACGATTTCTGACTGCTGTGCAAACATATTATACTTCGAAGAAGCTTCACCTTTGCATGTGCTACTTGAGGGCGACTTCCAGGCAGTTGGAGTGATTTGTTTGTGGAACCCCACATATGATTGACAGGCACGATTGCTGGGGCCGTGAAGTCGGTAGCCAATGTTGCATGTGTAGAAGGCCTCTGACGGGAAAACAAGTCCTGATGGATACGTGATAATCCCATTGGTGATCGGAGCCAATAACGGGCATCTGTTCGTGAGATCTAGAAAATTTAAAGCACAATGCAGACAACAGTTTATCTAGCACACACACACACATCACCCTGCACCATATTCCAAGTACGCCAGTTGCAAGAAAAGCACTCCAATCTGCCAATCCTCTTTATCTACGCCCACACATTGTATCGTATTGGGACGATAGCGGACAAGACTTGAATTAAACAGATTAAAACTAGAACCAGATAACTGCTATTTTAAATTTGGACTTCACGGAGATTTTCATAGTTTTAGGAAATTAGAGGCCACATGCCACGTACTGCTCTTTTCTCTCCGAAACTCAACACTTGCAAGCCAGATATGAAGAAAAAAGCTAAAGTCACACCACCGGTGCTCGTGGCATGTGGCCTCTAATTTCCCAAACCTTTGAAAATCTCCGTGAAGTCCAAATTTGAAATTGCAATTTGTATTTGCTCGCAGTGGACCTAGTTTGATGCGCTCCCCATGATATCAAGCGAATAGCCGAGGGCCCTCTTGATTGGTGTGAGTTGCCAGTATGATGCAAGCCAGACATGGATTGATCGAAGAAGGATAGATAACTGCTGATTCAACAAACCACGCTCTCCAAGCTACAGGAGATAGACCAACTTGGCTTGGTATTGTTGACAGATGCGTTATAACTGCTTCTGCCTCACCGACTCGGGGAAGATGAGATCTTTGTATATTATTATTATTATTATTACACAAGGCGGAACAACAGAAACCAAAGAGCTTTCCGTTCCTCCGAGTTTCGTGTTCGAAAACACTCATCAGACGAAACAAAATTATACTTATGATATTCGCTAGTTAGATAGGGTAATTGTAATGTAGTCTAAGGCAATGTTTCAACAACGAAACCTGATGAGATAACACCAGCGCTGGAAATTCCAGCCTGGAATACTAGAAGTGCAAGTGTCATGGCTGAGGCATATTGCTATAACCGCTAAAGCACATTCACTTCCGCGCAGCAACGGTCAAACGGCACTTGGCGAACTTGGCTGTATCAAAAGCAACTGGACCGGATGGCATCTCTGCTCGTGTGCTCAAGATGTGCTCATCTGAACTTGCAGACCCACTGGCAAAGCTCTTCGCCCTCTGCTTCTTAGCCGGTGTGCAACCTGGGGCATGGAAACTTGCCCATGTAGTCCCAGTCCACAAACGGTCCTCCAGATCTTTGGCATCGAACTACCGACCAATATCACTGCTAACGATCATGTCGAAAGTCATGGAGGGCATTGTAAACACGCAACTGGTTAACTACCTAGAGAAGCATGAGGTGTTGCCAAACAGCCAGTTTGGATTCCGAAGTGGTAGAGGAACCGCAGATATCTTAACGGCTCTCCAACATGAATGGGTCCACACCATAAGTACTGGCGGTTGTGTCCAGGTCCTCGCCGTGGATATTGCCGGTGCGTTTGACCGGGTATCGCACACAGGAGTGCTGTACAAAGCAAAGCAGGCCGGCGTCGACGGACGCCTGCTTGTATGGCTACAGGACTACCTCACCAACCGAAACATCCGCGTTGTGGTTGGAGGCCAGACGTCAGATGCTCAACCCATCCAGGCTGGTGTCCCCCAAGGCAGCATCCTAGGACCCAGCCTCTTCCTTCTATACACCTGTGACATTGAACAATGTTTAACTCCAGGGACGCAGCTGAGCAGCTTTGCAGACGACACCACACTCTACAGCTTAGTACAGCCAACTGACGATCTCCAACAGTCCACCGCCTCCCTCCAAGGGTCCCTCAACAGTCTTGAGGAGTGGGGCCGCAAGTGGCGTATCTGTTTTGAGCCAGCCAAGACACAGCGCATGACTCTACATCGCAAGCACGTTCCCCCCTGCACTCCACCAGTCACCTTTGGAGGTGAAGCACTCCAGGAGACAGATACCCTGAAGCTGCTGGGAGTCATGCTCGACCCTACTCTCTCCTACAGAGCGCACACTCGCAGTGTTGCACTGCGCGCCTCCCAAAGGCTGGGTCTCCTACGAAAGGCAGCACCCATCCTGGACGACCATGGTCGAGTGACGGTCTACAAGGGATTCGTGCGACCCCTACTTGAATATGCCCCACTGGCCTGGTCGAGCGCAGCCGCAACTAACATGGCCCAGCTGGACAAGGTTCAGCAACGTGCCCTGCATTTCCTGAGACCTGGAACCATCCTCCAAAGTCTTCAGCTTCGTCGGATGGTGGCAGCCCTGTCATACTTGTTCAAGCTGCACTACATTCCAGGGCCTCCCCAGGTAAAGGCCATGCTGCCACCAACCAAGCCCCCTGCCGTAGCTAGCATGTGCACACGGCAAAAACGTCAGACGCACCATGCCGAAAGTCGGTGGAGTTGATCATGGCAAACCCTGGCGCTACTTTACGGCAGTGATTCCCAGCTGCAGTTGCGTTCATGGGCTTTGTAGACCAGTCCAAACCACTAATGTAGTATAGACCAGTTGGGGAGTTGCAATTGAAATGTTCTGAAGATAACCAAAGCAAGTAATACAAAAAAGGTATTGAGCTGCAGAATGAATCCTACCATCCTCTGATTTAATGCAACAATACAAGTCATATCCCCAGTGAATACTCACCCACGTGTTGGCCTGCCGATTGAAGGGCTGTTATGCATGCTAGCAAGAGAAGCCTGAGCACTACATCCTGAGTACTGAGCGACATACTGACAGCAATCCG